TTATTTGCGTTTTGCTATCCCGTTTAAGACAGATAAGATAAGGACTTGTATTCTCTTGACGTTTAACGTCACGTTAAACATGCAGAGGAAGTGGTTAAAAATTATTACACAATATATCCGTGTCCTAGTTCAAAAGCTACCTCCCCACCGATATTTATTAAAATCGGTTCAGTCGTTCTTGAGTTCTTTATTATATAAAGACGAAATAATGTCGTTTAAGTTGAGTGTACATTGTAATAATCATTAGGTTTTTTTCAGCTAGATTTTCCACTTCTAATAGGGGAAAGCCCGTTCTCCTCGTCGGGAAATACAGATACAACAAGCACGCTCTTAGAGGTGTAAAATGCAGGTGGCAATGTGTCGCGAGAAACAGGCAATGTAAGGCTGCTATTATAACTATAGAAAATGAAATCGTTCGAGTGCATCATTCTCACAATCATTAATACCAACTGAATTAAAAATCTATTTAGATAGAAAAAGAATACGACACGGGTGGGACATGAACCGGCAACCACAGCGCTCCGTGCTGCTGCTCTAACTGAGCTACCGTGTCGCACACGTCATCATCGTATATATCGAAAGTATTGATACATGCTACTGAATTTTATTTCAACCTCAATATGTACGTATTATCTTAAACTTTTTCGATCTAAAAGATTGTGATTTTATATAATACCATTATGTGAAAAACATTGAAGTTTTCAAATCAACTACAATTTATAATTTTAATGTGTAAAACATACATAAATAAATAAGAAAAGACAAATGGGAGTAAAACCCACGACCACCAGCGTACTGTTTTGAAATTCAATGAACGCAGATAGATAATGGTAGTCCTTTGGTAGTGGGACGGTACGGTACGCTAATGTTTTTTGGCTCAAGTTCTGCTGTGTCACCAATTCTTTCAACCTTAGGTAACCTGCATTAAAATTACCAGTAAAAGTTCTTAAGGACGCAAACAAGGACGAATTCTTACAAAAGCGATAAATAATTGTACGAACTGGTAGTAGATTTAATTCGTTTTACATACAACCTAACCTTTTTTTAAGATGAAATAAAAAAGCTTATAAATATCGAGGTGTAATATAAGATTAATGAACGTAGTTTTGATAATACTTTGGACGTAAAAGTTTAGCGAAAGTTAAGTCAAAGTTAACTTTTAATTAATTAAAGCATATGGATAATATGGTACTTTTATTGAACAATTAAAATGTTAATAATTTTAGCCGCCTTGCCCAGCCGGAACTAAAAATCTAGTGTTAAACTAAAATGGTGCCCGCTGTTGCTGTGTATAGCTATTTCTCCATGTAAGTTAGTTAAAAATATACGTATTCATTAATTAAATGATGAAAAAATAAAACTCACAAAAGTCATAAGGGTTTAAATAAAACACTTTAACGGTTTAAAACGCGATATATTAGTTAAACTTATTTGAAAATGATTTTTAACTTCGGCCCGACGTTTAGGATGCTTTGCAGCAGTCGTGGTCACGGGGAGACCACGGCTGCTGCAACTAACTAATATATCGCGTTTTAAACCGTTAAAGTGTTTTATTTAAATGTGTACTACTCGCGTAAACTATAGACAGTCATCATAAGGGTTTATAGTAATAACTATTACTCTAAATTATCAGGACGTCGAAAACCTGGACGCCAGTTGAATCCAGCGTTTCCCTGCTACCTTGACTAGGTGGATCGACGACCTGGTCAAGGTAGCAGGGAAACGCTGGATTCAACTGGTGAACGACCGGTCGTACTGGAAGTCTATGGGGGAGGCCTAGGTCCAGCAGTGGACACTGAACGGCTGAATCGAGAATCGAGATTAGGCTCGTTGGTGTTATTGTAGCTATGCTTGGCTTATAATCAACGAGCCGTGAGTTCTATCGCCACCGAGTCATCATTTTTTTTAAATCAATTAACAATTTTTCTGAGACCCATTGGACTACGTCTGGAAATTAATTATCCCACCAGATATCAAACTTCTCTTCGTATCACGAACCAAAGTCTATTGATGAAAAAGCTGCGAAATTTTGGTCTCAGTCTGTGGATTTGGGAAATCCAAAGCCAAAATAGGCCGACAGCGTATCTTGTTTAAATGTTATATGGCTGGGGTATTTCACCTCAAGTCAAGTAAACTCCATGTTTGTCCGTCCTGTATCAATAAAAAAAATGCAAAGCCTATCAAATCGAGATGAAGGCCGCTGTAACTATGGCGTTGTTTTAACACAAAGTAAGTTTTAACCTAAGTCAAATTGAGTATGTAAACTAGTCGTCATTTAAACAAAACACTTTAACGGTCACGTGACCACGACTGCTGCAAAGCATCCGAATCGTCGGGCCAACAAGTTTTAACTTTTTTAATGTGTACTACTCGCGTAAACTACAAACGTATTTAAACTATTCTTCGTTAAATGATTTACTTTCATAATTATATTAATTTCAGGCGACACGCAGTTTATACGCTCACGGAAAGGCAACGTAATGTTGCGGTATAACGGCCATAACTACAGCCTGAACCGGTCTCACAGCAGAGATTGGAAGGAACGATGGAATTGCACTCGTAGTTCACTAGGATGCAAATCCTTTATAGTAACTATTTCAAGGGAAATTGTAAAAGTAGGCAATGCGCACTGCCACCTATGACCCACGTTGACCTTCGGCCTTTGTTCTTTGTTAAGCTGATCAATACGTGTCGTATTTAATAAAAATTGGTCAATAAATAAAAAACAGAAAACGGAACTACTCATTTCAACGCTTCTGAATATTTGTGATTTTTATATAAAAGTAATTGACTTGAACGCTAAGATGAAACGATACAGTTCTATGTAAGAATCAAATTGTGAAGTTTTCAGGGTTTGCCTAACTAACAACAAATGCAATTTATATTGTTGACCTTAAATTAAAGGTATTTCGCCAGTCGCAGAAAAAGTATTGTATGTATTTCACGCGAGTAGGACACGTTGTAGATACGTGTTTTAAATTTAGTCGCAGATAATTTGTATTTTAATGAAAATTGCCCTTGCGTCTTTCAGTTATGTATGTCGCAAACGGCACACGAAATCCTGTCGTATTTTACAAAAACGGAAGATACTATAGAGAAACTAATATTCACGGCAAGGAGATATGGAGATGCTAGGAAGAATGTTGGTTGAAAAAGAACTTTGGACTTTGAGGTAGAGTGGTGAAGGAGATCAATGTTCACAATCATTGATTGTAATGACTAATAAAGGTTTGAAATAATATCATAACTCAGTACGGTTAAAGACATAGTTGGTATTTTTTTTACTAATGTGTGATAATAATTGAATACGAAATCATTATTTTATTAAAAGCGTTTAATTATTTCTTTGAGAAACATTATTTTCACATGTTAGTGCATGATTGGATTATATTATTATTTGTATTGCCCGTGTCATAAATTTAAATGTATAATCAATTTTCAATTTATAATAACCCTAATCCTGGCTTACTCTAATGCAAATTAATTACCACAAACATTAAAATATGATTTGAAATTGAAACTGATTTCAAATATATGAAAAAATAAGATCGTGTTGGCAAAAGTATCAAGTTTTAACTAAAATAATCAAATGATTTTTTATAGATAATAAAGTTCGAATATTCAAAGCTAAATGTGGTTGACAGAGCCACTTGTTGCGTTGTTACATGGCTGGGGCATTATATCCTCCATCAAGTGAAAAGAAAGCAATAGCTTAATAATGACAAGGCATATTTTTAAATACTGTAGTGATAACACTTCTACAACACTTATCTCGATAATGCTCTGTGCCATTGAGAATAAGAATATTTTGACCTTTAAAATGACAATTATTAAAAGCATAACTTTAAAGCAAATAATAGTTAAACGCTGGATTTTTCTCTGTTTCCAGTCCAATTTATCATAAACAATAGAGGGAATCCAGTTTTAATATACAAAGACACACGCTACAATTGGGAATCAACGTATGGTTCAAAAAAAACATGGAGATGTGTTAAAAGAAATTCCGGCTGCAAAAAAAGAATTTGGACTATCGACGGCGAAGTAGTTAGAGAGATAAATAGTCATAAACACTAACAGCATGCACACTTGGAATCTACACCTAGTTAACAAACAGATTTTTTAACAGATATAACCGACTTCAAAGAGTAAACTATAAAAAATAGTTCGCAAAAAGTAATACGTATTTAGTGTAGTAAATTTCAATAAAACATCAACGGTTTTAATCGCTTAATATCGGTAGTTAAAATAATTTTTTAAACAAGTTTAACTAAGATATTATTTAACGTTAATTTAAATGCGTATTTTCTTTTAAAATATATTTTGAAATTTAAAAGATTTATACGGCAAAATGCGCGAACATAAAAAAATAATATTTACGAATGGAATTTCTTACTTCGAGAACGAACGTTTGAAGTCGGTTAAAAGCGAGTTTATAATTTTTGATGTTAGTTAAAATACCTGGCCACGGAATAAATCATGCAAATGCACGATGACTGGGTAAGAAGCTCTTCTTGTATGTGCATCATTTTTTCCCTACTTTCTCTTCTTTTAAACATATTGTAAAAAACGCCCCCTTTTACGTGTATCCATTTTACAATGTTAATTTAAGCGATGATTGTTACCTTATAAACAATAAACGTATTCCACTATAAACTACTTTTTACCAGTAAACGTTTTACGTACTGGGAAATTTAGTTTTTATTTATACATTTGTTTTTATCTACTAAATATTTAGATCATAAAGAGAATGTATATCGTTATAGAGTAAGTTGTCGTCTCTAGTTTACCGCAGTCGTACACATATAAATAAACACTTTTAACGGTTTAAAACGCGAAGTCCATGAATCAACTGATACATTTCGCGTTTTAAACCGTTAAAAACCACATTGATACTACTAGACTAAAGAAACATACAAAACAACTTGCTTTTACAACCACGTTTGTTTTTACAGTGCAATATATACCTTCAACACAGGGAACCCACCCAGTCTTGATCTTAAATGGCGAGAGGTATCATAGAGAAAGAGTTCGCAGGGACAAGGAGCTGTGGAGATGCTCGAAGAGGTACCTGGGTTGCAGAAGCAGAATTACGACGTCGAATCGGGTACCATACAAGTGGTTTCCTTTTCATTTCCATGAAGGTAAACGGGCCAATAGGATGTGAAAAACTGCTCCATACGTGGAACCGGCCACAAATCGCCGCGACCAGCACGTTTTATGTAGTTCTTAGATATTTTATTTGTATACTAATCTAATGTTTTAATTTCTAGTTAATGTTTTACTGAATATTTTAACATTGCTTACACTAATACATAGCTTAATTATAATTATTTTAAATAAATTAAATATAATCTAAATTAAAGTCTTAAATTTCTTTTCCTAAAATCAATTCTAATTTATATTAATTCTTATTTGGTCGTAAGAAAATGCAATGTAGTGTTCTGGTTTTAAAATATTTCCCCCCCCCCCCCCATTTAATAAAATAACTCGTTATAGCTTAGTACTGGATCACCACAGTTATATTATTAACAGTAATCTAAATATTTTTGCAGTCATATTAAAGCGTGGGGAAAATAGTTACACATTTAAATTAGAAGGAAAAATTAAGGAAATTGTAGTTATAAAATAGTAGCAGTGGGGTAAAATATCTTTAAAAATTGTCTGTCACCTGTATCAATGAGATGTATTAATTTACTCAAACAGTACATTACATTACAGAAATCTTTAAAACTTGAAATTTATGAGTTGTCAATTACGATCCAGTGTTGCGGCTGTTTTCCTGCAGTCATCATCAGATTTTCGTAGTTAAAAATAAGTTTTGCGTTTTAAACTGTTAAAAATGTTTCATTTCACCATTTTTAGGACGTTGTGTTTGTTTTTGCAGTACGATTTTGTAAACGTGACTCAGGAAAGGAACTGGCAATCGTGAAGGACTTCACCTTTTGTCGTCAGAGACGCGGACAAACTTCTGATACCTGGATATGTTCGCGTGGATATGCTTGCAAAGCTCGCTTCAGTTTCGACGTTCAGAATAATTATATTAGAAACGGCTTGTTGGACCACAATCATCCACCTAGTAAATATATCATTGTGAAGGGTGTATATCTCAAATTGTAGAGAAAACCACGACCACCAGACTTACGTTTAAATAAAACACTTTAACGGTTTAAACCGCGATATATTAGTTAAACTTATTTGAAAATGATTGACCGGGAGACTCCCCGTGACCACGGCTGCTGCAAAGCATCCGAAACGTCGCGCCGAAGTTAAAAATAATTTTCAAATAAGTTTAACTAATATATCGCGTATTAAACCGTTAAAATGTTTTATTTAAATGTGTACTACTCACGTAAACTATAGGCAGACTCACGTTGTTATAAACACCTGTATACATAAGTATAATTCACGGCTTGGCGCGCCAAAAGTTAAAAACCCCAGAACATATGCTTTTTTATCATCTGTAATTTAAGCGATATTGTAAAAAATACATGCAAAAATAAACACTAATAAAATTCGTTTAAAGTAATTCTATTTTATTAAGTATTAGGTAACCAGTTCAAAGTGAGAGTATTAGTGTGAACTTCTAACGCTGCACCTAATGGGAAACTAAAAGATAATTAAGATTAGATAGAAGAGCGATTGGGAAAATACCTGTCAGACATTTTTTAACTATAATTTCTTTGCAGTATTTTTCGCCAAACGGAAAACAGGAAAAGACGTGGCAATAGTAAATCACTACTCATTTTATCGCAAGAGGGAATCGTCGACAGGAGTGACCTGGATCTGCACGAGAGGCAACCCTTGCAAGGCACGCTTCTTCCTGCGATTTGGCGAGAGGAAAATCAAAAGAGGCGTCTTGGAGCACCATCATGCACCAAATCAATATATTATCAAGAAGGGTTATTATATAAAAACCGACTAAGTTTAAATTTAAAAAGCAATTTAATGATTCCACACACTACTTGCTGCTGTAATTAAAAGAACGTAAGCTTTACGTGTAATATTTAGAGTTATTAAAAGGAACCTCGCTACTATTTTCTGACGATGAAAAATGTTCTAAAGAATAACCTTAAAAAACTTATTGTTTCCTGATCGATTCAAAGTAAAATTAAATTGATTACTTTATTTGCTTTGATATCGCATTGAAATGTATCGAATCATATTTTTTTTTCTTTTATGACTTTACGAAGGACGCAAAGCTATAAAAGTAATACTTACATATTTGTAGATATACTTAGATAGATAATTTAAGAATAAATAGTAATTAAATACATAAAATGCGTTTATTAATAAACAACATTATTTATTTCTAAGATATATATCGGTTGGGACCTTCGGATCATGTTTTTATTGAACATTGTACAAATTGTAATGATGTTAAAAATGCAATCAAAAGGAGGGAGTTCTTTTCGGGTAAATACATTTGTCCACTTAAATGAAATACCGTTAATTGTTCCTAATTTAATTAAGCTAACTCATTCTTCATGTAACCATCCGTGACTTTGGCTGCTGAAAAGCATCTGTAACGTCGAGGCGCTGTTTTAAATAGGTTAACTAAAATATTTCGCCTTTTAAACCATTATAATTGTTTTATCTAAAGGTGTACTTCACGCATAATATAGACAATACCTGAGCTTTATAGTTTCTTGTAACATCGCTTATTTCAGGTTACCTCCCCTTGGAATACGAGCTGGTACCACGTGGTTCGAGTTACGTGTTACGTCTCGGTAAACATACATTTTCCACGAACTACGCAAATGCGGCCGGTATGAGTATCTGGTACTGCTCTAAAAGACGGCGACAGAAGTGCAAGGTTCGACTCCGGTTAATGAACTCGGACATAATAGATATAAAAGGGTTGCACACTCACAACTAGTCAAATGATCTCAGTAGGTTATGTAGTGTTAAAGTGTTAAGGGGTAGTGGAACAGATTTAGGGACTTTAGACTATTTTGTATATTTTGTAGGAAAGAGACAGCGATGTATTAACTCGTTGTAGTAAATAATTTATAGACTGCTTATAATGTTATTTTTTTATTCTCAATAGGTGACGAAGTTTTACTAGATTTAAGGAAATGCCTTAAGGTACCTCACCTTAATAGAAATACCTTTCGAATTTATATGATCATGAATATAAATTTTCATATTACATTCTTAAATGAGACTTAAATTGTTAATTAAGAAGTGTTTATCTTTTTTAGTTATACATTTTAAAAGTTATGTGTAGGCTGTGAGCTTAGATTGAAACAATGTCATTTTAATACATGTATATGATATGATAGCTTTACATACCCGGACGTAATTTCAATATTTCTACCATCCACTTAATATCTAGATTACCATACGACGTCTCACATAGTAAGGACAAAAAACCCATCTGTTTACGATTTTGTATTAAATACCAAAACCGATAATGCTACACTATTAGTATGAACAATGATTTTAAATTAAATAAAACTTTTTTACAAGATTTAAATGCAAAATATTTAGCACAGCTTCGTATATCAAATTCAATAATTTCCCGTTTTAACTGTTCAATGTGTATCGCTCGCGTAAACGACAGACAATATCTACGTACAACAACTTGGCGACCTACCAAAAAGGAATACTTAGTACTATAATTATTGTTATAATCTGTTAGAGAAATTGTTTTAAGCCAAAGAATGTTTGTTAGATATTATCGTTTATCTCATTTTGATATTTATTTATACTTAAAATTGTTTACTTATATATTTAAAACATAATTAATTGCAAGCACTTTAACACTGAAATGTATCCAAAACCAATCACTGAATTAAACGTGATGATGATGTGTTGTTTAATTTGTCTATGGTGTCTACAAATCTTGTTCATATCTTAATTTATTTTAATTTTTTCCAATTTTCCATCCCACTTATATTAAAAATACAAACACAGACTACTCGTTCCTCCTTCAGTTCAATTTGATGAAATTTTGTTATAAATTAACATTCTGGTGATAAGGTCTATACAAACCAGAGTGTTAACGTTGACTTAAGATTTTATCAAAATCTATTTAACTGTTTGGGCGCGGAAGAGCAACAAACATTCATCCAATTTGACAACAAAACGTATGATTAACTATTATGTTAAGACTGACCGCGTTTTAGTACATAATATAAGCACACCTAGATACTTTATGTAGTGTTGCATGTTATAAAAAGGTCTAAGTTCGATTTCTAACAACTTACGTTTTTCAGTGGAATACGTGACCTCACAGAAGGGGAAAACGCTGTTGAAAATGAACGGGTATACCTACTCCCTCAAGAGCGACACCAAATGCAGGAAGAAGAATAGGTGGGTGTGTTCCACTCATCAAGTGAAGCGTTGCCCAGGAGTTTTGCTGATTACAGACGGAAAGATAGTGAGCAGGAACGAAAATCACAACCACCCACCGAAACTGAAGGAACTCCTTCCGTTCCTTTATGGACCACCAGCCTGGTACAAGCAAGCCCATTTTATGGAACCGACTGGTAGCGTTACTCAGAACCGCGACGGCAACAGTGGCAAACCTTAAGACCTTAACTTTGAACACCCGAAGTAAAAGATAACCTTTTTTCGTTGGAGAGTAGATTAAGTAGTTATTTTATTTCCCTTTAAAGAGGGCTATAGTTCTAACTTTCACATAATTGATCATACCAGGTCTCAGGTTCGATTTTTGAGTGTAAAGAAATTTCTGGTGAAATATAACGCTTGAGAACTTAAATATTCAACTGTTCCTAGTGTAGTAATGTTAGTTTTATTTTGGCTTACTTAGTTAAAACAAAAATATATGAACAAACCCAGATACAGCCTAAGAATTACAAAGAGAAGGTTTTCTACTTGTGACATCATTTTATACACTATTAAATAAAACTATTTCCGACGGGTTAAAATACGAACGCTTTTTACAAGCTGTGAACATCGGGATACCAACTCTTTGTTTTCATCCGTTTATAATAAATTTGAGGCCACAGGCGGAATTTGAAACGGCATGGCATCCACAGCGTTCTATGACACGCTAGCTCATATGGTTATAACATCAGCACGAAGCGCTGTGTGATGTAAATAGATTTTTGATAAAAAAATATTAAAGTTTTTAAGTGCAACATTAATAAACAATAATTCAATTGGTCAGTATGTGAATTAAGAGTAATAAAACCTCTGGCTGGGAGATATCTAGTATTAGTCTAAAATAACGTGTATGTTTGTAGTACTATTCCTGTTTGGAAGGAAAGTGTGTTTAAGCATTAGTTTCACGTGTAGTACTAGTGTAAGCTACAAATACTTTATATTAATAAATTTTTTAAGAGTTTAAAGAAAAACGTAAATGTCTTCGGGTGTTCGGTTTAAGTAGTTTCGCTCGCTTTTAGCTTTTGGATGTATAGCTTAAATGCCTCTTCACGAATCGTGTATTTGACTATCTTCTTCTTATTCTTCGTAAGTAACGTAAGCTAATTTTAAATTGGTGTGAAAATTATAATCCTCAAAAGTGTGTTATCATTGTGTGTCGTATTGAAAAATTGTATCTTAGTCTTATAATTATTTTATTGTACTTGATTATATCGAGTGTATTTGATTAGGAAACTGTCTCAATGGCATTAAGTTTTGATCGCGAGGGCAGGTTTAGTAATCAAAGTTTTGATCGCAGAATATGGAAATTTGATCAACTAGGCACCAACTTGCGCTTAAGTTAGATCTATCGTTGTAACAGGCACAGAAATGTGTTCGCCCCATGTATCACATCGGGGAAACGGGATTTTGCTTTATTTTAGTATTTTAAAATAAAATAAATGTATGGGAATAAAACGTGCTTTTTATTTTTTCAACTTATGAAAAATGTGAGTTTCAGTCTCTTAGCTCCTTAGTTCCTAGACGTGTGAAGGCCTTGTCGGAGCAATGGCCTTTTGGTCTTTTAAATAGATAAAAATTTAAATGTAACTTGGTCGATCGATATTAATTAACGTTTTTTTTTTCAGTTGAATTCGTAACATCAAGGACTGGAACTAAGTTACTCAAAATCAATGGTTATACATATTATGGCACGCAGCGATCTGGCAAAATAAGATGGCGCTGTTCCACCCACCAATGGCGAGGCTGCAACGCGGCGATCGTTACCGTCGAGGGTCAGGTGTTGTACATGTCCGGGACGCACACGCATCTGCCGAAACCGAAATCGGACAAATACTACAACTGCCAGATCGAAATCAAAACTGAAGCGAGCAACGCGTTTCACTTTTAAGTTCGTTTATAATTTTAAAAATAGTTATTTATAAATTGTGGAAGGCTGTCGCCGCCACGTTGTGTAGCTTCTTGGATTTTCGACCATTCGGCCGTCGTAATTGAGTGATGGTGAAACGTCAAGTGTAATTTATTAATTGCGAGGACTGAACAGCTGGAAAACTCAAGAAGCCATAGTTGTTTGTTTACTAATATTATACCTACCTCTCCTTACCAATCCTTACCATCCCACTCAATGACCATCAGTCAAAAATGTGTAGTGATTGATGTCATATTTTGATTATTTTTTTATTATGTTGAGTCGAGTTGTGGTACCCCAAGCCCAACTCGACTCAACAATAATAGACGAGCGATAATCGACTTCTTGACCCCACCAGACCCGACCCATAGAGACAGGTATAGTCAAATATTATGTTAAAGATCTCTGGTTTCTAGAACCTTCCATAAATCAAAAGAAAGGATACTAATTGCATCCTATTATGTGTACATAATTTTACGTGACGGAACGCCTATTATTATTATGTATATATTTCAGTGAAATTTTACTTTTTATTTGTATAGTATATGTGAATAGATTATCAAATGTGATTTAATTAGTTAATATTAAATACTGTCTATAGTTTACGCGAGTAGTACACATTTAAATAAAACACTTTAACGGTTTAAAACACGATATATTACTTAAACTTATTAGTATATCGCGATATATATATCGCGTTTTAAACCGTTAAAGTGTTTTATTTAAATAGTTAATTTTATGTAAAACCAAGTTAATGAATATTAAAGCTAACTTTAAAGACTCGGTCTTTTCTCTAACTTAACAATTGCACATTGGGCACAAATTATTGTACATACGATTGTAAAAAGATTGTTGACGACATTCTAGTTGTTCACTTCTCAATAGATTACTATGTGAATCTAATATAAATAATATTATACTTTTAATGACCAACTAAAATAAATTAGTTTTATACAATCAATTATCATCAAATGAAGATTTAGCTGAAAACCCTACACGAACCAACAAAGAAATACCAATAGTTAGAGCCCACAGTTCATGTCGCACGGATAGAGTTCATTTTTTTTAAATAATTTTCAGTTCCCACCTTTTTTAAGACGAAGCACGGGAACATGGCAATGATGATAGACGGATATCGGTATAATCGCACCAATTCAGGATCATTCCACACAACAAAAAACAGGTGGACCTGCGTAAAAAAGCCCACAGGATGCCCAGTAAAAGTGTTCACCATAGGCACCCAAATTCTTTGTTATCGAAACGCACATAATCACTGATGTTACACCTGTAGATTCTAAATTTGGACGATCGATAAAAGACAGTACCTTCCTCGATTTATATTTCTATCTGTAAATAAACATCCATACTATTGTCATAACTGTATTAATGTCTAAAAATAAAAACCTTTTATTACTTCGCTTTGCTTTTTAACCTATCAACGATCTACAGCTGGCCTCCTCTCAAGTAGAAGAAAGTGTTTAAGACTAAGTTGGCATATTTGAATGACAATAACAACTAAATTAGTGATGATACACGAAGACTCACAACTTCACGTACCCACCGAAACATGGGGATAATAACAACTGTTATACAACTTCGGCCTTTTGGTCATTTTCTCTTATCTACAGAGTTATATTAGATCACCGAGGCAGTTATCACTTTTCTGGGCCGTATAAGAGGCCCCTGAAAAGGGGAGGGGGGGGGGTATTGAATGGGTTATTAAGAAATTAGGTAGTTATAGTATAACTAAATATTTTCTTTCAGACGTGAAATTTAAAACGAAGAAGGGCAAGCGTATCGTGCAAATAGGCAGATATAGGTTTAGTAGAAGCGACGACAGCGAAGGATTAGTGACAAAATGGATTTGTTTCAACTGCTCTTTGGGATGCAACGCCGAAGTTATGTCAGTTGATGAGAAAATTATCTCAAAGATCAACAACCACAACCATTAGGATCCAAATTACCGAGACTGCAAAAGATGATTTTTTTTGTACAACTATAAGTAACATTGTACAATAAAGGGATGCCCCCTTACGAAATGTTGTGAATCTACCTCTTAAAATATATTATAGAAAAGCTATAATTTGTTAATTAAAGAAAAAAGCGTTTTTTTTTTATTATGTTTATTGAATAAAATAAACTTACTTATAATACAAACTTACTTTAAGTTTTTACTTTTTAGTTTTGTGTTTAAAATCAAATTATGAATTCTAAAAAAACCTGTTTGTTAAAAGGGGTAGTAGCAGCGTAAACAGATGGAAAAGTTGGTCGCCCAAAGCCAAAATAGCTCGACTGCATCTTGACTAGAATTTATATCGCCGGTGTACTTACCTTCTATCTTGTGAACCCCCTTGCTTGTCTGCCTTCCTCTATCCTGTCAAACTTTTCAAAATGGTATGATACAATTTGGTCATGTTATTGGGGCCTATTACATAATTTAAATGATTTCGCTAAACATCATTTTAAAAATGTCGTTTTTAAACAAAAAACTTGAAAAAAACAATAGACTTAATCTTACCTCGGCTCAATTTATCAAAAACTTAGCAGGTTTAGCTGCTGCGGTTAGCCGAACGATAACCCGTTTTGTGTGTGCGGGCCCTAAGAAGCACATTCAGATGATTCTAATATTTGAAAATACTGTAAGAATTTTCACACCACACGACAGGATCCCGCTAAATCACAATCAATACACCGCTATCGGTGCACTTGCTAGAGTTTGTAATGTGGGGATACTAGTGACATCCATGTGTAGCATTTCATAAATTGTATGTAAATTAGGTACGAAAGTTAAGAAAGCTTTTGGATAAGTAAAATTGCCCATGTACTGGGAAATTATAGGTTAAGATATGGACGTAAACTCTAGGAAGGAAGGGATCTGCCTCTCTGGATCCAATAAGCAGAATTTTTTATACAAAATTGTAAATGGTAAAAAGGAAAACAAGAAGAGTTGCCACACTCTCATATGCTCGATAATGGAGGCGCCCATGCATTTATACATTGTTATGTTTTAGGCTACGAAATAGAAAGGAATACAAAAGGAAAGGGCTACGTGCTGCGGATAGGAAAGGACACCTTCTCATACAGTTACCACAGCAAAAAAGGTTTTAGCCTGTGGTATTGCTCCAGACGAAAGAAGAGACTCTGTCGAGCCCGTGTACGATTGTCAGGTGAACCGGGAGAGATCGAATTTAACGGAAACCACAATCATTCTTAAATGATTTGTATATATCAGGTATCGTGTAAAAATACATGCAATCATGTTGTAATAAAATAAAAGGACCAACATGAAATCTCTTAAAAAATGTATTTTTTATAAAGTTCCTCTTCTTGTTGAAATTGCGTTGTTTAAGATAATATTCCATAATGCAAACAGATCGTCTCCAGATCTATTGCTTCACGTGTTTTCCTTCCAGATATTAAGTGTGATGAAGTCCTATTAATATGTGCAGTTTTGTATACACGTTTACGCCTAACCAGATTTTCGCGTTATCTGTACTCAGCAGTAGTCATTTCAGCAAGGATGTTAAAGATTCTACATAAAACAAATTATGCATACTTGTTATGGGCGTGTCTTTGCGCACTATCCGGCAAGGGATTATTGCCTAAGCCTGGCACTACTTACTTATTTTGCCGATTATACATACTGCTCGAGAAAAATGGTAAGGTAACCGCTATGTATTAGAATCTGACGAAGTGTGTCATCCTCTTAAAAGTCCAGAAACTTAGATATTTAGACTTTTATCGATGTCTTGGTACTGAAAACGGTATGCACAAACCGCTACGTTTCTTTAGCGATTTTATTGATCTTTTAATTAATAAAATAATTAGTTATGGTTTTGACATGAGAAAATTCACGTATTGTAACTATATATATATATATATATATATATATATATATATATATAAACGTGTGTATAAGCTTTTTAAAAATTGCTACCCATCGGAATTATTCACTCAAAAAAAGATTACACCGACGTATGTCACACCGGTAAGTTTTTATTAGCACTATATTATAAGATATTAATAAGGATTGTTTTGTTCTCAGATAACGTAAGATACACGCTAAGTCAGCAGGGTAAAGTGAAAGTTCTATTCAGAGGTAGATATTACACTAAAGACCAAGTGAGGGATGTCAAAACAAGATGGCGGTGCTACAGACGGCGCGGCTGCACTGCTTACCTGGTTACTATTTCTGGGGAACTGGTCAGGTTTCGCGATACACATAATCACGACTGAATTCTTGATTTAAATTTAAGCGGGGCAAGTCTTACGTTTGAATCGAGCACATTGTTTAGGAATTTTTCAATTTGAATTTGTAATCTATCTACATATATACTAATATATAAAGCTGAAGTAATTATTTGTTTGTCCACGCTAATCTCAGGAAGTACGGGTTTGAATTGGAAAATTCTTATTGTGTTGGTTTGAGCATTAATCACGAAAAGTTATAGGCTATAAAACATCGTGCTGTGACTCATAGAAGCGAAGAAAGAGCGGTAAATGTGGAAACGGGGTAAATTATCCATCTCTGTGGGTTTCCGACGCGTACGCTGCGAAAACATTTCTAGATGCCCAAAAAATATGTATGATAGATATGATTCATCTTAAAATAATCTAAAAAAAATGTTCGCGACGGTATATGTTTATATTTTAAGATTAATATGCAACAAAGACGTTTATATGCCCAAAATAACTATTCCACGCGGACGAAGTTGCTGACACAGCTAGTCTAAAATAGATCTAGATTTTTATGATGGTAAATTAATATAATGCTATCATGAAAAAGTATTAGATTCTATGATAAATTGCCTCTTAACAAATAGAAGGATTGTCTGTATATTATTTTAATTTGTAATCTTTTTTATTTATGTAAGGAATATAAATATATTAATATAGATAATAGTATGCAACTCTAATTAATAATAAATTGCTACAATTATATATTTATTATAATTTTGTATTTCTAGTGACTAACATATAGGTACTGATAAACTATATAAGTTAAATTGTTAATAATTAATAATTAAAAGGAATTATTATTATAATTTGATAGATTTAAAATTCCCTACCTAGCCTAAACTTTTATTTTTCGTTACTTTAGAGTAAGTTATGTTGCTTTTAATAAAAATTGCATAATGTATTACTAAAAAATCTTGTAATTTGGTATTGGGGTAGGTCTTAGTGATCTAATAAAAAACATTTTGTTTTATTTTTAGTTTTTTTTTTTAATATAACAACTATGTTTTTTTGTATGCTTAAAATCTTTTAGAACCACGAGCTGCTCTACTGGTTCTAGAAACCAGTTTACGAATGGCACTAACTAACTAAGCTTAACGTTATCTTTGTAGCACTGAGATGGTAACGCCCTCTGTACTAAAAAAAATCTCCAACTAACATATTGTCCGATCCGGGGCTCGAAGCCATGCATGATCTGCAGTCGACTCTTCTAACCCCCAGACCATTGACCCACATTTTAAGTACTACCACCACGAAAAGAACAGCCCCATAAAACATTACGGGTTTTCATATTATTGTCTTTCGGCTGTTGCCCGCCTGAATGCTAGAAGATTGTGTCAAATTCTTCGAGCAATAGAGGGGGAAAAGCCAAAAAGACAATAATATGCTGATCGATGGCCGTGAAAGCCTTACTCAATTTACATTACGGGTTATTAGCCCGCCTGAGTCTAAATTTTTTTATCACACAAACAATTTTCTCAAACTACTTACTCAAGCGTGTTTTTAATTTGGAATAAGATTTTATCCATTCTAACTTAGTTTAATGATTTCAGATAATGCGGAAGGCTCGGGGCTTCTTCGCCTTTAATACAACTGTACCAAAGACGATTGTGTCTATGAAGGACAAATGTTGACATTTAATTTTCTATGAATAAGTTAATTCAAGCATCGGAAATGTTATGAAAATAGATTTTTCGTCAAAAAATAACTCTGTAAAAGTAATGGCACTATAAACTCTTGTATGATGGGTAATTTAAGGTAACATAGTTTTTCTTTTTCAGGTAAAATTAGGTGATGACGTGAGTGACTACTTTTACGTTTTTCTGTTTTCAAAGTAAATATATATAATTTGTTGATAAATACGAAATCTTTTAAATATTTGAAAGCTTCAAAACGGACGGGACTCGAACCCGCCATTGATGTCGTTCCATGCCTATAAAACAGCAACTTAACTGTCAATTATATTTCTTTACGTACGCCGCCTATATTATTTAATCGAATTGAGACGTTATGATAATTATATGAATTTACAATTGCAGACGACTTATAATACTACTAAGTCTGCTAGTGCTGACTTGTAGGTTTCAAGGGGCACGGACCACACACATAAATGTGCCTCATATGCATATCATATGGAGACAGTTATATAGTAAACTAGCTGTGCCCCCGACTTCGTCCACGTGGAATAGTAACTTTGGGTAGAATATTTCAATTATTTAGGATGTTTATTTATATATTGTATGAATTTAATAAGACACATCTGTAAATACAGTTTTCCACTGCAAAGAGCTTATTAAGGTATTCATAATAAGTACATCCATGGTATAGTTTATTTTTATATGCTTATTTGAGTTTTATAGTTACTTTCGCATTTATAATATTAGTAAGTTCTAAAAAAATTAATTACGATATATCTCACAACTTTTCATACCTTATTCAACCCCTTACTATCTTTTTTCGTACAGCAAAAGGTTTTACAATGCATGTCATCGAAAACGACGAATTCAAGGCAGCCAATCTGTGTTGTAAGTGCTACTTTGCCGCAACACTCTCACTCCCATTCTCACTAATACACTCCCACTCTCACTCGCATTCCCAAAAAGTTATGGAAGAAAGTTTCATTGTTCTAGCTTAAAAAATGACGAATTTCCATACAAACTTTAATCCCCGTTTTCAGCCCTTAACGTTTCTGTTTGGCATTAAAAAGTATGTCCTTTCTCAGGCTCTAGAATACCTGTATACCAAATTTCATATAAATTGGTTCAGTACTTTGGGTGTAAATGCTAGACAGACAGACAGAGTACTTTCGATTTACGTTTAGTAGTGATTGATAGAGACATAGAAGATTACATTAATTACCCAATACAAGCGGGATAAATCAAAGATCATTTCTGTACATATGTTTATTTAAAATTTCCTCTCGTTTACAATTTATGCGATACTAGTCAAACTTCCAATACGTTAATTGGATCTTGGCTCCAAAACTCCAAGTCTTCAATCATCTTTGGAGATAGGAGAATTTCGTTAGGCGAATAATGGGACATCTGCAAAGAAAAAATATTAACTTAATTATGCCTTGGAATCTAAAAACAAGCCGAAGAACTATATAATAAAAATCATCAGTAAAACATTCTAAAACTCGGTAGAGTCGTTTTGCAGGTAGTCTACTACCTGCTATTAATTTAACGAGCTTTCTATTTTGTATTTTAAGTTAAGTAGGGTTTACCTTGCTTGTGTGTGATCCCCTCTTTCTTCGCAAGTAATTGAAACAGCAGGTCCGGAAGTACCTAGTACCGCAGGCCGGCTCGCATTCTTGACCACAGGATTGGCAGTTTAGTGCAACTACCCACATCGTCATAACTGTAAAAATAATGGTCTATGAGCTAATCAATATTTCTAAAAGAGTGAGGTCCTGGTTTAGAATCTTGTATCAAAAACACCAAGGACAACAGGATCGTTCCTTCGTACTAATTTATAGAAATGCGCGTTAGCAAGTGGCATTTCTCTAATGCGTTGATATTAACTAATACTTTAGAATTAAACGCGTTCCATGCATCTGGTCAACTTTGAGTCAATATTATATGTTTTTTTTTTGGATTTACATTTACGTGATTAATGTTTTTACGATTTCTGTAATAGTACACTTAAGGCTAATAAGATGCCCAGCCTTAAAAGTTAGCGCCAAAACTCACCACAGAGAATCACGAGAACAATAATAATTTTTGACATATTGCACAGATAACTAAATCAAAGATGGCTGATCGAGAACAGCTGACCGAATGGCAGGGAATGGAAGGAGAATCCCTTTTATATTGCAAAATGTTTATTCACGTAGGTGCCGCGAGACACTATTGTTTGCGTATTGTTTTACAGAACATGTGAAAATCATTTAGCTATAACCTATTTCTGAAAATGTTTTGATTTGCTCTGGTATATTGTATTAAATCGGGTACTTCTGAACTAATGTAATCACAGTTCCATTTTCAACATTTTTTTATATATTGCTAGAATTATGTCTTAAAATAGTTAGTCTTCGTTTAGGCATTATTTTAGCATATATTTTATCTGTTTCAGTCTGGATGACGTACTCGAAACGTGGAAACCCCATTATCGTTCTTTACGGCTATAGATACTCCTTGAAAAACACAAAGGAGAGTTGCGGTACTGTAATCAGGAGGTGGCAATGTTCAACACACACAAACAGGGGTTGTCTGTCCTCGATCATGACAAATGACCAAGTCATAGTCCATATGAAAAATGAGCACAACCACCCGCCTTCTATTACTAAAAAAGGAAAGGAACTTTGGAACTTGGAGATTGAGGTACCTAGGAAAAAGTAAAACTACATTTACACAGAAGTACCAGGAGTCGACGTGGAATACGATGTTTCATAGAACAGCATAGTGGGTCAGGTACTTCTATGGGCTTTTTACGGTTACAGATGTGATCGAATATCCTTCTGGTCTTTTCTATATTCTGTGAACTCTGTGCCTACAACGTCGCATTCTCTTCGCATACACATATGTATGTAAACAAAACTTCATATATGAGTCTGTACTATCAATTAATATGATTATGTATCATTTGAGTGTGACAAAGCTTTCTAAACTAAGAAATGGCAATAAAATACACACTATGATCTCTTTAAACATAATTGTACTGTATAATAAAATAAGTGTTTTATCGTAAAATTATTCTGGGAAATAGAAATAAAAAATAATTGGATATCGGTAGTGTGATATATATATAGTATACTAGGTGCCCGCGACTTGTCGGGGCATAGGACTTGGGGTAGAATTTTTAATTATTTAGGCTGCTTATTAATTTATGTAAGGACGCATTTATGGCAGCAAATCTATGTTGTAAGTGCTACTTTGCCCCAACATCTCACTCATATCTCTACTCTAACTCCAACTCTCACTCTCTCCCCACTCCCACTACTATTCCCAAAAAACTAAAGTAAAAAGTTTCATTGTTTCATTGTCGAATTTTCGAAAGTTTCATTGTTCTAGCACGAATTTACATACGAACTTTCATCTCCTTTTTCAACCCCTCTCAACCCTATTTTGGCATTAAAAGTATGAACTTTCTCCGGCTCTAATATATCTGTGTACCAAATTTGATTTAAATCAGTTCAGTAGTTTCGGAATTAAAGCCGGACAGACAGACAAACAGAGTTACTTTTGCATTTATAATATTAGAATAGATTTGATGTAGTATGTATGTCCTCTGTTACTTTAATAATGACGAAATAATATTCACACTTACGCAGTATTCAAAACATATACCTATCTAGATATAAATGTATCAATGTGTATTAAAAGATCTATATATTTATAAGGTTTTAAGACAGTAATTTATTATTCGTAATCATAGTTATTGACTTAAACAACAACGATATTTTAATCTTTCAACTTTTGTTTTTAACTATTGTCAAGCCGTTATGTATAATTTTTCTTGGTCATATATCATATGTCTTCATATTTCAAAGTGAACACGTTACATTAGGTTAGTAAATCTATAAAAGTAAGACGTTGTTTCATTAATTTAACAGCACAACTAAAATATATCTATACTAATATATAAATCCGAAGAGTTCATTTGTTTGAACGCGCTAATCTCAGAAACTACCGGTTCAAATTCTTTTTGTGTTGGTTAGAGCATTTATCGAGGAAGGCTATAGGCTATAAAACATCGTCTTGTGACTAATAGGGGCGGAGATACAGCGAGAAATGCGACAAAAATTGGGAAAATTATTCATCATTATGGTTTTTCGGTGCGTACTACTACAAAAACGGTTCAAGACACCCAGAGATATTTATGGAAAACGATTTTTCTTTATATTTTCTAAAAAGAAAGCCCGCGACACTATATGTCTATCTTGCAAGAACACAGAAGTGACCGACTGACATGTGGGTAACAGCTTAAGTTTATAAGGAAGGGGTTTGGAGGGGTGGCGAATTTGGATGCCCAAAATAACGATTTTCGCGGACGAAGTCGCTGACACATCTAGTTGTAAATATAAATAGATATTTTTTTTCATGTCGTTTAGTTTGGAGCTAAAAGATTTACCGGCTTTTACGACTAACGCTAGTTATTTATAAAAGTTACTCTTTCAAAGAGTAACTAGGCTTTTCGACAGACTTTTTGCAAAATAAAGTTGGCCTTCAACGTTTGTACGTAGCTAGAATTAACAATGCCCCCCCCCCCCCCTTTGTTTGTAATAAATATTAGACATATAATTTAATGAGATACGTATGAATGATTGTCTTTTCTTGAAATGTTGACTATATAATAATCTACAGCTTCTTATTACTTTTTTCAGCTAAGTATGTTCTTATTACAAGGCCGAGTGGGTCTAAATTACTATACGTCGATGATAAGTACTTTTTCACCATCCATTTTACAAAAAAAGTCGGTGAAACGATAAAGACCCGATGGTATTGCAGGAAACGCAGCACTGGTTGTAAAGCCTGTGTATACTCGATCGACAATCAATTCTACGACAATAAAACGACTAACAAACATAATCATTGAGAAAAATTTGCCATACATTAAGAAAAATGTATCTATGGAATTGGCGGCTGTCTCTTTCTATTCACGAGTCTAATATAAAGACAAGTACTATTATTTCCTATTAAGATGTATTTTGTGGACAAATAAAACTTTTCATAATTATGAAAATGCTTTTTATGTCTTTATTTCTTTTCACTTTTTGTCAAATTGGATAAAAATGTAAATCTATTTGTCAAGTCAAAAAAATTGTTTTTATTTCAGAAAAATATGTTATTGCCACAAAAACAAATGGTTCTCAAATGCTATGTGTAGATAGTAAATACTGTTTTCACGTACATTTAACAAAGAAAGTCAACGGAGTCCTGAAAACACGATGGCGCTGCAGGGAACATCGTTTTGGTTGTAAAGCTAGTCTTTACTCTATCGACGATCATTTCTATAACAGTAAATGGGGCAACAGCCATAATCATTGAAATCCCGAACCTTTGATATCGCGATGAACTGACGAATGTCTTCCCACATGCGTATCGATCATATAGCGACTTGTGGTCTTTCTTCAGGAAAATAAGCGATCAAATTTTTTTTTAATGTAGGTAATTTTAAACCCGCTGTTAAAAATTATTTGCTAATTAATGATTATTATAGTCTAAATCATTATTTAGACAATATTGCTTGGAGTTGGCTGGGTAAATGCCGTTGCCGATACAATAAAACAGATGTGAAAATTGTTTGTCTTCAATTCTGGCATGAGAGCCAGGACCGTGGGTCCGTGGCCGCCATGCCTTAGCGACCCCCCTAACGCCTTTTTGACTGCACTTACAATCTAGCGTAATCAAAATGGCGATTCTTCCAGCGAGTACTTTTCGTGTATTCTTTTATTTTTTTTAACTACTAAATGTAGTATTTAATGAAACACTTTCGTCCCGATGCTCCCCGTAACTACGGATGCTGCAATGCCTTCGACACGTCGGGCCGTAGTTTAAATAATTTGTTAATAAGATATACTAATATATGTATTTTGCGTTTTATGTGTACAACTCGCGTAATTACAGACAGTATTTATTAAATTAGTAGTTAAATTGAATTACTGATTTTTAAACTTTAAAATGAGACGTACTTACATGTTTATATTTGGTCGCTGTTTACTGCTACAAAATATTAATATATGTATGCCCCAAAACTGTTTATTTTATTAACTTCTCTTTTCTTAAAGTGAATCTGTCGTTGAATATAAAAAGTAAATCGTAACCGTCTCTTTTCAGAGAAATATGTAGTTGTAACAAAGAACAATGGCTCCAAATATCTAGTTGTAGATAATAGTTACTTCTTCACCATACATTCCACGAGGGCCGTCGGTGGAACTGTAAAAACTCGGTGGCGTTGTAAAGCGAATCGGTTCGGTTGTAAAGCTAGTGTATATTCCATCGACAACAACTTCTTCACCACTGGTTCAGTATACAACCATAATCATTAAAAGGAAGGTTTCGTTGGTAATAATGCGTACTTTTATGTGAATGATTGTGGCTAATCAATAGGTCGTGGCTTCGATCCCAACCGGATCCAAAATTTTTCTTAAACATGTTGGTCTGAAAATTTGGATATTTAAGGGGTCGAAATTCCAAGCGGGCTTTTGCAATTAATATTTCTAGTGCTTTCTGTGTTTGCAAAGCGAGTTTAAAAATTCAATTAGTTCAACTTTTTAATGTTTGTAGTCTTATATGTACTTATGTGTGGTTGACCTGATAGAATAAATAAACGGTATGTACAATATTGTTTTTATGTTATTATTGCAGTAAATTGTCTTCCACTGCTTATATTCTTGATCATGTGCTCTTTAACAGCTATATATATATATAAAAAAAAAAAAAAAAAAAAAAAAAAAATATGTATAAACAAACGCCACTTACAAGCCTACCTACCTATTTAAGTCTTAAGACCAAAATACGTCACTGCTTGCTTAACGTACACAACTGTGTACTTACTTTTTTCTTTTTAAATTTAAATTTTGAGGTATTAAGCAATTGACGGGTTCACATATTGCTTTTACTTTGTCACGTTACATTTCCAACGGGTAAGATGCCTACTATTATACAACAGAAAACTTTAATATTTTTTACACATTATTGCACATAAGAGCATAAACATTAAAAACGGTTTCAGGTTGAAAAAAATTAACGATGACGTGTAGGATACCGTGGCTCAGTCGGTTAGAACAACAGCACGGAACGCTGTGGATGTCAAGTACTACTCGTGTCGATTAAAAACTTCTGTTTAATTTACACAACTCTTAGAAGCAGACCATAATTATAAGGTCATATGTATAAACCAACTAAACCAGGTTGTTAAGGATTATTTTGAAATCGTCTAACTTAGTAATATATATCATATTACTAAGTTAAATGTATAAAATAAAAAAAAAACATAATGTACACGATACAAATGCATTTATTTCAGGAGAGTTCGTTATGTCCAAAAAAGGAAAACTGCTGTTAAAGCTTCAGGGCTACACGTATTATGGAACGTTGTCGGAGGGCAAGTCTAGATGGCGCTGTTCAACGCGTCGCCATTGTAGAGCTATTGTCATAACGTACAATGAAGAAGTGGTGAAAGTTTCAGGAGACCATGACCACGACCCGATTTACCCGATTTGAAGTCTTTGAATTCATAAAAATAATATTTATTTGCATTTTAATTGATATAAGTACGTCCTAACAAACGATGATTCGATGATGAAACGTAGTCTGCTGAAAATTTTCTTATCTTATATTTACACATTAGTTACATGGCCAGCCATAAAAGGTATTACTTTTCGGTGGCATTAAGAAAACAAAAAAATAAATCAAGTCTTTATTAAATGGTTGATTATACTTATTGTAATTGTTTATTTTGTTATAAATATATTGATACATGCAAACATATTTATATATATTTTGAAATATAAGCCCATGGAAAAAAATGTATGTACTTAAACGTCTACGTCTATATTTTGTATAAGGATAGCAGATCATATTTTAGCTCAAATCGGTGTGTATTACACTGATTAACATTATGTATGCATAACAAAGCTTTATGTTTTAAATGTCATGTAATAGCGTTTCCTTTTTTAAGATAGAGCCTAGTATATTAGTTGCTCTCCCTTCCGATCGCCTTTAAAATTGTCATCAAAATAATAATAGTTTTGTAGTTCTTTTTATATGTTCTACTATTAAAAACTGACAATTATAATACATTTAGAGCAAGTAATTTATTCATAAATGTTCTTAGGTAAATCAAGCTGTAATCATAAAAATTAAGATTTGTTCATAAATGTTTTAGTCAAAATCCAGTTCACGACGTCGCGAAAGGGAAAGGTGATGCTGCTCCTCAACGGCTACACGTACTACGGTAATAGATCGATTGGTAAATGTAGATGGCGCTGTTCTACACATCAATATCGAGGCTGCAATGCGACTATAGTTACATGTGAAAACACTATTGTAAGTATGTATGGAGCTCATCTTCATCCACCGCGCATTCAATAATATTCTATAGGCGGAATAGAAATCTAAAGAGAAGAATATTTTATGCAAACTGGAAATAATATTACTACGTAAAAAGGACATTGTATGCTCGTCCATAATTAAAAACTTGTAAGCGAGACATTAGCTACGTAGAAACTATGTACGCTCATGTATCTACTTTTAAAGCTATTAATAATTTTCTCCTGTTTATTAACAACCAGAATGATAAAGAAACAATGTAATTTGTATTGTAGCAGTGATTCCTGTTTTAACATAATGTGATTCTTTTTTCAAGAACATTTGATGCTTTTTACGCCTTGATGCCACAAGAATGATTCGTGATGCCTTAAAGAAATATATATGTAAATTTATCTGATTGTTCCTTCGTTTCTCCTTTCTAAATACAAAGGTAGCCTGGAAGAGATCGCCTTAGGTTACAAGGCTGCTTTTGCTCTAACTTTGCAATATATTTTAGTTAAATGTCGTTTTAATTAAAGAAATAAAGAAAAGTCTTGAACTCTATAGAACTTTTTTTTATTACACACTTAAATCCAAATATTGAATGACATACGCTATTGATTTTGCGGGTAATATATTGGTGCTGTGGCGTGACAAAAAGAAATTACGACACTTTAAACATTACTGGAAAATTCTAATGGAATTAAAAATAAAACACTTTATAGGCTAAAACGTGAAGTATATTAGTTAAAACTGGTTTACAAATTATGTTTAACTACTGCCCGACGATTCGGATGCTTTGCAGCAGCTGTGGTCACGGGTGGGACAGTCCCATCATACAAACGATTTGACGGACTTGTGTCATTATCACAGAGGCTAATCTACGAGTCCAGGTCGTGCGTTTGCAATATCTGGATGATAAATGTCTCGGTCGAATCATCCTCCAAAAATGTCAATTTCTAAATGTTGCTTAGATGTCTTCTATCGTCTGAACTAATAGTTGTGTGTCCTTCTCCGTCATAAAAAACCATGGTGAATCTCTTGTGTTTCTATTCCGTCTCAATGGTCTGTCGTTAGGATGAATCACCAGATTTGGAAGTCCCGTTTCCAAAAGATTAACTGAAAACCGGCGGATGGTTATGGTGGCCAGCGTATTTGAAAATTTCATCGTCAATAGTGAGGATGTACGCTCGGCATCCTTCGTGCTCGCGGTTACATCTCCATCTTGTTTTATATACACCCTGATTATGCAAATGAAACGTGTATCCATTTATGCGCAAACGTCTGGTTCCCCTTATCGTCCTGTCAAAGTATATATTTTCTGTAACAAAAGAAGATTGTGTTGGTAATTTGTCTACTAGTCGATGCGACATTATAATTAAAAGGCTTATAGTTTTAAATCCTGTAATATAAATAGTTAAAAAATCGAAAATAAAATGAAAACATTTTCGCCTCGGGCAGGACTTGAAGCGGCATCGTCGGCTTTAGTTGCTCTAGCCAATTGAGCTACCGAGTCCTACACCTAATCGTCGCATTTTTCAACTTATTTTTTTAACTTAACTTTAGCTCTTGCTTATTAAGCTTCAATGTCTGTAGTTTATAGTTTAAGAACATCATTGAAGATGAAATTACGTTATAATGTTTAAAAGTCCTGCCCGAGTCCATTTTTTAAAATTTATTTTCGTATTCTAATGTATCATGAAAAATAACATGTAAAAAAAATAAAGTTTCCAAATATCCATAGTATTGTTTACTTTTTATTATAGACAATTTTAAATTCGTTCATGCCATTTAGGTACTGAAAAAGTAACATACAAACATGATCTTTTACTGTAATTAGTAAATTACAGTTAACATACAAAACTTGAATTAATGTTTTTTAATACATAAACACAGCATTTCATATAGAAACACAATAAACTGTTTAAAACGAAATGATATTTTTGATGTTTTTCCATTTCACGACATGTATAATACTGATTCTATGTCACTAAAAGTTTTAATCGGTGGTGCTCCTCGACATCTCAATTTTTTTTCTGTATTGACTTTGATAAGCATACCTACTCACCTGTGCAAATTATTAATTTTTAGTTTGGTATTAAGTATTTTAATTTACTTTCTGTATAACGGTGATCCAAAATCATCAAAATAATAATTTAAGAAATAATTGTAACAGTCACACCCATATATGATAATTAAAATTTGAATTATATGTGATAATTAGGTGATAACTTTATTAGTTAATGGAACGTAAGGTCATTTTTTTAATCTATCATTGTTTAAAAGATTTAAAATAATTGCTAAACTGTGCATCTTGCCTTAAATTCCTCATAGGACCCTTTTACTGACTTTGTCTTAGTTTAGTTAGTATTATATTGATGTGTATTTAGTAAATTGTTTTCTCGTTTAGATGTCATGTGGAAAAATATATCTATATACTTCTTTATCTTACTTAAAAATAATACTGTCGCAACCTACTATCAAATGTAGTTTCAATTAAAGACGTAAATAAAAGTCTCGAACGCAACGAAGCCTTTTTATTTCTCAATTACGAATAGTCTGCTATCGACTTACTAGTACTCTCAAAATTGGTCCTCTGGTATATTTTACAAGACTTTTTAAAGATCGCAACAGGAGCAATACAATTACGTTGAATAGTGGATTCGTCCATTACAACAATACCATTTGACGGGCTCATCGGTCAAGTGGTAGCAGCGTATGCCTAATAACCAACAAGTCGTGAGATCCCCACCAGAAAATGGTTCTAAGATCAATAGATATTGTTCTTGATTAGATAATATCTTATTATTTATTATAGCTGAAAATCTCGTTTTCAAACGATTGAGTGTAGGACGGTGGGTGTGTGTGGTTATCACAATGTTTGAGGATTTCGTCATTAAAAGTGAATATATACGCCCGGCAACCACGGTGTACTTGGCTGCATCGCCAACGTGTTTTGTACATTCCTTGTTTGTGTAAGTTGTATGAGTACCCGTGCATGCTCACTCGTTTCTTTCCTCTTATTGTTGTGTCAAAGCATACCTTGCCTGTAACAAAAGTTAATGCGTGTTACTCGTTATCTTACATACTAGATGACGGCATATTATTTAGTTCATCGAATCCTCGTTCATGTCACGAGACAATAAGTAAAAAATTAGTATCTTTAAAAAATGCCTATTTGATAAATAATAACATTTAAATAAAACACTTTAATGGTTTAAAACGCGATATATTAGTTAAACTTATTTGAAAATGATTTTAACTTCGGCCCGACGTTTCGGATGCTTTGCAGCAGCCGTGTATATCGCGTTTTAAACCGTTAAAGTGTTTTATTTAATGTGTACTACTCGCCTACACTATAGACAGTATTTAAATAATAACATTTCTTTTTAAACTTATTCCTGTTTTTAGGTTGAGAAAAAGTAACACACACAATTATACATATATTATTTTTATCATATAAATGATATGATGATGAATATATACTCTTACGTATAATTATTATTAATTTATGTTATCTAGTCATTAAAAAATATCGCATTGCGCTTATTTAGGATTTCGAACGCAAAGGTTAAATATTATGTTACCCAATTATTAACTAAGCCTTTGCTATCTGTCTCAAGAACCGCGGCAACTGCATTTTCACAAATTGAGTATCACTGTCGCTAAACCAACACATAGTAAAAATAAAATAAAATATAACAACATACAAAAAAGCAAATCTTTGCTTATTTTTGTTCAATGTGACGCTTGAATGTAAAAAAAGAGGGGTAAAATATGAAATTTGTGTACCTAGTCAATGGTACGAAACCCTGCGGGAATCCAACTTGCACTTGTTCGGTAGGAGAGCCTTCAAAATGAGAGATGCTACTCTTTGATCGTGGGGCCTGTGAGGGGTTCAGTCGGTGGATGATTATGCACGTCCACATGTTTAATAATTTCGCCATCCATTGTATGTAATAAAGCGTGGCAGCGATTATAGGCACGTGTGCAAACCCAACGATGTTTTAATAAATTCTCGCCGTATATCTGTCGCCTGAACGCGTACCCATTTATAACCAACCAATCGGTTCCCCTGTTCGATTTCGTATAATACACTGTGTCTGAAACGAAGAGCCGGTTAGTCAAGAACTTTGCAAGTGTAGGTATAGTGTATTTTTTCTAACTTGGCAAAATACTACAACAAATATAGCCGGTTTAAAACCATAGTGATGACCTGTTATAGAGTACAATTGTTGCCACAGATGACGCAGGGATTAAAAAGTATCGATTTTATTTGGACTAAAGGAGCTCAATATTCAAAATCACTTTTTCGTCGACTTGTACCTTCTATTGTCGTTGACTCTGCTTACATCCCATCCTTATGTAAATGTCAAAGTAAAGAAATTTTAATCTGTCCACTTACGTAAATTTTATTTTTTGATTTTTATAAATGTGCTTTTTACTAAGTGAATTTGAAGAAGTTAAATATAAAATCGAGTGTCTCAAAGTGTTTTAGTGTAATCAATCTTGTGAGAAAATGTAACTAAGACATGGTAACTAAGTAAGTTTTTCTATCTCAGTCCAATTTTTTTTCTACACGGTTTTTAGTACAGAAATCAAATTAAATTAACTTTAAACTGTGCTTAAAATAAAACTAATTATTTAAATAAAAATAATTGAAGAAATTAAATAGAAGCTTAATTGGTAAAGGAACACTGACCACTGTGTACACTCGAGTTCGATCTCTCGTTCCAAATAAGTTTAACTATAATTCGCTAAATATTTAATATATTTCGCGTTTTAAACCGGTAAAGTGTTTTATTTAAATGCGTAACAACAAAAACTCGTGTAACGACAGTGTTTAATTAATATATATCCTTCAAAATAAGAATAAATCTATTGGTTCATACTAAAATGGGGGGGGGCGATCTTTCGGGTGGTGGGTGGTTGTGAAATCCCATACATTTGAGTATACGACCATCTAAAGTGTGCGCTATGGCGCGGCATCGGTTGTAATATCGTGAGCATCGCCAGTGTGTTGCGACTGAAGTCTCTTGCTTCAGGGCATAGGAGTAACCATTGACCACCAGAGATCGATTTCCTTTTTTCGTCGTTGTATAATATACCCCTAAAAACATACAAATAATTTAATGTTCGCTACAATTCTTGCCGGTTCTTCTAGAGATGGATATATGATAAAGAGAAACGACAAAGATAATTTTCTACTTCTATAAGACTTTGATATTCGACTACTTTGCACCATACCAACTACAGTAGCACAGCAAACATATACAGAAAAACTGTACAGAAAGGAAAGGTTTTGTAACCCCTGGGAGGTCTTGGGGGAGGATTTTAATATGGATTAAAACCTCCACCAAATCCAGTGGGCCTTCTTAGCCCGTTTTGGCAAGGCATTAACGACTACTCTTACTGAATGTGGTGATAACCAGACCGGCAGCTAATGTGCATTCTGCAGCACCGGAGTGATGATACCTCCTACTTCAAAACTTCGGCTGATGTTAAAAATTTGTTTGGATAAAACCAGTCTTAGAAAATTTCCCCACCCAGGATTTCAACTTAGACCAGTGATCTACTTATAGTCGTTCCAGGAACCCATTGTTAGTATACATATACATAGAGCAAGTTCAACATATTTGAACTCTGGAGGTCATAAAAAACAAATTTAATTGGATAGCTACGATCTAGTAGCCAGTAATCAACCAACGGAACACAGTAATTTGCGATACCCCGAATAGGTACTTAACATAACTTTTGCTTATGATATTTTGAGATAAATAAAAATAAAGTAATAAAAAACTAATTTATTTGGTCATTTCACGTTTCAACTTAAAAATAAACTATGATTCATTATGTAACTTTAAAACAACAACAATACGTTAAATTATATAGTTTCATCATAGCCTTTATATTTATTATTAATCAACTAAGTTAAAATAATAGCCTTAAAATCGATGGAATGTAACCGTTTTATCCTACACAATACATCGGATAAAATCAATATCTTACAATGAGCGCGTACGTAGAGCTCATAATTTTATGGTAGAGGATAGACCCAGCCATGTAACATCTATACAAGATACACTGTCGACCTATTTCGGCTTGGATCAACATCAACAGACTGAAACCGAAACGCGATTAAACTCGACGGCCCTTTGCTCTATGGACGTTGGTTCGATATTCCACCCGTTTAATATCCAGATTTCCAGACGAAGTCCAACATGTTTCAGATAAGTGAATTAGAAAAATGTTGGACCCGGTGGGGATCGAATCCAGGACCCGTTGATTAGTCTTATATTGCACCGACGAGCCCAATAAAATTGTTAATATTGTAAATAATATTAATCAACAATCACTTTCGTATACCGTCGTGTTTATGCACGTTGTATATCCGAATTATAGCATCGTTCCAGGTCGTCAGCTTCGCCTTGCAGCCCTTGTCGATCTTATTGCAGACCCAGTGCACCTCCTGCTTCTGGTTCGTGTGTCTGGAGCGCTTTTTAAATCTATATTCACCGAGCAGAATAATGGGATTGCCTTGGCGAGACGAACTGTACTTTGGAATAGGCGTGTCTGTAAAAAATGATTTGTTTATTTTTATCACACCAACAAAAAATAGATTACGCAAACATGTATTGTAATCATTGGGAAGTAAAAATAAAAAATGTATGTGTGAAAACATTTGAACCATTACCTAATTGTTTCAATACCTGGTTTACCATGATACACATACCGAAAATAATATTCACAATATACGGTGTGAAGCTATCAGCACATCCTATCGAGGGAGGTACTATATGCTTAAAACAAACATACTAGTACAGAGTGATAACAGGGGGGAAAACAATGTAAAAAGTATCACTCGTGGTCACTCAACTGCTGCAAAGCATACCATACGTTGGGTGGTACTTAAAATATGTAAACTTATATATATCAACAATGTATTTTTTTAAAGACTAGGACAGATAAGAGTCCTATTTTTTGGCTTTGAATATGCAAAACTCCACAAAGTGAAAGGTTAACGCGGGTCTACACGAGATATCCAAATATCTTAATATCAGCCATTTTGAGGCCAGGTTTCAATATAAGAACGTTGAAGAAAAGTGGAAAAATTAAAAGACACACCTAATATTGGACCAATGCTTTCAATTCTGTAATTTTGATCTGACAGCGCATTTAATATTTGCTAGAGATTACATACATTATTTTTAATTCTGTAAGGAATATTTATCATGGTAATTTAGGTAAAATGTACGAAAAAATATGTCATTTATAACAATCAACATGATATTTATCGTATCAATATACTCGTAGCCGTTACATATATACATATAAAAACAAAAATGGTATTGACTACAAACTAAACTACAAAATACAAAGTACTACATACAAAACAAGTATACAACATGACTTACATATATATATACATCAAATTTACATTACAACTAAATATTAAAAATTCGTGCATAATTATGCTATGAGACTAACAATATATAAATTTATTTTTAAAATTGTTTATAAACATAATGATAGTAAAACTGCATATGCCTTTTTGTAGGGCGTGTAAAATAGACTTTAGAATTCAATAAATACTCAAAGAACTTTAAAGGGTGGTGAGAAGCTATTGCCTGTTCTCGTCCGTTTTACGCCTAGAACTGGTAATAAGTAAATTAAAAATATATTTAAAAATAAATAAAAAATATGACAACGGCGGGTCATAAACCGAGATCCACAGCGCTCCCGGTTGCTGCCAACTGCCCAAGTGAACCATGTTCTACACGTCGTCATCGATTTTTTGATGTGAAACATCTATAGCCGCACGTAAAACCGATTTCTGGCGTGGCGACGCATGCCGTGGCGATACGATGCCACGCTATACGATGGTATATATATACAGTCTATATGCAGTAGTGTGTACGGTGTGGCGGCGCGGTTAATTTTTGTATTTAATGGAAATAAATGTTTATTCAATAAATAGTCATCGTTATCTGGAAAAAATCGTAATATTTTATTTTATCTTTATGACATATTTAGTTCCTATCACAATATGTTCTTTTCTGCACATTACTTTTACAAAATAATGGCGATGTTTTACATCTGCCCGGCGTCCCGTGACGGCTCACATTTTTTTTACCAAAATAGATTTTTAATTTATATACTACCAGTTCTAGGCATCGTGTGCAATGAGCTGTGAAAAATTTAATAAATTATTTTATAAAATTTTAAAATGCTTTCTTCTTGGAAGAGATCGTTTATAGTTGATAAGCAGGCCCGTTGCACAGACATTTTAAATTTGATTGTTTTGTTTTTATTTTAAATGGCATGTAATAAGTAAATAAATAAACCTTACAATTTAAAGATAAATATAATTTTTACACTTAATGCACTATCAGTGCCAATACTTTTTATTCCGCAGAAGCTCCGAGGCGTCGTGGTTGTGGCAACCGCCGATAAATATAATATCTGAACTCCTGGTCTTGACGATAGCCCTGCACCCCTTATGCAGATGCGTGGAACACACCCAACGGACGAAGGACTTGCACTCGGTCTGCTTGTAGTACGTAAAATTGTTGTATAACAATAGAATTTTACCCTTTTGTGACGTCGTGAATATCGCTTGCTGTGTGTAACCTGAAACTGGAAGCTATATTAGAGTGAAGGCTAAAATTTTTCCTGTTAGGATTTAAATAATTAACAAAGCACGTGAAACCTTTAGTTCCAAGCGTAGTCGTTGAAGCCCGCTGACGTTTGTATATTGGTCCAGCGTACTTTCAGCCGTTCGGTATTCACTGCTGGACATAGCCAGAAGATGTATTCAGATCAGTTGTTTACTAGAATCCAGCGTTTTTCAGCTTACAAGAGCATCGGATCTAAACTCTAAAGACTTAAACCTCTCCTGACCAGAGCCAAACAGTTCAACTTTCAAAAGGAAAATAATTTCAAACATTTTGTCATAGGTATCTCTTCTGTAATAATATTTTGTACCATAAAGCGTTTTTATTAAATTCCTTGAAGATACATACAGTGTCGTGAGTCAAGTGAGTCTTTTTGATCAGATTTCACGAGGTTATCACTCGTTTGTTAAAAGTAAACCTAAAAGTTAGAAACCGCCAAAGCGGTTATCCGCTTGTAAAAGGATACAAGTTAAGGAATTTTAAAAAGAAAACTAAATGCTAGTATAAAAAACTTTAATAGATTCACACAATTAAATTTAATTATTGTAGTAAATATAATATACAATATTTCATAGCTGATTGAATATATCTGAAGAACCATTGTCTTAACTAAATTATATAAAAAACTTAAGGCCACATAAAAATATAAGTATTTAATTGTAAAAATATCGATCAGCGCTCATGTTATAATACAATTACATCGATAGTGATTTTTTCCTACCAGAAAAACAATTCATATTGAGAATTCATTTTCCTTGAACTAAGAGATTAATTGTAGACCTTATTGTAAATAGTCCTAATTTTAAATTGATTAGACTTAAAAAGGATAGTAAAAGCAAATAATACACAAACACTAGACTAGAATTGATTTAAGGCATGCATCGTAAAGCCTAGTTTATACTTAACATTATAGTCGCTAACGTTTAAAATATTGAGTTTGATTGTTGTGCAATGTAATTTCGACCTTAGTATTACACAAGTCGTTGGTGTTCCTTACGCTGGATAGTATAAGATAATTAACAAGTCTTAGTAGCTTTCAAAAACTAAATACATGCCGCCTATCAAACAAGTGAAGGTTGAAATTACATTGGGCCATTTCATAAAGGGGTGAAATTTTAATATGGCTTTATTAGCTTCAAAAGTGTATCAGGAAATAACACATTGTGTTTTTACGTCGTAACCTTACCCCCTACTTATTGCATCGAAAACAATGTATATCTAAAAAAACACAATTTCGAAGAATTAATCGCCGCTAAATGTATATTGATAGAATTTTGCAATTCGTACCAGCACCTGCAGTGTTCCAGCAGTACAGTATTAGACAAACATTTTAGTTTCATCATATTATAACTATGGGTTTAATATATTTTACATACAATCAGTTATACCCTTGAAAATTATTCCTCATTAAATGCGAAGGCGGATGGTTATGACCACCTTTGGTCTCGATAATACTCGAACCCGTTGTCTTGATCAAAGCTCTGCAACCCTTGCTGTAGTTCGTGGAGCAAACCCACCGAATAAACTTCTTGCATACAATCTGCTTTGAGTATCTGTAATTTCCGAACAGCAGCATCGTGTTGCCCTTTTGCGATTGAGTGAAGCAGGCATATCCTGCTGCTGATCCTGAAAAATATATTAATCAGTAAAATGTGAAAGGAACAAATGATACACGAGATTAATGAAGAATAGAGAATAACAGATGGTCAACCAAGACTTATGGGATCCCAAAGAAAAATCGCGGAACAAAAATCTGAAAGATAATTAGAATGTTTCGTTATTAAATTTTAAAATGCAATGCAATTTTTTAAATCTGTAGTTACATGACGAGGAACTAAGGTCGTAGTTATAAGTAAACTAATATATTTCGCATTTAACACCGTCATAAAAATGTTACATTCAGAAACTATTCACGTATGAACGACTGAAACTGGGTCGTGTAACGTAATGATACGACAGACTATACGCGTAACTAAAGCTAAAAAGTAGTATTTAGTCTGTGGCAAAAATTGTTTTAAACAACTATTTATTCATCCATAACAGGGACGGGTTTGAATAAAAGAGGGTGGCGCATACAGAATCGATTTATTAAAATAGAGAGCATAAGAACACATCATTATAATACTGACAATAATATTTTGTACTTAATCAAAAACTGAGGCAAGACTTCAAGAGATCAAAATCGTTATCACAAAGTAGCACCCAATATATTTTAACTACAATATAAATCTAAGCTATAATGTCATTACAAAAGCTAAAATACATTTTACGTGGACGGATATTTAATTTATGCGAATATATTTTTCATTGTAAACCTATTCCTAATAATATGTCAAGTAGACAGATATTTAAATAAATATGGCTGTGTTTATTTACAATCACATTTAAATAATTATTAATTTCTTATCATTTATATTAATTGACGTGAAAAAAAAGTTAATGAGAAGAAACCTAAGAGCAGGTACAGTTGTGAAGAATGGTAACTATAATAATACAACATTTAAGTAACTAGAAGTTATACAAGTGATACGTTCAAAGAAGGAAAACCTAAAGTCCACTGTTGCTGGCTGTAATTACTTTCTGTTAATATTTTCATTTTTATTTAATAAGAATATTAGTAGAATTTAAACTGATTAAAAGAAGAGTATTCGAGTGGGTAACCCTTAACCAGGATCTGTCATACAAAAAACTCTGTCGGCGGATGGTTATGATTGTTCCTTTTGTAAATTAGCTTCTTCCGTTCAGTGTACACCGTCGCTTCGCACCCAGCATCGTTATGGGTGTAACATGACCAGCACCATTTACTCCCGGTACGTAGAACCTTCGTAAATGTGAAATCGCCCAGTTTCATTAGACACTCGCCGTCCCTCGAGTGCATGAAACGCACTGAAATCATTAGTTAAACACAAAACATTAATTAAACGGATTGATAATAAATTAAATGCCTTAAAATTTTACGCCATGTATCTTGTCAAAATGATGTAGCGTTCGTATTGTAGTAAAGAAATTTTATTAACTTCGGATGCAAGTATTATTGTCTGTAGTTTACGCGAGTAGTGCCAGTAGTATTAAATAAAACACTTTTATCGGTTGGACCACGAAACGTAGGATCGTAGTTTAATTCAATTGTAACTTAGTTAACTAATATATTTCGCGTTTAAAATAAAAACGTTTAAAGTGCTTTATTTAAACTTCGGATTTACCTAAATTGTGCAAGTGCGTATATAAGACACCCTAAAGCTAAGCTTAACTGAAAACGTCTCAATATCTGTGTAAATGCTGCCAACTCCTCTAGTATTGAGCAAAATTTATTATTATAAAAATAACTATAGCAAAAAAGTTTTAGTTTTTTTTTTCATATTTAGTTGTTGTAATAAACATAAAATTGGAGAACTTATTAGGTAAAACAAACTGTAGCATAACGTAAGCAAAAAGAATAACACGAAAGTTAATAAAATAATTAAATTTATTTAAAGTACTAATAATTAAACAAAAAACAGTTTATTTATTGCATAGAATGATATAAATTAATTTAAACAGAATTCACCGACTTAAAACCAACTGCATGATTTTTGGGCTACAAAACTTTTACAATCGTTAGCGAGTACATCGCTTACAACAGGACAGGTAAGCTTTAATAACTTCCTTTGAAACATTGCAATATTTACTTTTTATATTCAATCCCATTTTATCTAAATCGGCATGCTGAAACAACAAATGTATTGTGTGCAAAACGCTGAACAATTCGTCCGTTTTTACGTAAAATTTTATGCTATCGTCGACATCTTTGGGCTGTATCAATCTTTCTTTCCCATTAACTTCTAGAATATCGTAGTTAGAGAGAAGTTTGTAGTCTTCAAAGCTTTTATTTTTAGAAGCCTTAACTTCTTTTAACTCTGCCATGAGATCCCGGTAACGAGACTCGTTTATGTAATGTATACTATTTTTTTTTCGAGTCACCATATTATCTAATAATTTCTGAAATTTATCTTTCATTGTTGCAACATAATCGTCACGGAATTCCAAGAAGTGGTCTTCTGAAAGAGTTACACACAATTTAATTATTGAAAATTAATTGAAATATAAAAAGTAATTCATGATAGCTGTATTAATACAAGTACAAAGAAACATTAAAAATTATTAAATTTATATGTTCAAAAAGCTTTATCAAAACAAAATGATGTACCTTGTACAGGCTACAAAAAAATAACATAATTTAGGTTAATATCTAATAAAAGAGTAGAATCGAGACCATCTCATTAATTAATGCGAATTGTTTGAAGATATTAGCTCGCCATTAAATAAACAAACATTTTAAAGTAATTAAAATTGACACACATCTAACCATTTACCAACTATAACTCTCGAACTAAATAAAATCGAAATTGATGATTAATTGATTTAATTAAAACACTTTAACGGTTTAAAACGCGATATATTAGTTAAACTTATTTGAAAATGATTTTTAACTTCGTCGGCCCGACGTTTCGGATGCTTTGCAGCAGCCGTGGTCACGGGGAGACCCCAAATAAGTTTAACTAATATATCGCGTTTTAAACCGTTAAAGTGTTTTAATTAAATGTGTACTACTCGCGTAAACTATAGACAGTATCTGATTATTAAATTTTTAAATATAATCCTGAATTCAGTCGCATTATATTTGGTGGTGGGTGGTTGTGGTTCCTATTTTCAGATAAAATTCTTCCATCCGCATTGTCAGCTTTGAAGAAGGCGGTACATTTTACTGTTGTTCTTTTTGAACATCGGTAATGAACGTGTTTCGCTGTTCCAGCGCCGCAAAATGTATAACCGCCATATAATGTAACTGATTTTCCATCCGCGAATGTTATTTTTTCAAAACCTAAAGCAAAATTAATCTTTTGAATGCGTTTACTTATATATAAAAGAAAAACTAAAATAATGCGTAAAACGTACACGTCCGACATAAACTATAGTATTGAAAAAAAAACAAAAGTTATCAAAGGAAAGATTATTTTATTGTTAATTTTAATAAACCAAGGGTACTTAACGTATAGACGTTTAAAATTTTTCATATGTTATTGAATGATATAGTTAAAAGTGATTAAATTAAAAATCCTAACCTCCATATGTGTGAACGGTACGCTGTAAAAGCGGGTTTGAATCCCGCCCGAGCCATCGAATTTTTCTCACCTAAATATAATGTTAATTTATATTTATACAAACTCTCGCACATATGTTCCATTTAACAATTTGACTAATATCGGTGGAGGATGGTTATGTTCGCCAGTCGCTTTAACAATATAACGTTCTTGATTATGCATTCGCAAACGAACTGGACATCCTCTGTGGCTCTTGGAGCAATGGAGGTAAGAAAATCTGTTGGATGTATTTCCCTGCCTTGAATATGTATGATCGCCACATTTTATTAGGTTCCGGCCACTGTTTAAAGTTATTTCCTCGACGACCAAATCTAAAAGAATTACAAAAACATTTTTGTAATTATATAATTTAATGATTGCATAGAATGAGATCTACTCCAGCCATACAACATCTAAACAAGATGTGCTGCGACTTATTTTGGCTTCGGGCATTCGCAAATCTATAGAATTGCCAGATGCGGTGGTTCGTGACCTGGTCGGGAATTTCGATATCCAAATTTCCCAAACATTTCTCTTAATATATATTAAAGTTTAGTTCTCTATTATTCTTTATAAATAAAAGTAATATGCATGTAAGTTGAAAGTCTTGGTTTTACTTCAAAAATATTGTCTAAAACATTACCTTCTGGTTGCTACGAAAGCAAATTCGTTAGATTCAATTCTTTTAACAGTATAAAAAATATATATTATATATTTCACAAAATTAATTAATGTTGATCGTAAGCTACATGCGGAAGTATGTTCCATCTGCCAATTTCCTTAAACTAGGCGGAGAATGATTATGTTCGCCGGTAGCTTTCACAACATAACAGCCTTCTTTATTCATATGCAAACGAACTGGACATCCACTGTGGCTCTTGGAGCAATAAAGGTACGATAATCTTTTAGATGGCAAACCGTGCCGTGAAAATGTATAATTGCGATATCTTATCAGGTTTCGTCCACCGCATATTATTTCTTCGCACAGCGATTCTAAAAGAAAAATATTCCTCGTTAATGTTTAGTAAATGTAAGTCTTGTCTCTTTTTATTACTTAACTAGCTGGCGGACGTCGTCCGCGTCCCGTCGTTTTTTTCAAGTTGCTTTTAAAAGGTATATATCGTACACTTTTTTGAGATCATTAAAAGAGGAAGGATTCTTGAACCGTTTTCGCAGCGCACGCAACTCTCAAAAAATAAATATTTTTCCGCGTCTTTTTTTCACATTTCCCCTTGTGTCTTCTATGACGCAGCTTTTATAGTCTAAATCCTTCCTCGATAAACGGTCTATTCGACACAAAAAAAACAATTCAAAACAGTACTTCCTAAGATAATAAAAATAGCTCTTTCAAGCAAACAAACAACACTCTGTAGCTTTATATTAGTATAGATATTGTACATTTTATTACGCCCACCTCCCACGCATTGATATGCTTAAGAAAGTTTATTGAAAACGATCACGTTTTCCATAAACTTCCTTAGAATAATAAAATAAATTCGTTCGTTCGCTCTGGTGAACGGCCATAGCCAAAGGAGAGACAAATTAAAAAGATTTACTTAATTTTTACAATAGAATATATTCTAGTACATTTTGCACACACACGGTTTATGAAATCGAATTAAGAATTGATTTATGGACGATACACGATATCTCAATTGATAGAGAAATCTGTCGGTAAATTTTCATCCACTTAAACTTAATCAAATCGATTTGCATTTTCAAAGGTGATGTGTATTTAAGCTATAGTCGAACATATGTTCCATCAGACAATTGTTTCAAGATGGGCGGAGGATGGTTGTGTTCACCCGTCGCTTTCACAATGCATCCTTCGTTATTCATTCGCAGACGAACGGGGCACGTGCGTTTTTTGGAGCAAGAGAGATATGATAAAGATTTACTTCGAACTCCACAAAATGAAAAAGTGTAGTCACCATACCTCAAAATTTGCGTCTTGCCGTCAGATAATGTTATTGCTTCACATTCGTAACCTAGCAAGAAAGTTACACGGTTAACATTTCGTATTTTTAGTGTTTATCAGACGAGGACAACGCATGTGGTTTCCATCTTGTGAGAAGAAATATCCGAACTGTATAATATCTAAACAAGATGCGCTGTTTTTATATTTTCTTTCGGCTTTACACTGATTTAAACCTCATGGCTTATCAACGAGTGACCGGTGGTTCGATTCTCCTACTACCCATTCAATTAAAATAAAATGGATGCAGTGGGAATCAAACCTACAGCCCCTAGATAACTCTTGGACCAGCAATATGATTTTAATGATAAAAGTGTCAAACATCAACCCATTCATTAGGAATTAAAAAGAAAAAAAAAACATTTCGAACAATGTCTGCAGTTGTCCGTGCTTCGCTACTGTAAAACATATAACCAATATATTTCGAATTTAAACGGTTAATTATGTTTTATATTATTAACCCGTTTATTGCTAGTTACATTCGGAAATATGTTCCATCCGACAACTTCCTTAGTACGGGTGGACAATGGTTATGTTCGCCGGTCGCTTTTACAATAAAATTTCCATCGTTATACATCCGCAAACGAACTGGACATCCACTATAGCTCTTGGAGCAGTGGAGGTAAGAAAAATTTTTCGTTGTCAGTCCCTGCCGTGAAAATGTATAATTGCCATATTTTATTAAACTTCGTTTACCGCAGATTATTTCCTCGCACACGAAATCTAAAAGAATTAAACAAAAACTCTGTTACCCGTAACTATAAGACACACAAATTACTATACAATAATTTTGTAAACCTTTTAAAGCGGTAAATATTCCAACATACAAGAAGGTTTACCTTAATAATAACTAAGGATTTAAGAGAAGTCCCTTAAATCTCTATGAAGTTTAGGTACACAATATGTTTCAAAGTTAATTTTAATGCGTAATAAGTTAATTCTAATAGCGGTACCTGACTACCGCAATTATTCCATTAGTCACCATAAAATTAATAGCTATAATGGTATAAACTATCAACTTTGATATATTTAAAATGCGTAATTGGAATAAAAAATATGTCGTATTTTAAAATCACAGTTTATTTTTTCCTTACATGACGTGACATACGTATAAGATATATCTTAGACAATTCTACGCATTCACAACATCTTGTTTGTTGTTTGTTGGCTTTTAAAACAAGCCGTGTTTGTGCCATACTTACCAGGGGCACAAGATTTTTCATACTAATATAATAAATCCTTAAATTATATACAGACTCTTTTTTCAAACTACGCTTTTTAACGTGCAATTTGCTTGCCGTCTAACAGTTAGTAGTACGTTAACTTTATTATTTACCATTAACCTTGCCGAAATAGGCATAGTGTCCACTTGGCAGGCGTTTTACGAAAGGTGGAGGATGAGTATGATCGATGACTAATGGTACAATGGTGACTCCATCTTTGCACAATTTTACACGAGCTTTACAATTAGCCCGGAGACGTCTGGAGCAGTAAAGATGGCCGTACCTTTTCACTTGACTCGGAAACGAGTAGGTGTGTTGGTCGTACAAAAGAATTTGCTTATTTCCAGTTAAAGTTATCAAGGTCGGCACTGTAACAACAACGTTTTAGAATATCAAACTACCCAAGTGAGGTTAGAAAAAAAAACTAGACGTAATGCCTATGCATTAGCTAGTACGTTACGTCGGAATTAAAGGTCCGGAGATCAGGGGCAAAAGAGTGGAGGCCCTCTAGCTCCAAAATATTTATAGTGAAACCAAATGCATTAATTTAGAATTTAACAAACTTCGAAAACAAGAAATCTGATTTACATGCGGGCCTTTGTGGCCCCAGGGCGGTTGCCCTTCCCAAAATTAAGCCCTGATCAAATGTCATAAGAAAAAAAAACAAAAAGCCCTAGCCAAAAATGTTTTGTTTATATGCGAGACATCTCTAGTTGATTTCATATGTAGGTATATTCTTAAAGATTTATATACACTACAGGAAAGACACGGACGGAATATATATTTTTATGCGATTTGAACTTCAACTTCGCGCATTTCCCCACATGTTACAAAAGTCAGGCCTAAGGTAGTCAGTTTCAAAATCTAGTAGTAGTGTCTTTTTAACAATTATACTGATAACATTATCAATAATTATTATTTATTTTTCTTCTCCTCTACAAGAAAACTTAGAATCCCGCTGACTGTCTCAACCGGGTCCTTGCTTGGTTCATTGTTGAGATCAAGTGATTTCACTAAAAACTTTTCCGGGTTGTTTTTCTTGTACGATCGATAGTATTTAAGAAAAGCGTAATCCTCCTCTGAAAACAGTTTTAATTTAATTTGTTGTAACAATTATTATGGACCAATTTTTTTATATCTTAAACATTACTTGTACGAGAATGTAATATTTTTTTTTTATTAACTAAGCCCAACTCCTTATGGCAAAACCCATGATGACGACAGTGACGAAGTGAGATTTTTTTTATTATAGAGGACAACAGACTAGCGTGATGGTAGGTGAAATACCACAGCCAAACAAACAAATAAATCATTTTTTATTAAATCCGACATGTATTGATCAGCTTAACAAAGAACAAAGGCCAACGGTCGATCTACAGTGGATCAAAGGTGGCAGTGCGCATTGCCTACTTTTACAATTTCTCTTGAAAAAGTTACTATAAAGGATTTGCACCCTAGTGAACTACGAGTGCAACGCCAGCGCTCCTTAAAATTCGTGCTCTGGTTCAGGGTGTAGTTATGGCCCTGGTACCGCAACATGACGTTGCCTTTCCGTGATCGCACAAACTGCGTGTCACCTGAAATAAATATAATTATGAAAGTAAATCATTTAACGAAGACTGGTGTAGCGTTCTTAATTTGACTTACTTATATTAAAACTTACTCTGTGTTAAAACAACGTCATAGTTACACCGGCTTTCGACTCGATTTGATTTGATAAGCTTTAAACGTCGAAATCTTGATTTTTTTTGTGATGGAGGAGGACCCGAAATGCCACGGACACATGGGATTCACTGGACGTGAATCCCCCCCCGTGGGGGGGACACTTAAAAAACGGGGGGGGGGGGGGGGGGGGGGGGGGCGGGGGCACTTAAAAAAACACTTTAACAGTTTAAATGCGTATATTATCGAAACTCGGGCCGAAGTTAAAAATCTTTAAAGAAGTTAACTAATGTGTTTAACCGTGTGTCCTAAATTTTCTGGCTTTAGGTGAATTTAGCTAAGTTGTTAATACTACTCATAATTTTATCATGATGTAATTGTATTTGGATGTAGATGTAATTTATAAGGAAATAGTACCAAAGGTATACAATACAATATTCCAATTGTCAAATCTTTATTTCGTAATCTTAAATAACTTAAAAACTAAGTTTAGTTAAATCTAAAAGTATGATTTTAATAGTATACCTAAAAAAGACTTAGTAACAACACTCCACAAGAAGAAGAAAGAAGGTTTTGAAGAAATGTTAAAGATAATTACTAAAACATTGCTTAACTCCGGTTAATCTTTATTTTATTCTAATACTGTTCTAAGTCAGTAAAATTTGGACCGAAACTTAGAGAGTGAGCCGTCAGGCAGCCTGCATAGAGTCGGTGGCTCATGAAGATGTCCGCCTAACACGATGACGTCGTTATTATCTAACATCAGGAGAACAGCCTTGCAACCCACGGCCGCTTTGGATGAGCAATGCCACCTTTTCTCGCTGTGATACATAGAGTAGGTGAAGCCCTGGTACACCAGGAGACGCTTTGATTTCGTCCTAATAAATTCTATAGCTGAAAATACATATTTTATTAATTATTAGGGAATATCTAACAAAATAACGTCAAACTACAAACGTAATGTCTGTAGTTTACGCGAATAGTACACATTTAAATAAAACACTTTTTAACGGTCAAAACGTAAAATATAGTAATTAACAAATGTAACTATGGCCCGATGTATTCCATGTTTCGCGGCAGCTGTGATCACGGGGGACTACTAATATATTTCGGGGTCTTAAAACGTTACAAGTGTTTTATTTAAAAATGTGGGTAGTTTTCAATAACTGTACATTTTTTGTTTATTTGCATCGCTACCGCTATTTTCTTTCCAAATATGTTTACCAATAAGCAATATGAGTGAATTTATTTTGACTAATACACAAGAATGAAGCTATAATTTTATGTAATTATGTATAGATTCGGATGAGTAAGAATACTACTTTGTATTTCTTTATGGTATATTTTGCAAATTCCTTAGCTACTAAAATTTAAATACTGTCTATAGTTTACGCGAGTAGTACACATTTAAATAAAATACTTTAACGGTTTAAAACGCGATATATTAGTTATTTACCTACTAATACATCGTTTTAAACCGTTAAAGTGTTTCATTTAAATATTAAAATTAAGTCAACTGTCGTAAGTAATTATTTTTCTTTTTTTTAAGTTGCCTTTATTTATTGTTTTTTGTACACTTTTAAAAAAAAAAACTTTTAAACTCTTTAAAAATTGTATCTTCACTCGCACTTCGTTCGTTTTTAGGGACAAAGCAGGCGTTCTCCTTTTGAGTTAGTTCTCCTATGTCAGATTATACACAGGTTAACGCGCAGTATACTTTATTTTAGGGATTATCTACTAAGGAAGGATTGTGATTGTGTTCCCCGATTTCTATTATATCTTTTTCACTATAAAATAAAAGTTTAGCTTTACACTTTCTGGTCTTCTGCGAGCAGTACCATCTGCGTTTACTGCTCATCATAACGAATGTGTTTTGTCGGTAAAGGAGTAAATGTTTTCCACGTCCACTAGGAATGAATGAAATTTCTGAAACTGCAAAGGTTAACCTTATCAGCACGGTGTTCGTTAGTAGTAAACGGTACTTCCATAAGACTGGTCATTAATAGTGTAAGTTACTAATTTATAAGCGTAGTTTCCTAAATTCAGCGCAATACGATTACTCGCATCATTTGTGCAAAGAACAAACTCGATCGAGAAATCATTAGTTGTTTCCCCAATAATCTAAGCTCATACATAGGTATTTTATGTTATTCATTTGTAAAAAACATAATTTTAAATATTCATATAATATTAGTCTATCTAAATATTGACGGCTCATTATAAAATATATAATGAACAATAAAATAGTTTTAAATGTGGAAAAATGATAATATCGACTGCGTACGATGTTTAATAAACGGCTATTTACAAGATTCAGCTTATATTTATAGCCAATCCAATATCTTATTATTTTTAATTCAATAATAAAGTGAAAAAAAAATCTATCCTTATCGTATTAGGAGTTTAATCAGCTTAAACCGGTCACGTTCTCAATTTGATAACAGTTCCATCTGGTCTTTCGTAAAGGCAAGGTGGAGGGTGGGTGTGGTGCAGATCAACTTCCGTAACAAAATCCCCCGCAATGTCAACTCTAGCTTTACAGCCTGCCGTCTTCTTGGAACAATACCACCGCTTCCCATTACCCATGGACACAAATGTGTGCTTTTTGTAGAGTAATATTCGAGACTGTTTGTGTCCACGAACTATTGTAAGAAATTGAAACGCCCCTGCAATGCCAGAGAACTATTAAGATACGAGACAAATATTAATCTTTTATTATCGATGAGTTAATTATTAAATAGTACAAGTCGTGAATAAAATCAGCGTATGCAGTCACTTTAATTGCTTTCTTAAAATCTTTATAACTAGAAGAATCTTTGTTGCGAAAGTATTTTCATTTATTGATTTGACCAAAATATAAACACTTAAAGAACACAAATTATAGTAAGAGCTGTGGCATAAAGGTGTATTCTAAAAAACGTCTCACAGATGATGTATAACAGTGTGTTAAAACATATACCTAAAATATTAGCTTATCCTGATATGCAATCCAGAAGGAAGTCGAGTAAATAGTGGTGGTTTATGACAATGTTGATTGTTATAAAAGAGCACTTCTGATTCATCTCTATTAAGGAACACTTTTGCTGGGCATCCCATCCTCCTGCTGGAACAGTACCAATGCCTCTTGCTGGTGTAAGAAAACGAGTAGTTCTCAACCATAAGCAATCTTTGATTTCCAGGTAAGTAGATGAATTGGAAATCTGTATAAAGACAATCTTTTAGTACCGCTATGTCCTATCTCAAGTTTGACAGCAAATATTGATCTACGGTAAAACATAAGTATAATAGTAGTAGTATTAAAGATGTTATTAAATAAATTGTATAGGTATATTTAGTAATTTCCTTAGTTTTGTTTGTCATCTTAGTGTTAGTGTAGTCGGTTTATATGCTTATAGATTTAGTCATTGAGCAATAATACATAAGCTCGAATAATTGATTTTGATTTAGGTAAGTAAAATATTTTTACTATAAAATTTTAAAATTGGTGCCAAGTAACTGTTTTAACAAACTTACGTACTACAAAAAATTACTTAGTTCACCTTATGGTCTGAAATATCAAATATATTTAAGAAACGTATAACTACTAATATGTATATAGAACTGAAAAATTATTTTCGTGTTGGTTAGAGCATTTATCGAGGAAGGCTATAAAACATCGCCATGTGACTAATACAAGCAGAGATACAGCGAGAAATGTGAAAAAAATTGGGAAAATTATTCATCATTATGGGTTTTCGAGGTGAACCTTGCAAAAACGGTTCAATATCTTGAAAAATATGTATGAAAGAATGATTCCTCTTAAAATAATCAAAGAAAAAGTCCGCGACGCTATATGTATGATTTTGGATGCCCAAAATAACGAATTTCGTTGACGAAGTCGCTGGACGAGCTAGTTAAAAATAATAACAGGATTATAATTTCTGTTGACCATCAGCAGTGATTGGCAGATTTTACATTCAACTACTCAAATAAGCATAGTAGCAAGTAGATAAATATGATATTTGTCCTAATAGAAAGAAAAAATAGTACAGCCACCTATTTGTATCTTGAAAAAGTTATTGTAACTATGTTTTTATCTAGCAATACTGAATTGTAAATTTTTAATTAATTCAATTAAGAAGTTACTTTATGGAAAAAGAAAATAAAGCGGTAGTAAGTAAAACAGAGAAGCCTCTTTCAAATTTTTAATTCTTAGGCATGACAGCAAATGCACAGTTTGTACCATTGGAGTATGATATAATTTCTATGCAAGACTTTATATAGTTAGGTGAGTAGTACACATAAAAAAAAAACACTTAACAATCATTACAAAATATATTAGTTAAGTTAAATACTTTATTTTAATTTCTAAATTTCAAAGATACATTGATTAGTTGATGATTATAGAAAAAACAAATTTAAGCCATCATAACTTTTAATAATTAATAAGTATGTAATGTGTTATGTATTGGGCTGTTATTTAGCCTGTTGGATTGCAGCTGCAACTGTATGAATCAGTCATTCAGTAACCACATTGAAAAGTTTCTGAACATAAAATAGTTGGGAATATTTTTTGATTGAGAGTAATAGAGTATTCTGTATAAACAAACACGAACTACCAAAAGAGTTTTTTTTAACCTAACTTAAAATATAACCCAGAAGGAAGCTGCATAAATAGGGGAGGTTCATGATTATGTTCCTTGTTATAAAATAGCACTTCCGTTTCATCATCATTAAGGAACACCCTTGCCTGACATCCTGCTTTCTTTTTAGAGCAGTACCAATGCCTCTTAGTCGTGGGAGAAAATGTGTACTTGTCGGCCATTAGCAATCTTTTATTGTCCGTTAAAAAGATGAATTTAAAATCTATATGTATAAAAAAATATATTACTCATTGTAATAAATACTTTATGTTCATTCTTGCATTAAGATTATTTATAATGATTATATTCTACAAGTAAATTAAACTTAAAAATACTTGTTTATATTATTTATTTAGTCCTTCAAAAATTCTATTCACATATTTCATAAAGCATATTATAGCCTTCATGGTACAAATGTTTAATCTATGATTGTATTTCAATTGTCTTTTAAAAATAATGACCTTTCATAGCCATATCTATGCATGGTGACGAAATTAAAATAGAAATTGTAGTTCTCTTTGTATCCAAGTGTTTTTATATTTCAGCACGTACCTAAAGTATAAAATAAATATTAGTAGAAAAAAAAACTTATAGCCACTTAATACACAACCTTTGTGTTGACACTTAAAATTACTTAACAAAGTAAGTAAACTTAATCAAAAAATATAATTCTAAAACACTGTCTTGAAAGATCTAAGGAACAACCTCGGTATATGTCAACTGAGTTTCATTTCAGAGGCGGGAAAATATTGCCTAGATATCTTTATTCGCTGAGGTTTCGTACAATGTTTACAAAATAGCATATAGAAACTCACCAGTGTCCCGAACATATCCGCTACGCATAAGCTACGTATTTCCTCCTTAATATTCACAACACTATATTCACTCTCAGTACACACATTATTATAGTTCTTATTCACCGTGTAGTATAATATTATAAAAATTATTGCAATGTCAAGGACGAACATAACCTAATTTACCAAAATTATTTTACCCCTGTTATTCAATAGTGCAAGCACGACTTAGACACGACATGTTCTATTTATATCATCTTCTTATCGCGACGTGATTTAATTTCTAAAAGCTTTAAGTTATTACAAATTCCACTTTGATAAAAGTTTACAAACAATATAGTATTTGACACTAGTAGTGATGGAGTAATTAAATTAGAGGAAAATCGTTATCGAATCGAAGACCAAAGAACTCTTCTGAAATCTTTTCTTATTTAAGCAAGCGATACATTATCGCCGTAAGGATAGAATACAGGAAAGTACTTTCCTTCCATAATATTTTTTGTTATGATTTTAAAAAATCTCGTCATTTTATAAAGAACATGTTTGCGCATGAAAGGTAATTCGAGTAACAAAAACGATGTTCATATCTATGTTATATCTAACGTGTAATTCCATACATCCAAAGCCCAGCAAAGCATACTAACGAGCAACACAATGTTTTTTGGTATACTCTTTGTAACTACTTTGGTACAAGTATAAAAAAATATTATGCGTATTAAGCGATTCAATCTATCTCTCAGCTTCAATCAGATACGTAAGACCTGCTATCATGTGTAAAAATTCAAAATATCTAATAAAATAAAATATAATCTCCATTCCAACATATAAGTTGCATTGAATCCATTTTATTAAAATCGGTTCTCCATCCATCTGTCATTTACAAATCTACTCAACATCACTATATCATTGACAATTCCAAAACGTCAATTTGACGTTCTCGCTTTGAATGTACTATTAGACGCTTAACCTCAAAATACAAAGGTTAATCGTAATAAATAAGGAATAAATACAATGCAAACTGCTTCTTGGTCTGAAAAGTGTAACCTAATACTTGTTGAATACAAAATTATAATCACCTTTTTAAATTGTGTCAAATTATCGGCGGTTGCTTAGTTCTGTGTAATGTAAAATTCAAACAAAACAATGTATAATGTGTGTATTTTATTAGTAATTTTTGGTGGTTTATTAAGTTTAGTGGTAAATAAAAAAGGATTTAGTTAGTTGATTTGTGGTCTTTGTGTATTGTCTAGCAGTGAGTTTGTCTAAACCTTTTCTTGTTTTGAATAAGATTGCGAAATTATGGCGGGAAGTCTTAAACAATATTGTAAGTAACAACCTACTGGTAAGTCGTAGTTTATACTTTAGAATACAACATCTATAGAATAATTAGAAATTGGCCTTTAAAACAAGACTAAACACAGAGTTTAAATTGTTTCCAGAAGATATACATTTCATAACTTCTCGAAAAGGGCATCGACTCCTCATCTACAAAAAATACTCGTTTGCGTTCAGTAGTTCCAACAAAAAATCAACACGGTGGGTTTGTTCATCCCGCTGTTCAAGAAAATGCTCAGCACGAGTAGCATTAAGCAAGGAAAATGTATTAACCGTTATTAATGATCAGCACACACATACACCACCTACATATTATGTTAGTAACACTGGATATTATGTAAGGTGTACAGATACATAATTTTTGTAAATTATCTAAATATAATACCAAACATCATCATAATCAGTACTAGCGACAGGGCCATTGAGATCTGAGGGTTTGACACCTATCTAGAAACATCAATAACAAAGGTTGTAAAATAATTGAGTGTTATTTTTATTCAGTATCGAAGTGTTTTTAAATTTCTTCCTCTTAAAGTTGACATCCTAGTCTGTTGCCTCATTGTTATTACTGGCTTGTGATAATAATTGTCTTAAATTTTAATGTTCTTAATATATTGTGCTCTAAATTTAAATGGCTATTTACTTACTTATAGATAATCCATAAGCATGTATAATGGAATTTTTTTTGGTTATGTTTGTTAAGCTGTTCAAGAAAGATCAAAAATATTCTTAAAGTTTATTGTGAAATTCCACCTGGGTAGGAATTTAAATGCAGCACTTTTAAAGCAGAGGAATGTTTTACAGAAATTTTGAATGGTTGCAGGAGATATCTTGGTTCATGTTTGTTATGTAATGGTATCTGCATTACAGGATTTCTTACAACATCAAATCGAGGCAAAGCAAAATTAATTTATTATGACTATGCATATAACATGAGCTATTCCTCTAAGACAGAAGGTAAAATCAAATGGTACTGCTCATCAAGGATCTCCCAGAGCTGTAAGGCTAGCCTCAAGACAGATTTAAATAACAGAGTGATTGCTGCGAAGGGACAACACACACACAATAGTAACGGTCGTACATTTGTAAAACATTACTTTTCTTCTTGAAGGTTTATAAGCTAGAAGCCACAGTGCAATATTTGACTTCTTCATTATAATTATAGGGCTGGGGCGTTTTGCCTCATAAATATTCTATAATACTATTATTTGTAAAAAAATTATTACTCATTAGAATTATGAGACAAACTAGTCAAATATAAATAAATTTTATACAATATACAAGTATGTGTTTTATAACATTGATGTTTATGACAAATTGAAAATCTGATTCTTCATTGAATTCCTAATCGATTTAGTAAACAGAACACTGGCAAAGCTTTAAACAATCTTAGAATGTGTAAGATGAGTATTGATTTCTTGTAGAGATATGATTTTTTTGGTTTTTCAATATATTTCTTTACTGTTATGTTATATTATATTATTACTTGCTAAATATGCTTATTGTATCCACTGGTAAATATATTTGAATAAGATAAAAAATGCATTTAATTTGGAGCATAATTCTAAAGCCTAGAATAACCTAACATGTAATGTGTTTGCTTCGGGTAGGGCATAAAACGAAACACTAGCCTCCAAATTAAATTGCCCAAAACATATATGCGACCTAGTCCACAGTGCATGAAAAACTAGATTTTATTTCTAGAGAGATCGCTTTGAATATCATTACCTTACCTCTATCCTACAAGTTCCTTTGGGGTCCTTAGGATACAATCTGAAAAAGAAGAGAAATTGCTTCACTTAAGTTTGCAATAAATATTTTAAGGGGAGAAGGATTCATCCTTCTCCCTTTCTATGGCTTTAGCTCCTGACAAATACATTGTTGTGGGATCAATTTTGGCCGAAATGCGTCGGTACAACTCTAGAAGTCACCTATACCGCGCATGATATATGCTCAAAAATTCTTAATGCTCCAGAATGTGACATATTTGGTAGGGTTGGGAAAGTTAGGAGATGAAGTATGGGTTCTTAGATATAGATTATTAGCTATAAGTTAGTCTTAAGGCAAATGGCAATAGCTGTAATTAAATATTATAAGTGACCATTTTAATGCTTTCAGGTCCTGTACTGATCAAGTTGAAAAAACGATATTCCTTGCTATACAAATCTCACGTTTTCAAGCGATGTGCGAAGTCGAAGAAGGGCATCATTTGGAAATGTATCTCCAGTAAATCGGACAGTTGCAATTGCTTGTTAACCACAGATCCCAGTTTGAACGTTGTGCAAAAGAAAGGGAAACACAACCACGTTAAACCAGATATGGATCCTAGGCCGAAACATGTCTATTTCAGTATCAATGCAGACGAGTAATTGTTATTTAAAGGCAGATTTTCATGATTACAAATAATAGAAGTTGTCCTAGATTACTGGGATATACCAGAAGGAGAGTTCTATAATCTGTGGTTTTACCGCAGCTTATTGTGTCTGAAACTCCCTACCTTATTAATGTAGGAAAATATGTAATTGAATTCTAGATTCTCGCTCGTAAGGTAAAGTCGTTGTAGAACTACACCGATTTGGAGTAGTTGTACCAACGTTTTGATAGTTTTAGTTAGTTAAGTAATGTTCATACTTCATATACCTACCTACTATCTACTAACGTTTTAATCTTATATTTTGGACAAATATTACTTATAAATACATTTTTCGTTTAATATGTTTAAGATAAGATTGCTTATAGCTAGCTTAGAACAAGAGTCATAAAAGTAACTCTATCTTAGTTTTCTTGGGATAAAAACGACGTACATTCTAATATACATATATGTCTCAATTATCTGAAAAAAAGTAAAAGCGTAATAAAGGCACGTTAATCTGGACATGCATGGAACCAAAAAACATAAATATAGGGTTATATATAAGTAATTTCTATAAGAGTTTGACCCACTTCATTATTCTGGATAGTAAATATTTTGATTATATTTTACATTAGTTTTAGGTACTTAATTTTTAATTATATATATATGGAATGGCATAGGAATAATTCTATGGCGCTATATTAGTATAATTAAATATCTCTACTAATTTTTAAGTGTACGATTTATAAGTACCTAGAGTTTTTGTATATTATACAATATACCAACTACCATTAGACTTTCTAGATTATTCTCTTAGATTTCTTTAGTGATGATAATTCCTCTAACATAAAAAAAGAGTCTCTAAAATAAAGAGCTAAGTTTTAAGTAATTAATATATTTTTTGGGCAACCAATAAATATTGATAGAAATTATATCTTATCTGCATTTATCAAATTTTAAAACAACTTTCCGAATTTTACGAACTTATGTTGCGGCTAGGTACAAATTGAATTGTAACGTTGAAGAATTTTAGGAGCTCAACCCAGGGAAATGCGGACAGACGAGCACATATTCTTACTATATCTATTGATCAAGTAATGTTTGCAGTAAACGTGGTGACCGCTATCGACGGAGCTACACTACTTATGCTTAACTCTTACTCCTTTTCAAACCCCTCTCCGACCCCGGGAGGGGAACGCTGGTACTGTTCAGGCAGGATACCTTGGAAATGTTGTGTGTGTTTGCATGTCAATGACGATTATGAATTTGTCTCGATTTCTGGTGAGCATTGTCACCTTCCGCCGGCTTACGAGATCACTTCAGGTGGTTTGTACGCGATGGCTGTAATACCTTAGTGACACAGACCCATTTTCACATGACAAACCCATATAAGAAGAACCAACAAAAAAGTACTGTCCAAAATAATTGTGACATCGAATAAAGTTGACCTCAAAGATTCTTAAGTGAAACTTAACAAGTACTATATGTTCTGTATAATTTGATAGTTAATCAATAATAAGTTCTTGGAGCGTACTACGATCGCTTCCAATATTTTCCAACTCTCTAACATTAATTCTTCTATTTTTAGAACATTGAAGATGTTTATATATTGTTTTCGAATATAAGGCATTATTAAGTATTTAAACGTCAATTTTAAATAATTAACATGAAATACGGTGTGTACTGTGTGTATAGTCAGTAAGTTGTGCATTGTGTCTATTACATCAATTTGGTTGTGACGATACAGGAGTTTCTTTAGATCATAATTGTTTATAATTTAACTGGCTGAATTCTTCAACGTCATATAACACATCTTAGCCTTATATTTTAGCGGCTTCCATGTAACTTAACAGTTATTCGTTTCTTAGTACTCGGAAATCATTGTTTTACTATTCGATTTTAGTATTAATTATTTTATAATAAGTGGTTGATATTCAGCCCTATTATACCTTGTATTCTGTGAAATTAACTGATTTTTTTGTCATCACTATTAAAATTAAAATGCCTGAAAACTTCATGACGGAGTTGTGCCACTGCCCGTTTGTCAACAACTGTACGTAATGTAGCAATACACGTTTTTACTTGTTACAAACCAGTGAGAAGACAAATCCACTAGTTAACGTACAGTATAATACAACCCAACAATTTGTTATTGAAATTGCCATATGTATTTACTTTGTCTACAAGTAAGTATACTACTTTGCAAAATATACGGCTTTAATTTATGAATCTATTGAATAACTTAATAACATACATTTACAAACATTCAGCTGTTTTATTTCTTTAATGTACCTAATAATACTTTTTATTCATCAGTCAGTAATCACAACATCGGTATGCGTTTATCTATTTATACTATGTTTTGACTAACCATTTTCTTTCTTTCCAGTTATTTTAGTCACAATGACTTCCGGCAACAAAATCCTTATAATAAATGGGCACACCTTCAGAAAAGAAATAAGCGTCAACGGTGCTACAAGCAGATGGTGTTGTAACGAACCAACGACCAGTAAATGTGACGTGTACGCACATGTAAACGATAAATTTGAATTAGTATGTCTAATGAACATACACAACCACGAACCGACCCTGTGTCGTATATTTAATGAAAGGATAATGTAGAAATAAATGCAAATAATGATTAACTATTTTTTCAAGAATTGTGGAGTTGTAATTTTTCGTTTATAAATATTTAGTTTATTTTTATATTCGTAGTTAAGAAATTATGAATTAGTATGTACGTACCTAGAATTCAATTTAAGGCCGACTTATGCCAATGTGCACGTAACTGGTAAAGGCTCATAAAAATAGAATTTTATTGTCTTATAATGATAATTTTTTCCATATGTATGTTTGTTTTAAGAGAAAACAATTTGTTTGTAATTTTTATGTTGCAATTGTTCCTTTAATGAAACATATGGCTTGAAACTAGTATTTCAAGCGGTGCAAGCGCATGTTAAGTTAAATCAAAAGTACTTTTCATTATGCGTCCATCTTTGTGTGCATATCAAGTACAGTTTTTAATAAAGATTATTTTCTAATGCTTGCTTTATTTTAAGTATTCCTATTATGGCGATGCATCTAATATTAATTACGATATTTCCAAAACTCTCAGTCAGCCGTGGTAATCCAACAAAGTCGAGCTGTAAATATTAATTAATAATAATATATGCAGAATTTAGTCTGTTAAAGTTGGTTTATTGAATTTCTTATTTTATGAATTTTAGACTTTAACGATACAATGATTGTACCTGTGTTTTCTAGAGGAGTGGGAGGAAACGAGGAAGAAATATTCCGTTTATCTGGAGGCAGAAGACGACGTGATACTGTTCCTCGAAACGCAAAATGGGAGGACTATAATGCAATATGGCGGCTATCAGTATAACAAAGCGCATAAGACAAAATTAGGGGAGAGGTGGAACTGTACCATAAGCACCTGTTCAGGCCATGTCGTTCTTAATGAGGATAATGAGATTATTACAGACACTATTGATCATGACCACAGACCGCTATGTTCCGAGCCCATTAGTAAGAACAATTCAGAGGATAATGGTGAGTCGTTTTTTGTTTGCTTAATAGCCTTTTGTTGATCTAGCGGTTCCAGCTTCTGTGCGTCAGGTCAGGAGTACGACCCCGGTAATGCACTAAAATTATCTTTGAGCAATCCGGTATCACCCGGAACTAAAAACTTTGGACATCGTCTTATATACCAATAGTGATTATATTCTTTCGCGTTAATCTGAAGGGTACTAAGAGTCTGCTTCAATGTTCAATAATAGTTCGTGTTAATTAGGGGATTATATTTCTCAGTACAGTAAACTTTTCGTACATCAACGAGAATCGAAAACAAGACCTTTCGCTTTAAAAGAAGTTGTAGTCTAAACTAGGGTACATTTTATTATTACAAAAATAACTTGATTTGTCTTTCTCGTAAGTTAAAATATAATTGACCGATTGTTACAGATTCGGCACTAGTAATAACATCGAGAAAAGGCAAAGAAATGCTACTATACCGAAATTTCACCTATCGTAAACAATACGACAAAGGCAATAAATCGAGGTGGGTGTGCTCAACGCAGAAGAACTGTAAGGCAGTGGTCTTCACGGATTCTAATAACGTGTTAGTTTCGGTTCACCAGAAACATCATCACGACCCGCCGAAGTACTATCTTAATCCTAACCACGTTCTGGATGCCTTAAGAGAGCCATTGGTACTAGAATCTGATTAGGATAAGATACTCGATTGGAGATTAAATGGGACATTTATATGTATAGGGTGCTTGCTTTTCTAGAAATTTGTAAAAAAGTAACTTACCACTAATATATTAAAATTACTTTTAAATTGACAGTCTTCTGTGCAGTTGAGGCTGTCAATTTAAAACTAATCTATTATATTTTTGATTATCTTCATCATTATGATGGTAATCATGATTTAAGTTATAATATTTTTTGACACTTGCGAGGGACAAACATTTTTATGTTTACCTTGTTTTAATATTTTTTTTCTGAACAAAATAGAAATTTTTACCTTTATTACCATACTAACTGTGCCAGCGACTTCGTTCGCATCCAAATTAGTTTTTGCAAACCCCGTCATCTTTATAAATCTAAGATGTTAGCCACGACGTCGATCGCGTCCCATCGTTCTTGCAAGTTAATCTTAAAAGATGGACATATAGCGACGCGGACTTTTTTGTAGATCATTTAAAGAGCAATCATTCTTGCATACACATTTTTAGGTATCTCAAACCGTTTTCGCAGCGTACGCATCTGAAGCCCACAGAGAAGAAAAATTTCCCCCGTTTTGTTCACATATCCCGCTGTATCTTTGCGTCTATTCGTTACAGCGCTTGATTGCGCTATGTTTTATTATAGGCTGTAAAGGCTTTCCTCAATAAGTGCTCTAACCAACACAAAAATAATTTTTCAATTCGAACTTGTAGTTCCTGAGATTAGCGCCTTCAAACAAACTAACTCTTCAGTTTTATATATTAGTTAAGATTATATACTTCAAGTCACGGTGACTTTAATAAAATGCTTTGTAAACCTACATTGTAATGTCTGTTTTTATCCATAAAATCTTTTAATTTAAGTTTTTCGGACAGAAATCCGACGTGGTATTAAAATAAATACAAGAAAAGAATGACTGGTAAATGGTACGGTGGGTTTTAAACCAAATTTTTTTGGTTTTAACCAAAAAAAGTAAATCTTCAAATAAAAGGCTGAACACAAATTGGAAATATTTATTTAGAGATATACACATGGTAAAAAGTATGATAAATTTTTAATTATAAAACGTTATTTCTTTGTCTGTTGTCAATGAACAACAATATGTAGGTATAATCCTTCAAATCAAAATCATAGACGTTCAACCAGCATATAATGAGGTAGATACAAATTAAAAAATAAATAAATCCTTGCTTATAAAGGTGATCGTACATTTCTCGATAGCCTCGTACATTCGTAAAAAATGTGTCACTTAAATGTTAATTATGAGCAATAAATTCATATATTCAAACAGTCTTACAATCTATTTAAAAATAATTATAAAAATATTATTTTAAAACTAAATGAGGTAGTACAGAGATAAATCAGTCTTATAAAATACAGTAAAGGTGGCTTGTGACTTGGGTATTCAACATGTTGCTTACAAGACTATGTAACTACCGCACAAGATATTTCATATGGTGAAAATAAATTAATTTGTTCTATTCACCATAGTCTTTTGTTAGACGAATGCAGTGGCATAAAAAAAGGATTAAAAACCAGGTCACAAACTCACATAAGTATAAATAGACAAGATAAAATCAGCCTTTCTTATCAGTCATAAAGTATCAGGTACACTAGTAAAATTTACTTACACAATTTTAAAAGATCCATCATTACGACGGTAAAAACCAGGTGGGGGGTGATTGTGCTTATTTCGCACTCTATTAACCAATGTTAAATCCTGTTTCTCTACTGATATAACATCCACAAGGCAACCGGTTTTTGTACGAGAAGTACAGTACCATTGCTTTTTGCTGTAGGCCAATCGATTTTTCAGTCTGAATGCAAACCCATTATGAACTAGTAGAACACTTCCCTTTCGTGTTGAAATAAAGTTTGCTTCTGAAACATGTTTACAAGTTAGTAAATAACATATATTATATGTTTTAAATTTTCTTGGGCCAATTTTATTAACCAACCAAATTACTTATGTAGTTTACATGTTTCCGTTCAGGAACTGTAAAGATAGTATATGATAATAATATATGAAGATTAGCTAGTGAAATAAAAATAGTGTTAGTTGTGTAAGTCATTTAATACAGCAACAAAACAATACACTAATTACTAGTGAAAGGCAATATTAATGAATGATACAAATGCATCAAGCTAGTCTCAGAAACAAAATACAAGCCAATCAATTTTTTAGGTGATACATAAATTATAAACAACTCCACGATTATTTTAACGAAAACAACACAATTTTATTACTAATCACTGGGAATATCAATCTAGAACATGAAATCACTATGTGCTTTCGTTTAAAACTATAAAACTTTGTGTCGTTATTATAACATACATAAATCACATTTCAATATCGCATTTTACTTTTTAATAATAGAAAATAAACGAAATAAACTATGTTTTATCTTATAATATGCATAATGCCCTAATTAGAGATTTGTTGTTTATAGCGTAGACGTCACATTATTAGCATACGTCATAATATTACCTATCAAAATCGATTGTTTGATGTTGACCACTCGTTTACAATCGAGTAAAATTTACTACTTTCGCCACCTATACGATAAAGGATAAAATAATGAATGTGATTAAACTAATTTATTTTAGTACATATAAGACGTTTTAAAGGGAAATCGGAGTAATTCTTGTACATATTATCAATTTGTTAAAAAATTGTCTAACTTCTCTTATTAAGAAAGATAAACTTATATAAATTAAATTTTATTAAAAATTACAGTTTACCTGTTGTTTATTAGAAGCAATCCGATAAGATTATTGGAGTTGGTTATTCATTTTCTATCGATTGTGTTTCCCAGGGATTACACATCGAGCTGTCAAAATCGAATATAAGGCGTTGATATTCACCTCACTCATGTCAAAAAGTTATTTTTATTTATCTGGTACTTTATCCAGTTTAGTAATTTAGTAAAATTTACTTACATTATTATAATATTCATTATACAATACGTCTCGCAGTTAAACACTTAGAAGTTAACTTTTAAACTTAGGAAAATTAAGAGAGTGAATTCAAAGTGTAGTGTCGTATATTGGTTATCTAATTTAGTTAACATGTGAATAGAGTAAAAAAATATATAAACGGTTTAAAAAATCGATAGAAACAATTTTATGAATTAGCAGAAAATTTTATAGTACCTTAGTGAAGATCGATCTTAATGTTTATTATACTAAGTACTAATATGTGTTGTAAATAGTCTAAATAAAGATTGCGATCTATTGCTTATCAGTATAATCAAATGAACTTGTCATTTGCAAAGTTTCAGAGAGTTATTAAGGAAAATCATTAAGAATTTGTATAACAAACATTAAAAATGTGTGATTTGGGTGAAACTAAAGCTACTGATGGTACGTAAATACACATAATAATAATCTTAACTAGGATAATTATTTTGTTAATCTTAATAAACGATTTTTTACACCTAGTGTTTTATTTAATATCTGTGCTGTCACTAGCGTAATTCGAAATTATCAATGAATTTTTAATAATGTTAATTTTGTTTCAGGTATGTTTATAAACACAAGGGGTAACTCAAAGCTCTTTATGTACCAAAATCATACGTTTCGATTTATGTACAAGAAGGCTTATGGAAGCCAGCTGTGGTATTGCTGGTACTTTTTCAGTCGTTGCTGTCCAGCAAAATTGAGAATTAATAATTCTGGTAAAGTTACTGAATGTATCGGAAAGCACAACCATGATCCACCGACAAGCTGGATGACACCAGATGGAAAGTCATACAAACTCCCTACGTCAGAGAACAATTTGCGGACAAAGTAGAATATAAACCAGAATTGTATTTAATGAGATTCAATGAACCATAGTATTGTTAGTTGTGCTAGAGCTATCATTATGTAAGTCTAAAAATTTGTCTTCAGACATTTAACTTAGTGTTTATATCACTTCAACTGCAAATTTCATTTTACTCACTAAAATAGGCTAATTACTATATTTATCTTTATCATTTTCTTTCTAAGAATAAATAGAACCCTGTTTTTCCCTGCTCAAGAGCTTAACCTCAGTGAAAGTGTTAACATACCTTTGTCACATATTGCAAATATTCTATGTCCTTTTTATATTTAGATAATATTTCAGTGATTGCAGCAAACTGTGTAACTTTGATCAGTATATAATCTTAAATATATCTGAGATCTTCAGACTATATTGAATTTAGTTAATTCTGTTCTGTATACAAAGAAAAGTACCACATTATCTTCTCTGATTAATATTTGATGCAATTGTGTGAATATATCATTAGTCTTATCTTAAGCCAAAGGGGGTATGTTTTATTGTTTTGATCTTATTTATATAGGAGATCTTTACTAGTATTTACTATAGAATTTTATAGAATATATTGGTCTAAATGTTTAATATCAAAATAAATTCAAACTTTGTACAGCAATACAAAAAATTAAATTAATTAGCATATATAGTAATAATAATGGCTCTACTATTTGTATACTTTACAAAAACTGAACTTTTCATGTGTGGGCACATAAATTTCACACTAAGCAATTTGCAAAACTGATGACTGCAAATAAAATTTAATGACAACTTCAAAGGTTAATATACAGCAAAAACTAAATAGGTAATTATTTATTGTAATTAGTTTATCTACCTCCTACTTACGGTGGAATAATTTTAAGATAATGCATTTCATTATACATAGGAAGTACCTTATATTTTTCTACAAGAAATTAATATAGTTCCTACTTGTAGATGTTTTATGTTTTAGTGGTCATATTTTATCTCCAAAGAGTAATTAAATTATGAATAATTATGTTGTTACTTAAATATTCCGAAATTATATCATTTAAATTTGTTATTATGTTTTATTTCTCTGATGTAGGTTATATGTAAAAGTTAATATTTCCATTCCACTCGACATATTGGTATGCACGCTTTAGTTTAAATTAAATTTAACTAGAATGTTGATTTGACTATGATTTGCCGAAAAATAGCAAATCAATCGAACATTTGTGGCCCAGTTTGGCGGTCGTGAGATAAGGCAATGGGGCCAGTGAGGTAACCTTGACGTATTGACGTAAATTGCCATTTTAGTCACGTCCATATCATATACCCATACCTACGGAATTGTGGAATTAAGTTTGCGTCTTTTTGTTCAAACGCCTTGACCAATTTTCATAGAAATATTATGACACTATCCGTGTCCCCGACTTCATCCCTGTAATTATTTTAGGCATAAAATTTGGTTTTTGGAAAGCTCATTTTAATGAATTCTAGCTGTTAACCACAACGTCGATCGCGACCCGTCGTTCTTGCAAGTTAATCTTAAAAGATAGACATATACTGTCATGGGGGAATCCCTCAAAGATGAATACGGTTCCCCGTTTTTCTTCCCCATTTCCCTGTGTTTTGTCGCTCCTATTGGTCGCAGCCTGATGTTTTATAGCCTAAAGACTTCTTTGTTCAATAATAGTTTGAATATTCAGTAAAAATTTGCTGACAATAGAGCGTGAGTTTGCTATCGCGGAGTTAAGTATCTTTATCTAAATAGAGAATATGTAATATATAGCTTTGAACATACGATTAAATCATTTATTTAATAAAAGTTTATATCGGGAATATGACTCATTATAGTTATCTCAAAATATTTAAATACATACAGTATTCAATTCGGCAACATAATTGAATAAGTAAGATTAGATCATTTAAATAAAACACTTTAACGTTTAAAACGCATATATTAGTTAAACTTATTTGAAAATGATTTTTAACTTCGGCCCGAGTTTCGATGCTTTAGAGGTGGTCAGGGATCTCCCGTACCACGAAGTTAAAAATCATTTTCAAATAAGTTTAACTAATATATTTTTAAACCGTTGTTTATAAATGTTACTACTGTCTATAGATAATAGATCAATTCACATCCTGATAAAAGTTTAATCGTTGAATCTAATTAGGGTACAGACAAAGGAATTTATGACGTAAAAATACGGTTACAAATTGTAAATAATTTAAACAATGACATATAATTAAATTTTTAAATGAATATTGAATTAAGTAATTCTAGTCGAGATACTATGAAATAAGCAAGTGTTTGTAGTTGCGCTAATAGTAGGTACACATTTGAATGAAACATTTTTAACGGTTCAAAACGCGAAACATATTACTTTAACTGTATTTTTTTTAACCTCGACACGTTTTCAGTTGGTAAATTCGATGGGTTCAAAGTATTTATAGATATCGTTAAATTATCGTAAATATCCGCATTGTAAAGATCAAGTTTTAACTCCGTTTGGTTTATCTTATCTCGAAGAACTATGCACTATTCTTTCAAGCTGAATTAAATTCCGTTCGATTTTGTCAGCGTGGTTCCTGCGTGATACCTACAGGTTAGTTTAATAATATACAAAAATGCTGAATACAATGTAATGCACGAGTAACATACAATTAAATAAAATACGTTAAACGGTTTAAAACGTAAATGATACTGTCTGTAGTTTACGCGAGTAGTACACATTTAAATAAAACACTTTAACGGTTTAATACGCGTTTAACTAACAACATTTTTTAAACCGTTAAAGTGTTTTATTTAAAAACGTAAAGTTTTACACAATAGCTAATGACGACTAAGGTTAAATAATTTAGATGGATATGTTACGAAAAGATATCTTAACAAACGGTATAAGGCTAAAATAACTAATCATAGCTTCTATTCTGTTTTTACTTTACAGAAAAAGTGGATTTTCAAACTTCATAGTAAAAAATTATCTTTAACTAGCTGTGCATGCGACTTCGTCCGCGTGGAATGGACTTTGGATAGAATTTTTAATTTCTTAGGCTGTTTATTTATTTATTTTATAAATTAAATAAGACACATGTGTAAATACAGTCTTACAGTGTTTCAGAGTTACGTTCGCATTTATAATATTAGTGAGTTCTATAAAAATTAATAACTATACATCCACACTACTTTTCATCCCTCATTCAACCCCTTTTTACGTACAGCAAAAGGTTTGAGCATGTCATCGATAAAACGCATTCAAGGCAGCCAATCTGTGTCTCACCTCACATCACTCCCACTCTCACGCCTACACAGTACACTCACTCCCATTCGCAAAAAGCCAAAAGAAAGTTTCATTCTTCTAGCTTAAAAATCACGAATTTCTATACAAACTTTCATCCCCCTTTCCAACCCCTAACAACCCTTAGCCTATGTCCTTTCTTAATCTCTAGAACATCTGTGCACGAAATTTCATTTTAATCGGTTTATTAGTTTTGGCATTAAAGCCAGACAGACAGACAGAGTTACTTTCGCATTTATAATATTAGTAGATTGGAGAAGCTCTATTTTGGAGATTAAGATTTGATCATGTTGCCATTTCTAATAAAATGGAAATCTTTATAAATGGGGTTTACATCCATTACATATAATCTGCCATATTACAATATACTTATATGTACTAGGAAGTTCTTATTCCGTCCTCACAATTAATTTTAGCAACACAAAATAATTAATGATAACATAGGATAATTAACGTAAACAAAATAATAAAGCAAGAGATCTTTGGAATTTAGACGTTGGTTTTATCAGTTTTGTAGCATCACAGGTATATTACCAGTTTTGCGATAAGATACGTCACAACGTACGATAAGCTATATTGGGGGTAAAGTACAACTTAATTTATAATGCTGCATGTACGTGCGTACCCAGATTCTGGCCTTGGGGTTTGTGAATCCTACAGTCGCTGTTTTCTTGATTTTATAACCAGATTCTATACAATGTCTTCTGTGGCCTTATAAGTGTAATAAGGAATTACTACTTTTTTTTTACTGTCAGAGAACGATGGACTAGCATGGGGTTCAAATAATGGAAGGTGAAATAGTTAGTGCGCTTTCGATCTACTTTGCCTTTTTTCAGTCCGTCATATCCTATTATTCAATAGGACATCCGCGGACTGAAATCGACGCGTGATTAACTTTCACAGCCTTATCATCCGTCACGAAAGTTCCATAATTTAAACAAATAAAATAAATCCATTAAAAATATGTTGGACCCAGTGGGTGATCAAACCTACGATCCATTGATTTTTAGAATCTTTTTAAAATAATCTTTTTAAATATCTAGTGTCTAATGTACTCTAGCGCAGATTATTATTTACCTTTATATAGGCAGCTGTCTGAACAGCGTTATGTTGTCTGGACCCTGTATTTATTTGCCAAGAATTCAAATTTGCATTTCTGGTACAATTATGTATATGTAAGTCAAAATCACTGTCAACTAAAAGAAACCCTTAAGACGAATAAAAGTATCCTATTTTTTTCAACCCCTACTTACGACGTATAAGCGAAACACAATCATGCATGCTATTAAAAAAAAGTTAAAAATACCCTACAAAATGCGCTCGTTGCAAAAAATATTATTTCCTAAAATAAATAACATACATAGCTTGAAATTTAAATTCTAATGACATATAAAATAAATAAAAACCCCGTTTTCACTAAACTAAAAACATTATATTATGTATTATATAGAAGGATGGGGTGCATGAGACTATATTTTATTTTACCTACGGACTGTTAAATGATTATTCAAAGGACGGGCGGCTACTTTTAATTAACCGATATTTTGATAACAATTATTAAGACAAGTAGTCATACATTGTACCTCTTTTAATATTTACTTACGTGGAAAAAAGCTTATGATCTTTTACAATCGTTGGATTTTAAGTTTAGGTTAAATCTTAAGCCGCTGCAACAAACGAGCTTAGGATTAAATTATATTTGTGCAGAAATTGAAAGTACATTTGAAGTAATGCTGCTGAGAACAAGTTTATAATAGGACTTGATACGCCATCTAGTGACAAGAAGCCTCAGATTATTGTCAACATACGACAAATAGCATTAATTAATTTGTTCTGCTATCTGTTGTCAGAAATAAGTAAAGTGATTTAATAATCGAGGTAATTCGCTTCATTGTAAACTTTTTATCCGAAAGGATACAAAGTTATAAGACTGACAATTCTGCTGATATTTAAGGTACATTCCTATATACACGGAAAATGTCTCACTTTTATTTTCATCTAGCAACTTTTCTGATACCATAGACAATTTAAGAATTTGACATCGACTGATGACGACTTGACATTTGAAGTTTTAAAAGGACATAATGTGTTTTGATTTTGTGTGAAGATTTATTGTTTACTTTCTTTTCCATTTTAAAAGCAAACACAAATTTTAAATAATATTAAAATTAAAAAATAACTTGCACCCAATACAATCACTTAGTTGCGTTTTTATTTCGTACCATTACGTAAAAACCATAATGATAAAGTAGTTTGTAACTGACAGGAAAAGTATATCGTTATTATCATTATATTCTTGTAGTATTATGCTGATAAAGATTCATTTTTCAGCAGATGACTTGGTGCAATGTGTGCCCACAAAGAAGGGTCACCAGATTATGTTTCAAGGATATACTTACACATTTAAGAGTAAATTGCAGTGCGGAGCAGAGCAGTGGTGGTGTTCATATAGGCAAAAAACTGGTTGTATATCGGTCATTAATATGCAAACGTACGGTGTTGAAGTAGTAAGAGATTTTCATAATCATAAGAAGCCTATGTTTACTGATTAAGTGTACTTTTTATTGTATAAAGCTGAGAAGAAGAGATGAAAAATACTTTAAACATTTTGACAGTCCATCAAGCTAATTGAAATTGTAATAGTTAATAAGAAAAGGGCAAGGTGTATGATATTTTTGCAGTCACAATCACGGATGGGACAACCACAATGGACAATGGCTTTATAACATGGCTATTATTCATAAAATTAAAAACACCCCTTACATAACTGGCCATATATGAATATGTACTTATGGCTCTATAAATTATTTTTCAATATTTACTTACTTTTATGTCTCACACATAAAGTATTATTAATTGATCATATCAATTTCAATGTAAGCAAATCCAAATAAACTTTATTTACTTATTTTAAACTCTTTTTATTATAGTCAATTATTTCTTTACAATATTGTTTTTAATGAATAAAATTAATTTTATTTCGATGCTCTGTTTTTATTTTATTCCCTGAATTATAATGTCTACAAATCTTCTGGTCTATGGTGAGTTTGTAACTAATATAGTTATTACTTAAACTACTTCACTCAGACACATCTATGTTAGAATAAGATATAAACCTAGAATTAAGGAATAAAATATAAATTATATTTAAATATTGATTAATTATTCTTTCAGAAATACTACCAGAGTGGGCGCTTATTTATTTTGTTAACACTGGAGTAGACAAATACCGGTGTAACATTTGCGATGATGAAATTGAGGTGACAGAGAATAAGTTGGAACTTTTGAATCATTTGGAAGATGGTCATAAAGAAGTTCTGGATTTTCATAAGGTATCCATATAATCAATAAGATTTCTTGATGATAATTGTGCCGCCTGCATGTCTATATCGATATACAGGGATAAAAGCGAGTCATAGAAGAAAACATGCTTATGTGTCTCATAAAAAAAAAGGTAATCCATCACTGAATTAGTTTTGCACAACTTAGGAATTGAGCTTAAATGTTCTGGGCTTTGCAGGTTAAAAAAAATATTTAATATGAAGATACATAATTGAACTGTCACTCTATTTGAGCCCATAAATTTCATATAGCACAAAAAATTTACACTTCTGACACTTGTTTCCAGGGAAATGCATCTGCAAATGTTGACTATCGTATAGAGTTTCTCCAAATCAGTCCTAAGGATGACGGGAAAATGCCATTGATTTTGGGAGAAATTTGTGCACCACCCCACGATTATGCTTTAAAGGCAGAGTGTGAGGATTTTCTGTTAGTCCCAGAAAATAAGGCTGCAGAGGATAAACAAGGTATGTTGCATGACAGTGCTTATATGTAGTGTTACCTGCCTTTTTATAGGCCCAAATAATGCTCAGTTTTTATATGCCCCATTTATATGGTAATAAGCTAACTGTAATGCTTTTTACAAGTACTATTGTTCAACAAAACTTAAAGCAAAAATTTTGCAACATAAACGAATTTACATAGTTTCAGAAGAAGTTTCTAAATATTTATTATATTATTCAAATATTTTAACTCATCCCATATCTTGCCTAAATTTAAATGTTTTATGCACAATTTTACAAAGGAAATCCATTTGAAAGGGTAAATTAGTTCTAATTTATAGAATACCATCGCAAGAGAAGCTGGGTATGGAAGTACTTTGAACAGCTGACCAAAACAATATACCGTTGCAACATTTGCACTGCAGTCTTATCAATTAAGGGCAGTAATTCCAATAATATGAATAGGCATATAAGGACAAGACATTTGTCTATATATACCTCCGAAACAAGAAAAAAATCTCTAGAAGACAAAGCCAGTGACTCAGTTAGCTCATCTAAGGTTGTTCCTATGCTGGACAGAAGTAAGTAGTTTTAATTCTTATGAAACATATAATCATAATAAAAATAGAGTATTCTACTACACCTAGAACTAGAGTTTTCGCTGTTAGGGTTGTGAGTAATCCCAGCAAAACGACAGTTGGCATTTCTGTGTCTGTTTCGCGATCGACTTCTTTACAGGAATATTGTTGGTCAGATCTGAATCCTCTCAAAACGAAGTCATTATGTTTTCTTAGAATTTGAACCCCAGAAACCAAGGCAAAATCAAACATAGAAATGTACATGTCAAATAAAAGAGACTTTAGCATCTCTTTCTCCTCTCCTTATCTCTTCCTATCATCTTTCAAGTTCCAGTTTGTGGTGTTTCAGTTCCAGATTCAGATACCTACCGGTGCACACTAAATACCTAAAAAGTAAATATTTACCTGCATTAAGAATTGATTTCCTCCCTTTCAGCTTCGTCGAGTACGGATAGTCGAAAACAGCGACGCAGTTGGGTGTGGTCCTACTTCACGCTGGTGTCTCGGACGCGAGCCAAATGCAAGATATGCAAGCGGGTTATATCGCACGGGGGAAACGCTACCGGCAACATGAATAGACATCTAAAAATTTTGCACAATAAGCGCGGAGGTAGGTTAAAAACGTTAATATATGTATGAAAGAAAATGAGGGTAATTTTGTGGCTTTCCTCGTTCTCGTTGATGACAGGTAATTCATTCATTTAAATCTTTGGAAAAAAGGAATACCATATATACTCGCTACAGAGAATCATAATATTAGTCTGGATTGTTTCAGAGGAACACGATTGGATATGGAAGGTATTCGATGCAGGCGATGATGTGTATTCTTGTAAAATATGTCAATATCAATTCATTAAGTTCGCAGACATAGATAAATGTGTGAGAAGTATCCTGGATCATTTGAAAGATGAGCATAACGTGGTATCTGGATCTCAGATCTTAACAGCCTCCACCTTCCAACCTTGTTGATTGTATGGTTAATTAATTTTAAATTTTAAATATATTATGGATATGTTACTAATTTTGGTTGAAATAAATTTATACATCTTTTAAGTCGGTTTCTTTTTATAACATGAACCTTAATTATCCCGTAAATATTAGTTAACCATAATTAATACTTACGGTACATTTATTAAATATACTTTTCATCATGTCCTTTTTTTTGTTAGAAAAGAAAAAACAAAGGGGCAATAGTTGCGACTAGTTTTATTTAAAAACATCCACCTTTATACCTACATCTAGAAACATTTTTGGCAATATAATTTTGTCATTTTACAGGTAACGTAAAAACACAACCACTTAGACATTCCTATATTTATGACGCAATGAACATGAATGTTAGCGACGAAAAATCAATTGTAAACTTTATAAAAAAAAAACAAGAAAATATACCTGAAGTTTCATTTTCACTGCGAAAATACAGTATCCCAAATTAATGTACGAAATACCTAAAACTATTTTTAAATATCTTATGTTATTGAAAAATATTTTAAGTAATATATTCTTTACATATTGTGTGAAGGAGGGATTAGGTAAATATTTGATACAAATAAAGTGTTTAACTACTCTCTAATTATTAGTACGCATATTAATGGAGGTAGAAAGGTTATAAGGTATATAATTATTTGCATAGGTGTCATTGCTTTGTATAATACAAGATAGCCCTTGAGTTGGTCTTACGGTTTACAAATGTACTGAGGGTCTTAAAAAGGTTAAATATTTTACATTTCTTTTAATATTAGGTACACACACGTCTAACGGTTAAATATTATTTACACGTACTTCTTAAATATCGATTGTTAACCCTGTTTGATCCTGGTAAACTATCTGTTTTTTTAAGTTAAAAACATATTTGTCACTACCCATTCTAACAATTCAACATGTTAATATTAAAATAAATAAGTTTGTTTCGGTAACTCTTGGTGAGTAATATTATTAGAGAGATACATAGACTAATATAGTATATAAAATGTGTTTACTATAGTAAATTCTAAAATGGCGCTGTGCGCAAAAAAAAATTGAAATTGATAATATTATCAATTAGTTACTTAACAAATTTTGACACAACTTTTGGCATCTATGTTCTTATAGTCCCGTATTGTTTTTCGAGTCTACATGATTTAGTGGTTGTTGAGTAAATTATATAAATTTTTCTCCTTCGATTTTCAAACTGATTGTGGTAATTCAAAATCATTTCACAATGGCGGCGGTCGAACAGGTTGTAATGCAAAATGGTCGCGATAGCCTTAACCAGTTTAATTTTTTTACTTTGATATATGTATATACACATGTTATTTACACAACCCTGTTTTTATTGTAATATCTTGTCAATATCACTAACACTTGAGCGGTATTTACACATACGACATATATATACATTTTTCTTAATCATTATATTTCGGTATATTAATATTAAAGTCGCGTTGAAACGATTTGTACTGTTGATTGCGTTATATTGAAAAGTTACCTTACGTTTAGAAATAATTGAATTCAAAATGTATGGTTGTATACTGTATAGCGAGTGTGCACATTTAAATTAAACACTTTAACGGTGTAACGCGAAGTTAAAAATCATTTTCAAATAATTTAATAATATAGGTTTTAAACCTAAATTTAAATGTATGGTTGTATAGAGTTAAACAATAACTAAAAAGGCGTACTCATTTTTATATTTTATCTTACCTAATTCAAAACCATCTAATAGCTCTTATACATTGCGCCTGTGCTGGGCGATTGCGTAGAAGGCCCATATGCCACATTATATTCTTTAGATATCTTCCCATATGCTAACCACGGTGATAAGTAATTATCTTATCCTAAAACCGATATAAAAACCAAACTTTTCAAAGCTCAATTATGAAACTGGGGCCGGTTTAGGGCCACAGTTGTGTGTCCCTTGTATGTAGACGATGCGTCCTCTGTACGTGTGAAGGGCAGCCTTGCACCAAGGGCCTCTGGAGCACCGCCACCTTATCTTTCCATTTCTAGCGCATCCATTGAATCGAAATCTGTAGCCACCCACATTGATGCCCATCTTTCCTTGCTTGCTGAGGCAGTAGGAGGCGAAACAGTCAATTCCGGTACCGATCATGCCGACTGAAACAAACCTGCGAGTTAGATGTATGATGGTATACTATGACCACCTTACAAAAATGTAAATGATGGAAAGATGAATTGTGACGTTAATCTAACAGAATGTGTTTAGATCATATATATAAATTGATAAGAACTCTTATCCAAATATTAATTAGAAAATTTTCCATTTCCAGTACATTTCGGCCTCTCGATGCGTGGTTTTCCAGTGGTCCACGTGAACGGTCACAAGTTCATCAAACACGAGCATTACAAGAATAAGACCAGGTGGACTTGCAGCAAACGATCGCAGACTAGGTGTAAATCGAGCCTTACGACACGAGATAAAGTTATCGTCAGAATGAGTTTGATGCACAACCACCCATAGCATAAACTAATGTCTGGAACGTTGATTCTTTTAGTTCACATATCAGTATTCAATATTTTTGTATTATCGTATATATAGTTATTTTATTAGGTGTCAAGGAAGTTCCAGGCAATATTCTAAATAGTTTTCGAAACTATAATTGTTTTGTAAATTGTGTAAGGCTTTCACGGTCATCGTTCAGCATATCATTGTTACGGGCTGTTCGGCCGACGTGAGCGAGAAGAGGTTCTCGACGCTTCGCCATCACGTGCGAACGGATCACCAGGAGATGTTGAATTGAGGAAATTGCTCGAAGAATTAATTAATTAATCGAAACGTCGACAACCACTTCTCGCTCACGTCGGCCGTACACCCCGAAAGACAATGATATGCTATAATTGGTTTATCAAGTATTTAGAATTAATATAGTGTATTTATACAAATGAATATAATTAACGATATACATTCAAATTTTAAATATTGTAAATATTTAATCGAATTTACACTTTGTGCCTTATGATGAAATGCTGTTGTACATAAACTTGTTCTTAGACCATTTAAAATTAAATGCTTCTATTAAAGCTTTTTTCATACTTTTTTATTGTTTTCCTGCTGTTATCACCTTTTTAGAATACGACCTTTAGTAAATCGTTCTATCTAAAACTTAAATAAAATTATTAACATATTTTTAGAGGGCTAGAAAATGAAACATATAGATAGTGGGATAACTATATTTAAAAAAAGAGATCAAGATTCGAAAGAAAAGCTCTAACAAAAAGTTCTACGGAGTTAAAAAATACAATGACATACATAAAACATAGAACTTAATATTTGATTAATTATAGTAGGTGAAAATACTATTCCTTAATTAACGAGAGGCTCCAAAATTTTTGCATCTTCATTGCAATGTATATTAGGAACTTCGGGGTTTTCAGGCTCTACAGAAGTACTGATTGTATCAATGTCATTCTCAGTACTCTTGTCTATGATGTCAACGTTAATTTCCTCATTCATTTCATCTTTTGAACTATCGACCTCCATTCTGTCTACTGTCTGTTCGACAGGAGTTTCTTTCTCCCTAATGCTTTCTAAGGCGTCACTGGTAATAGACCGACTCGGTTCTAAACCTACATTTTTCAAAATATCGTTAATATCAGCTGCTAAACCTATCAATGGATCACTTGAGTATTCCCTTCGCTCTGTAAAGGTGGATTCAGGTGTCTGAGGAGTAGTAAATTCGAAAGTTTGTTGAGTAAATGGTCGGTGGATCTTCTCTAATTCCAATTCTTCGCCATCTGATAGGATCTCTATTGGTGTTTCATCCACGACAACTTCGATGACGTCATCGTCTGATGCGTTGCCATTGTCTAGTGATTGTTTAGTAGTGGTAGTGGCTAAAAAAAATCATTGGTTAAATATCTTTTAAAATATTGATATAATTATTCTAAGGCGTCTTAAAGATAGTTTTCCTTATTGAACCTATAGTACGAATCACCAAGGGAGAATAAACACATTACATTTGGATATTTGGTGTGGCTCCTTTACTCGTTATAATTCTACTATTGAATTGTACTATTTGTAACAATAGATTTTTAAATATACTTAAAAATCAATAGATCTATGTTAAATTTTTGTTACGTAAATAAAATTTAACTATAAGATATATTATATACATAAAAATATATATATATATATATATATATATATATATATATAGACACATTTGAGGTGCTATATAGATTGCGATTTCGTGAATCTGGATTCTTTCTTTCGGTTCCAGTTTGAAATTTTGCTTTTTATCTTCAGTTCCGCGTATTTCAGCGGATCATCTTTGATGCGTTTGTATCTTACTCTTGCGCCGATGCTTCTCCGTTACAACCTCTCTTCTCTACTAATTTTAAGGCGTTGTTTTGTCATTTAGAATAATATCTAAACAAGTTTGTTGTCAGTGGTCTACAAATTTTATCGCTAATATAAACTGGAGATAGTTGATTGTAAGTAAAATTTCACTATATTGATGCAATTATAACTATTGACGACCCAACAATAAAGACATCGGTAATTGCATTTTCTTATCACTTTAGCAGATGTAACTTTTTTTATAATCTATTGAGTAGGTATAGGAAGTTCTTCTGGTTACCAGAAATCAAATTCAACATTAATGATAGTTTGTGTAACAGCAGATATATTTGGAAATCATAATCAGCACGAAACTGTAAAGCTTTACATTGTATTTAGTTAAACGTGCTTATTTTTTCTTACTGATTATACATACAACTAAATAAACTCAAATACTTACTCTTTGCTCACAATTTATTACTTATTTATTTACGCAGAACTCGGAGTCCTAATAAATCTTTCTAAAATTCAAGTTTAAAGCACTCTTGAACTTAATTTTACATTTGAACTTCTTTTTCTAATCTTTTCAGTATACGAACATTTTTCAGTAACTAATACTTAATAAAACTCCTAAGTTTAAACATTCCATCCACCTTCAAATTCATATAGAGATATTTATAATAATGCTTATTGCTTAAAAATATTCGTTTCGTAAGACATTGAGACTTACAAGGACCGACCATGATTCATGGTTTAAAGGGACCACAAATAACTAATCGGTTTGGGGCAAGGTGCGGTTATATATGTATAAAAACTTCCTTTTCGTTTGTACTGAACGGCAACCGCCCGTTGTCGCATAACCGATGCAGTAGCTTACAACACGGATGGTCGTTCTATAATCTGCGTAATAAGCGACGTTAGGTTATCTTTGCCGTCCCTCTTGACATGTATTTCGATAATGGAAGGTATAATGCGTAAGGACCTAATAGAAACTGCGTCTTCGTCCGCACTGACCGATTATTTGCAATGCCGTCAGCTGTCCAGTCGACAGCTACAGTACTGGCTAAGAAAATGTCTGTGGAATGATGAACTTTCTTGGCTTCGAATGATGTGTATGCTCTCCAATTGCATAAACTCTTCCATCCACCACGCGTACCCTAGATTTACATCCGTACCTCAGTCGCTTACCACATCGCCAGTGACTTTTCATTTCAGTGCCGTAGTCCTTGTGAAAACGATTTTCCCCAATGACAAGCACCTGGCCTCCCGTAGCCGTGGTTATGATTTGTACTGTGGGACAAGAACGGTTTGGAGAAGATAAATTATTTATTAATCTTTTCATTTATCACAGAAGGAAGTCGGCAAGTACATTTGTAGCTATTGATAGATTTCTTATACAAAGGAACCTATTGTCACTTTGATTTCAATAAATTTGGACCACGTTTTGATTTGATTCGGCATCGGTCCTAACACAAGAGTTAATCTTTTCAAAAAACACTTAACAATCTTAGATACTCAAGTCTACTTTTACGCGAGTAGGTTTCTGATTCAAAAATCAACACTCCGATTAACGGCTTTAAAATACGATATATTAGCAAATTATTTTAAGAAGACCTATCCGATTTTTGACTTTTTCCCGACAGTTTTGGTTGCTTTGCAGCAGTCGCGGCTCAGACAGTCTCCCCGTGTTCTCAAGCGTAATTGCTACAAAGCATCCACACGTCGGGTAGAATTCGTTCATAAAATCATTTTCAAGGCATTTAAAGTAGCAGAAGTAATAAAAGTCGGATTTTTAAAAGTTTAAATAATAAATGCGTTTGAAACTTTAATTTCATAAAAAATCAACTCTTTTTAGTCTAATATCGTATATAAAATATCTCTCAGTATCATTTAGTCAACTGAACTTAAGTAGGTACCATGCGACTTAAGGTCCTGAATGTTTTCAAAGTTACTAAATAAACCTCTGATATGCGGTATTGTACGTTTTAAGAACTCAGATTGCCAAAGTGGGATGGGATAGGGGGTTTGCTAAGTATTACCTGTACGCGAGTAGTACACAATTAAAGAAAACACTTTTAACGGTTTCAAACGCGAACCTCGTCACCATGGTAGATGTAAAGTTTAGACATTCCATATCCAAAGGTCGATAATACATCTTTTAAATTTAATGGCTGGAGAATTTCACCGTTCGTTAAATGTAAGCAAAAACAAGAAACATTATAATTTTGACGTTTCACGATACCTATTTGGGGCTTCATGGTTATGACCTGGTCCATATGAGAGAATGTTATCCAGGGTGTGAACGTACGCTTTGCAACCGTGATTCCTGCTCGAACAGTACCAGATGATTTTGCCCGAATTGCACTGCCACTGCCGTTTGTATGTGTAGCTATTTACCATTAGACGTGGGTGCTTCCCTTTCGTAGGTGGTAGCAGACACACTAGAAACACGCACAAAATAAACCATCCCATAAAAATCTTTTTTAACTGAGAATTCTAGTTCTAGTTAGTCTGAGAATATATTTAACCATTGTATTCCGAAACAAATTTTTGAAGTTTCTCGACAAACTGTGAGTTATAATTGAACTTCTAAAAGCTGCTTGACATTCGGTTTTAATATACTTCTGTTACTACGGGGCGAATCTTGACAGAGACTCAAATTTCGGTAATACCGTACTGTATAATTTAAAAAAGGAAAATAATTTGAAAAAATTTTCGACTCGGACAGGAATATTTTTTTTGTTTTTAATTTATATACTTAGTGCCATCATGTGCAATAACATATGAAAAAATATTGTAGTTTTCAAATACTTGTTCTGTATAAATAAAACGAAATTTAAAGACAGCATTAATTACTTTTAATTCATATACTGTAAATCTTTGAAAAAATCTTAATATTAGATGTAATTAGAATTAAACCGAACCGATGTCTGTTTCATTAATTGAAATAAGGATTTCAGTTAAAACTTTAATCACTAATTCCCTAACGTGTTACATTATCCAATAATCAAAGATCTTGTTTTAAACAAATTTATACATAATTTGTCTTTTGTGCGAAAGTACAATAATACCAAAGAAAATTGGCGACAGGCGAATTGGTTGTCGGTTCAAGTGCCGCCAGTGTCGCCAAGGTTTTTCGAACCAAATGGAAAAAAAATTAAGGTTTTTACTTTTTTTATATATTGTAATTTATAACTTTAGAACGGTTGATTTTACAATTTAACCCATGAGCCATCACTCGTTTTCATATAAGAAGGCGGTTTGTGTGAATGGGTGAGACAGCCCGACTTGTATCTGCTTTCTTTAGTTTTAGCAAATGCCTTACATCCGGATTTTCGGCTGGAACAGTACCACAGGGTGTCGCCGTGGATGTTGCTACGGCTTCTGTTGTACGTGTACTTCTTAAACATTAGAAGAGAATGTACACCCGACCGGGAAGGAATGAATTCGACTGTAATAAAACATAATATCATTAACCACATGTTATTAAACTGAGTCGCTGACAGGCTCTATGTTCCATTAAATTTTAAAAACTACGCAACGGATACTGAAGCTTTTCAAATGATTTAAGAGGAAGGTTTATGTGTATTACATGCTTAATAATTTAGAGAAATTTAGAACTTCTCATGTAATGCCGCAAATTTTATATTTAACTGAACCCGACAAGATAATTTAAAATAGTACTTATAGTAAATCTAAAATTGATGAAAAATGAGATTGTATTTGTTTATCTCTTATGGATATCCCACCCACCTATACCTATATGAAAAACGTGAACTATTATAGCGTTTCGGTTTCAGTCTGTAGATTTGGGAATATTCAAAGCTAAAAACAGGTCGATAGCGCATAATAGATGTTACATTGCTGGGGTATTTTGCCTTTCGAATGAAGCTTGTCTTGGAAAAAAAAACAAGATGCAACTTAAAATGAAAATTCAGAGAATTTCAAGAACATTTTTATTCATCTGTCAAGAATAAAAACTCTTTTCAGCAAAGTATTTTTCTTTTTGGTTTCAATTAACAGTTTGATCGATGTTTAAAAAAAAGAATGAAGTAGGTATGGAATAGTTTAATAAATTCGTCCGGATTGTACACATACATTTATCATTATCGTTCATACAGATCATTTGTTTTTATGGTCTGAAATTATACTGAGAGACTGTTTTCTTAGGAAAGTGGCTTTCAATCCACTATCTATATTATATTAAAAATTATCCGTCAGCCGTTGGATGGAACCGCAACGGTCGAGCGGCGGTGCAGAAGAGAAGCCATTTTTTATAAATATTTTATGATTGCGTTCAGTCGCGTTGAGGCAGGCTGATTGATGCATATACGCCCTTAGATCTAACTTATGAACTATAAAAAGAAATTGAAACATGCAACAATAACTATTCATGATTAACAATTCAAAATCTCATAGATTTTGAATTGACAATGACTATGACCTAATCAGTATGAATTATTTACTATAACAAACTAACTACATAACTTTAAAGTCATGATTCTTTATTGGACAAAGCACAACAGACTGCCTTTTGTTTTTGTGAAATTCATGATGTAGCGAACCCCTCAAAAACAACTACTTAGTACGTTAAATACCGTCTGTAGTTTACGCGAGTAGTACACATTTAAATAAAACACTATAACGGTGTATATACTCGATTCTGCAAGGATTCGGCCAGTTTCGCCAAATACCAACTTTGACGTCCGGCTTTAACTCTAAATTTACTAAACTGATTTAAACGAAATCTGGTAGACAGATATTTTAGAGGCTGATAAAGGACATAGGCTACTGTTTAATGCCAAAAAGGGTTGATAGGGGTTGAAAAAGAGAATGAAAGTTTGAATGGAAATTTGTGGTTTTTAGAAGCTAGAACAATGAAACTTTGTTTTTTGGCTTTTTGGGAATAGGAGTGGGAGTGGGAGTGAGCGTGGGAGTGAATGTAGGAATGAGAGTGGGAGTTAGAGTAGGAGTGATGTGAGGTGAGAGTCTTGCGGCAAAGTAGCACTTACAACATAGATTGGCTGCCTTAAATGCACCCTTACATAAATTAATAATCAGCCTCAATAATTAAAAATTCTGCCCCAAGTCACTATTCCATGCGGACGAAGTCGCGCGCACAGCTAGTTTTCAAATAAGTTTAAAAAAGATTTATTTTAAAACGTCAAAGTGTTTTATTTAAACGAGTACCTTTAGAACCTGATCCATTCACCGCTTGGACTTTTGACATAATTGGGGGGCTTATGCGAATGAGCCACGTCCCCGTAATGGTAGATGCCGTCCTGTGTTTTGATGAAAGCTTTACATCTTATGCCCTGCGTTCTGCGACTCGAACAATGCCAGATGGTGCCCCCTTGGTGGTTGCTATGTTTTTTATAATACGTATATTTGTTCAGCATGAGTAGAGGATGAACCCCCGCTCGGGAGGGAATAAACTCCGCTAGAATGTAAAACTAACTTAATTTACATCATTCGAAAGAAAGAAAGATTTATAGCATTATCGAAAAACACGAAAAATAAAAAGAGTAATATTTTTTATGACCGAAGAAGACGGACAAGCACGGATTTAACTTAATGGAAGGTTAAATACTCCAGCCATAGAATATCGTCACAAGATACGCTGTCATCAACAGAATCTATTTTGACTTCGGGCAGTGTAACATATTTCACATAAGCTTTAAGGCATTCCATTTCATTCTATATCTATTCCCAGTTTATGTGGGCCAGAATACTTCCACCACCTTTTAAGGGATCATAGAGTACCTAATCATATTTAATAATACAGTCCTCTCTGGGTTTTTTTATAAATGTTCTTCCAAAATGGAATTATTTTTTTTAAACATGTTAGTCATGGTGGGAATGATTATAAGCAATGTATTGTTACCATATTGTGAACTAATTAAATAGATAATAATAAGTACCCCGGGGGATGGACATAAGCTAGATTGTCTTTCCCAGCATAACAATTGCATATGTATAAAAAGCATAAATAATATCCATAAATTAAATAATTATAAAAAAACAAACAAAAATCATTTTTTAATCGCATTTATATACATTTTCTAGAACATATTAAATTTGAAAATGAAAAACAAGTAGAATGAAATAAAATGTTGCTACTATAACAAATTCGAAGCTTTTCACACAACTACCCTCAAGATTATGACTAGAGCCTTTTAGTATTTTATCCAGAGCCCTTGTTTTGTTTTGACATAAGGAGGCGGGGCGTGCCCGTGGGGTATATCTCCAACGACAATACCCTCATCGAGTATTTTAACAAATGCTTTGCATCCTCTCATTCGACTGGAGCAATACCACATCGTATTGCCATTATTCCTTGTATGGTGTCTTTTGTATGTGTATTTCTTGAACATAAGTAGGGGATGAACGCCGTAGCGGGAAGGAATAAATTCCACTAGAATACAATTTTTTAATATTATATTTGACATGAACTATTAATAACAATATACGGTTATGAATACAAATTTTACTATGAGTATGAGTGGCTACTAAACTATATTATATTAAATACTTATCTATCTAATACCTAATGTTATAAAGCTGAAGACTTTGTTTCAACGCGCTAATCTCAGGATCTACTGGTTCCAATTGGTTCCATTTTTTTTGTGTTGGTTGGACCATTTATCGAGAAAGGATATAAAAATGAAAAAAAAAACAGGCAATTCAACTTCAACTTTTATCTTTACTTTTATTTTTTTATTCATCTTTGACGATTTCCGTTGCGTGCGCTGCGAAAATAATTCAAGATATCCAAATAATATGCATCAAAGAATGATTCCTCTTTAATTCGGCTAAATATTTATCCCGGACAGTATATGTCTATATTTTAATATTAACTCGCAAGAACGATGAAACGCTACCAACGTCGACGTTAAGAGCCTTTATTTATAAAGACGAAGTGATGGTTTGCAAAACCTAATTTTAATGCCCATAATAACAGTTCTACGCTGGCTCAGCAAGTACCTAATATAAGTATTGTCTGTAGTTCAGACGAGTGTACTTTAAAACGAACCCCCATTACTACGGCTGATGCAAAACATCCGACATATCGGATCGTAGTTAAAAATGTTGTATTGACTCTTTTGCGTCTGTGTGAGTAAAATGGGCTCGGAAATACCTAAACTTGACATCGCGCGAAAGCTGTAAACGCTCTTAAGCAACTTCAACTACTCTAACACGACAGAACGTTATGGCAGGTCCATTATAAATAAGCTTATAATGTACTAGTAACATTGAAATATTATTTTAGTTTTATATTAATACTAATATAATTGCAACTTTACCTTTTTAATGCGTAGACCTTCCGAAGCCACACAGTTTAAAAATATAAAATAGCGTAGAATAAAATTTTACTCGACTAGTTCACATTACATTAGGCTTGCAATGAATGTTCGGTTAGTATTCGGTATTCACCCGAGTATTTTAATAGAAAAATTAGGAATTAATTGATTCAGTAAATGTATATAAATGTTGATTTATTATATAAATAATATATTCCCGATGTGGTCGACTTTCTTTCGACGCTAACACGAGACATTTTTAATTCGCAGTTTGCACCATCACTGTTTAAGTAATTTAGATACTCTTTAAAGTACGTTCATAAAGACAGTTTCTTTGTAAAACATGAACATAATCACATCCCTTTAAATTTTGGAGCTAAAATTTAATCGAATAGTTTTGCCAAAATTTCGGCTATTCGGCTATTCGTTGCAAGCCTAGATTACATATTTACAAATCTGCTGGTACATTATATAAAATTTGATTTTGAAACTAAAAAAAACATTAACATATGTATTTAAAAATAGTCTATAACATATTATAAAACAGTTTGAAACAAATTATAGAAGCCCTCGTGTGCAATGTCATGTGCAAAATAGTTTCAACGAAAATTCGACTCAAAATTTCTACATTTTAATCCATTCCCCGTTATCCATTCTCATGTACAAAGGGGGTTTATGGAAATGAGACGTGCATCCAAATTGGTACTGGTCGTCTCTTGTTTTAATGAACGCCTTACAACCACGTTTCCGACTCGAACAGTACCACAACCTGTCTTCATGATTGTTGCTGATGTGTCTTTGGAAGTATGTGTATCCTCCGAACATTAGTAGAGGGTTAACACCAAAGCGGGAACGGATAAACTCAACTAGAATGAAATTCTATTATTAGTCCTTCCTTTCCTTAAAATAATTAATCTAGCTACGATGGATGTCTGTAAATCGGCTACGCTTTAATATTGTATACGACAGAAAACGTTACCTGAACAATTATACAAACCTCTGTTGCCGAGGCTACTTTTTAATTTAGGTAGGATGAAAAGATTGGCAAACAGAAAAAGACCAAATGTTAAAATATATATAATATGTAATTCTTTCTGCTTTTTTTAAATGAACGATTTCTGGTAATTACATTACATCTAGAAATACATTCATTTAATAATCGTATAACAAATTTGAATATTTATATACTAAGTATCATTTTTTTCATAAATTGTATAACGACTTCGTGTCCATTTTGCAAAGCTTGGGCCGCAATTGACAGGCGTTCGTCGCTTAATCGATGAACGCGCATCATCAGATGATGTCCATTCGCGATAGCTTCATCTATTTCATTATCTCCAGGAGTGCAAAGGTTAGGTCTTTTTTCGAATCCATTCACCATAATCTGTTTTGGTGTAAGCAGGAGGTTCGTGGGAATGTGATAGATTTCCAAAAAGGTATTTGTCATCTTTTGTTTTGACGAAGGCGTCACATCCGCTGCCAGTTCTCCGGCTCGAGCAATACCAGAGAGTTTCTCCAAGCTGGTTGCCGCCTCTCTTAAAATAAGTATACTTCTTGAACATGAGTAAGGGATGGATACCCAAGCGGGAAGGAATGTACTCCGCTAGAATGTTAAAGTTCTTTTATCAAAATGAAGGAGTTTATGTATGAGAGGAAAATTATATTAAGAAGTAATACAAAATTTATGTTATTTTTTAATTCCATATAGTAATATAACACTGCTCTTTAACTTAAAAAATTACGACACCTTCAAACGAAGTTTCACCCAGTTATAGACAATCGATAAGATGTTATCACAATTTATTGTTTAATACTTTACCCATACACCGTTACTTGTTTTGACATAAGAGGGCGGGGCGTGAGGATGAGGTCTATCTCCAATGATATAATCGCTTCCAACTCTTTTAACAAACGCTTTGCATCCTCTCATACGGCTGGAGCAATACCATATTGCATTACCATTGCTTGATGCATAATTTCTTTTGTACGTGTATTTGTTGAACATGAGAAGAGGATGTTTGCCCACACGCGAAGGGATAAATTCCACTAGAAAGAAATTGAAATTACATTAATTATTTTAACAATTTGTGCGGTCTGCAATTGCACATTTTTTAACAAGTCAATTTTGAAAACTTTAATATTTTTCACATGTTATTGCATATGATGGCACTATATAAGTAATTTAAAATTCAAAAATAAATTGATAAAGTCCGAGTTGACAATTTTTTCAATTTATTTTCAGTTTTTTCAAATTATATATAGGTTCGAATTTGATGCTAATACCAGAAATATGCATAAAGGTTAGGTTAGGTTACCTTTTTGCATATTTGTGGTATTCTGGTTTATTGAAGAAAAAGAATACAAAAGATAGTTTTCGGCTAAAAACCGTCACAATCCTTTATAATTTACATTCTGCAACTTTAAGGATTACAAGTTATATCAATACTTTTTAATTAAAATAAATACGTTTTATCAAGTAAAGGGCATAAAAAAGTAAAACAATTTATTCGTTAAATTATTTTTATGCACGAATCTACACCAATATCAGTTTATATCGAGTATAAAAACAAATAGAATAAATTAGGGTACATTAACTAGTTTAAACAATAAATGATTGATTTTATTTATTGTGTCAGACAGCTAATCTCGATTTGAAATCACGTCTTAAGTACTTATAATATTGTACTTAATTTCATTTTTATATGTGTTTAAGAAGACTTGAGTTTTCCATAAATCAAAAACTGGACTAGATTTTAAATAGATTACTGACGTATTTTATCTAATGCTATCTAATAAAAGGTAATTTTCTACATTCACATAATATTTTGAATCACTTCTACTTTTCAGATGGACTTCCTAGAAAACATAGAATTTTGCAACTAAATCGAATTAAGTGGAATTACGTCGCGAACACGAATCTGCGTCCGTTTCACTGAATTGTTTTCCCGGGATTCGAACCCAGTAAGTACCTCTTTCACTTAAAACAATTATAGGCAACACCATTTGGCCACAGAGCCGGTCGTCTGGACAGTATTTTTGAAATACTTTGTCTAATTTCAAGTTAATAAAATCAGAATGAACACACAACAATCGTCGTCAACTTTATTTTAATCGCATTAAAATTATCGGTTTTGGCTTTTGTCTGAAAGTTGAGTTAATCGGCTGCCGACTTTCAATCGGACACTGTTAATTAGATCGTCAACGTATGAGGCTGCTAGAGGCAGAGTGGCCTAATAACAAAAAACATGATTTTCGATAAGGAGTAAAATAAAAATGCGCAATTAACTCCGGCGAATATTAATTGAACCATTATTCGTGTTAACAATTTTCGATCACTATGCACTTGTAGATTAAATCTTTTTAGAGTATAAAAAAATAAATAAAACAAGTCACAAAATTGAAGTTAGGCTACTCTGCCTCTAGCGGCCTCATATCGTGTTTTTTTTTGGGGTTTCTTGGAAGTAAACTCGAGTCTAAGATAGGTCACACCTTTCTTGAATCACCGTATCAAAACGATTGATTGATATGTGGATTTACAAGCGTATCGGTCTCAATAAAGTTGGATGGTAATTTGGGTGGTATATGGTCATGGGGTTTCATAGCCACTATTTGATTATCAAAGCTCACGGCAGCAGCTCGACACCCCTTCAGCCTGCGTGAGCAATACCATGATATTCTTCCATCGGCGTTTCTCTTCTGATAGCTGTAGGTGAAGCCGTCTATAAGCAACAGTGGATGTTTACCGGCGCGCTTTGTCCACAAGAAAGTTCCTAGAAAGAATTAACTGGGCGGTTAGGTTGTTCGACATGGATGGAATAAATTTCTATTCTGTGGTATTCTCTTGACGCAATGTCTTTCCAAAAACACTGATGTGCTATTGAAGTGACATTGGATTTTACCCCACTGTTTATAATAATGCGATGTTCATCAGATGGCTTGCAAATTTAGTGAACTTGAAAAATAAATATTCATTTCAAATACTTTTTGTGCCATACCCGAAGCCGGTCATTTGAATAATATGATTCAAAGTTATTAACAAATTTTCCAGATTCTTTATTTCATCAAAATCATCGTTTAGCTGTTTTAGCACACTCTATATATGTATATAGCCTTACATCCACTCTCAATAACGACGAAAATAAACACCCAATGACACTTAATTATGGAAAAGTACTTTCTTTTGCAATAGATTAAAACTTTTAAACTTCAGACATGGACGTTTCGTCATTACTTCAAGTAAGCTATGTAACTAATATATCGGAGCCAGTTTTAAACACGTTTTAAAAGTGTTTTATTTAAATATGTTATTAGTTTTACACATTATGGTATTATGTAAATAAAATATGAAAAAACATATGATACGGGCAAGACTTGAATCGAAACCCACAGCGTCCCGTGCTGCTATTAAAGTTTCAGAAACGTTAAACTGTATTTCATTCTCAATGATTTGAATCTCAATATGAATGTGTAAAAGTTGGAAATGATAATGCGGAGAGTTGCATGTATATCAATGTGTTGAAGACGATGGAGTATAGGACACGGTACCTCACTTTATCCCAAAAAGGTTATTAACTTTTTTTAGTTATCAACAATGAATAGGCTAGATAATTCATTCTCTTCTGCGAAATGAAACGCCCTAGCCCTGTAATGCCTTATAACTAGTCGGCCTATTTAGGCGTTCGCTACTGTATTACTGACTTTAACATACATTCCGTTGCTTAATTTAACGTAATGTGGCGGTGGATGATTGTGAGTATCGAACGTTTTCAGCAATTGCCCGCGGGTGGTCATGCGCATGCGCGCTTTGCAGTTTCCCGTGGTACAGCGCCAGCGCTGGTAAGGTTCTCTGGAGTAATGTAGACTAAATGTGTATCCTTTTCGCAGCATCAAGTTTTTCTTGTTTCCGGCTAGTGTGATCATGTGCCAATCTAAAATGTTGACCGTATTGTTTGAACCAATTATGTTCCAGTGGGAAAAAGTCCCCTCTCCCTTTGGAGAGCTTTTAAATGTTCCTTCTTACTTGGGCTTGTTGTTTATTGTGATCAAACTTGTCATCGTATGCAATTAAATAAAAACAACAACTTGAAATCGAAACTGACTTTATTTCTTAACAAATAATTATTGAATATGTATAAACATAATAAGAAAAAAAACATTTAGACAATTTTAAAGAATAAAAAAGTAATACTTAAAAACTGTTCTTTAGATATTCAAGTAGCTGTTAGCATACACATACAACAAAATGTGTGTGACCAAAAAAAAACAGCCTACACGTCACAATTTGGTTCTAAATTATTGTGCCACCGTAATAAGAAATTGAAAAAAAAAACTTGTTTTAACTTTTAATATTCATTTTTTTTTTGTTTTCTATCTCTTTCCAAATTTATTACACACAATTGTATTGTGAAATGATCTTTTCTTAGTGTTTGATTTTTGAGCTTTGTAGCCTTCTTATGTCTTTTTCAAAGCCGCTCCAAACTAAAGCTTTTTCCTTCGCTTCTTCTTTTTTTGTTTCATCCTTCCTGCAGTAGAGTATTTATTTTTGTGTTAGGACTCTTCTCTATGTCTCACAATTTGTTATTTTTTATCTTCAATAATAATTCAATAATAATTTTTATGCCTTATTTGCCATATATTTCTTCAAAGCTCTTTTTTTAATTAAATGTTTGGGTTCTATATCAAGAGATGTGTGTGACGAGATTTTATCATCGGCATTGTACATTATACATTTCAAACAATTCACAACAGATGGTAAAAAAAAGTAATTTGGAAACATCTGCGTACGTCGCATTATTTATTAGGCTTATGAGACTAAATATGTGATCACATGAGAAATAATGTCATGCCGAATATTTAGATCATTAAATAAATAAATCTGCACAAATAACTTTCTAATTACCTTTAAAGACACGAACGGTAAGGAGATATTATTTTAACCTGGACGGTTTTTTGTAAATTATTAATTTTTCGCCGGCGCCAAATCGCTCTTTAAGACGTGTGATCGGCTCGAATCACTAGAGGGCACTGGGGCAGTGGAGGGGAGTCGTCGTGAGGATTACATTTACCATTGGCTACAATTCTATGTCACTGTCAGTATTCGCTAACGGTAAGTAGTTCGAAGGGTGGGACAAATTCTGAATTAATATAAAATTAACTAAAACTGTTTTTTATATAATTTTTTATTCAGTTTATATAATAACTATTACATTTACTTAAGAATAAAAAATAATTTCTGTCTTCAAAAGTTTCTTTTTATTTTTCTTCTCAAAATGGTTGAAAATTGGGATAAGGGACACTAATGGTAATGAGGTTTTGGAAACAATTTTTATAAACTGTCTTTTAACTTATAAAATACAATAAATTAATCTGCAATATGCACTCCATTTTATTAACTATGCAAATTAAAAAAAAAATACAAAATCGATTGAAGTTTAATGTGTTATTCATAGAGGGACATCAAAAATGTACATGTTTCAAAAATGTACAAATATTCATCCTTAACACCTGAATTTCGGTCTTAAGTTTTTTTTAGAATTTCAATCTAATGTTAAAATGTAAAGATACATGACTTTATCTGAAAACTTAAATAAAAACATTGTTAACAGAGCGCGAATAGAATAAGACAAAACGATTTACTCAGTGGCAAGGCTAAAATTATTCATGAATCTTAGGCCGAATGATCTGTATTAAAGATCATGATGCTATCTGTGAAACAATCACTGACCTAAATTTGAGATAATCATAGATGGTTAAAAACGCTAATTTAATCCTTAATATATATGATATTTCCTTAATTATCAACTATCAATTTTATATAAAGAATATTATAGATTTGCTATGTTACCACTACTTGACTTGACTTATTAAATTCGTTTATTTTTACACCTAAAGCACATAAAAATGTAAAATTGTATAAATTTCGTATTTTTTCTCAAATACTTAATGGGGAGGCCTTTAGGGATTTAGGTCCCTATATAAAAAATGTATTTCACTCCCATGTACCTACTATTCTGTCCTAATATACATGCCGTTGGACAGTTTAAGGTACTTCTTCGCGGCATGGTTATGACAGTCTGCTATCTCCTCCAAGCGTTCTTCCGGTGACAGCCTGATGTAAGCCTTGCAGGAGCTAGTTTGAGTGCAGCGCCACCTCGCGCCAGTTGCGGAAGCATACGCCCGCGAGTATGTGTACCCTCGATGCAAATAGTAGGACTTACCGTTCACAAACGTGATCTTCTTAGGTTTATCTGTAAAAATAAGATTATCTATTATATAGAGATCAGTACAGTTATAATAAAGCCATATGATGTGATGGGTTTTTTAACATTTTTTATTATACATACTAAGAAGTTCGGCTCGTCGTCGTAAAAAAACTTTCTTCGTTTCATTCTTACTTTTGTTATGTTATATCGTAACACTTCTACTTACATTGTCTCATCTACTATTTATAGTGTACAGATTGTACATATATCTGTACTATTAAATGATATTTGTTAAAATCATCCATCAATATTATTTTCTAGTTCCTTTCCGATCGAAGATAGATTTATTCAGTTTTGCAGTAACCTTTCGACTGAATGTACAAAAAGTCTGATGAACACTGGCTTCAAAGAGCCGCAAACAATTTTTTTTTTATCAAATCCTACAGAACTAACAAAAACAACTGTTACAGAATAGTTAAAAAAATATTTTATTTTACTCGATTTCACGTCTACTCTTTATAATATTACAACGTTTATAGAGATGTCATCAAACGAAAAAAAGTAAAAAAAAAAAATAGCATGACAATGAAATTCAGTGGGTAAAGTGGTTATGATTTATATACATAAAAAAGGCTTAGTAGTAAAGAACAATAAAATTAATATACACGGAATGAAAAGAAAAAAGAGTGAGACCTCGGAAACGAAACGAAAGGAAAGCAAGTGAGAAGTGGCAGGAGTGACATGAAATACTGCCTCAAGAAAGAAAAATGGAAGCGGTTGGGACCCTCTAGAGAAGGTAACATCTGAAAAAGTCTTGTTTTATTTATTTTATGACCTCAATGACAAGTAAAGACCATTCGGAGTTCTATAAAAGTTCTTCGGCGGGTGAGCATGACGCATTGGTTCCTTGTAAACTTCGCCCGTTGAGTTGACACAGATGGACACATAACACGCATCAGTCTTAATGCATCGCCATCGATTCTTGGATCCAGTACATTTAGAGTAGTAATAATTTTTGTAGCGCAAATAGACTTGTTGATTTACCGTCCTTATATACGTCACTGCAAGTTGTGGTAACATTTTTTGATATAAACAATAAGCATAAATGAAATCCCGTTTCCCCTCGTGGGGCATAGCGCGAACACTTTTCTGTGTCCGTTTCAATGATCGGTTTTATTTACAGGCTTTTGTGCCCTGTCTGACCGAAACAGTTTACTGTTCCCCGGGATTCGAACCCAGGACCTCTCGCGGTTAACGCAATGCTATGCACGTTTAACCATTCAGCTACAGAGGCGGTCACAACAAGCATAGTAATTAGTAAAGATGCGACGAATGACACTTTCGCCGAGTAACGAGTACCGAGTTTTACTCGGTCCAATCAAATTCCCATTTCGCCCGCGTAAACAAGTAGGTACAAACAGGTTCGCGCCGGTCAAGAACTCGGCTCGCTGTCATCTTCTTGTAATTTTGACTCATTCATTAGCATAATCTACCTAAATATATTGCTTTTATTAAACAAAGAATACTCGTTCTCAAATAACAAAGTATAATCGAGTGTTTCGGCCGAGTACGCAGTACCGAGTATCAACCGAGTACTCGGCCCATCTCTAGAAGTTTGCATTAATTACATTAGGTTGCTCTATTGCTAAGCGGTTGGTATAAAGCTTCTAACAAAAAGAGATAAACTTATTTTACTTCCAACGGTTAATAATAATGATTTGAACAAACTCATTAATTTTAGGGATCTATTTTTGTACATGGAAGATGGGAAAGGGAAATGGAGACGTGATGTTAATATGCTGTAAATAAAAATATTAAAATCCAACTCTTCCTTACACTCCAAAATCATTTAATCTCTGAATTTAATAATATTGAGGTGCGAAAAAATATTTTATTAATTACTAAGCGGAGAACACTTAAAATTATATTTATAATGGTTATTTACGATTAAAATATGTAAACACTACTTTTAAATTGATAATACTTTAAATCTTTAATATTGGAAAGAAAATATGGAAAATATGATAAGATCCATTATCTCAACCGTTAAGCTGCAAGAAAAATAAAATTTTACAACTTTCTATTTAACACTGCTTTTCTTATCACACACGATGAATGATCAGTTATTTCACGTGTTGTCTCTTATTGGCAATATTAATGACATTTGACAAGGACAACAATCATTTAACTAAAATGTGGTAAATTGACATTTATACGTCAACACAACAACCTTTATGTCATTTCTTCATTACACACATTGCGTTACAGATTATAGATACAATATCTCTATTAACTGCTGCTAACATTTCCGAATCGATTCGCTTTCTGTTGTACATACATTGGCTGGGCAAAGTGAACATTGGCTGGTGGTTTATCATCACATAGTTCTGGCATTCCAGCTTTACGATAGGCAAAATAGGCGTTTCGAGGTCGATTGAGACGAGTGTACCCAGCACGAGTTTTCACGAACACAGCCGGTTCGTGAACATGCTCTCTGGTTATTTTAAGTGGTCGCATATGCTCATCAACGTAGAGGGAGGCGTAACAACGATTGGTGGCTATGCACCTCCACCTTCCGACTGCCCCCGTATGGGAGACGTAGTAGTGGTCTCGGAATTTCAAATATCGCTTGCCCTTGGTGGTGACTATTAGCTCTACTGCTGAAAGAAATTACAATGTGAACAGAATATATTGGATTTATTACAATTATACACAATATCTAATACATATGACATACATGGGCCAGGCTCTCAAGCCGAGCAGACTGAGTCTTTCTGACTAGAGCCCAACCCGAGTGACACCTTAACGCTAATTAGCATAAATGAAAAAGAATAGAAACGAGTCATTTATTTCCAAAAGGCCAACAGCATACTTAGTAATGAAACAAAGTAAAACATATGTAGATAAAAACCTTTTAACTGTAAAAGCGGTTTGTATTTGACCAAATACATTCGTAACATATAATACACATATACATATATAATCCATGCTTTACCGACACAGTTTGGTATTAAGAATTCGTCTTAGAACTACTATTAGCGAGTTAGGAAGTAGGAACTATCACCCCATGTCTCTTACTTATAATTAATTTCGTAATTCAGCACTAATTTAGTGGCGGTACTCGTTAAAGCCAACCAACCCGCACTGGAGTAGTTGTTTTATAAACGATTACGTTTGGTGCCTTTTAAAACGATAACGATGTTAGAATGTTTGTGACTAGACCAAGAATAACCCCCCGGGGGCTGCGGCTTGACCCACGCTGCTTGCATAGCAAAAGATAGATAAATGCTAACCCATATGGGTAAGAAGCACTGCAAGAGACCTCGTACAGGAACAGCGATGTGTTCTATACTCTTATAACCCTTCACTTGGAAGAGAAGACCTGTGTCTAGCATTGGGACATTGATAGGTTGAAACGATTGACATTATTATATTAGGCAATAATATATTCGTTTCGAAGTTTAACATAACTCCCATCAGGTAGACTCACGAGTCTTGGTTTTGCATGGTTGTGTGGATGGGCGTCTGACTTCCGTAACACGACCAAATCATCATCCAAGCGGATGAATGCTTTACATTTTGGGTAGTGGGTGCAGAGCCACCTCCTCGCGGCATTGCCTTTCTTCGAATCGAAGTAGGTGTTACCATCGTAGTACATTTGTCTTTTCCCCGTTTTCAGAGTTATAAAATAAGCTGAAATGAAATGTATTTGTAAGTTTTGCTGGTTCATTTTTTGGTTTTGGTCTACTTAATAGTATAGACATGCTCGTCATGAAACCTCGTCACATGACAAGATGCGCTATTGACCTTTTTAGCTTTAGATAACGCTTTATGGCTTTTTCCACCTGTGGATGGTTGTTATTGACCGGGAAAGAAAATCGGAATCAATTTTTTTGGTAAGATCGTGCGTGGCTATGTGGTTATATACACTAACTACTCTACATAAAGATACCTACTTAAAACATTAGGTATAATATCTAGAGTAGAGTGTATTCTAAGTTAGCACATAAAATCCTTTAAATAAAACACTTTAACGGTTAAAAACGCGATATATTAGTTAAACTTATTTGAAAATGATTTTTAACTTCGTGGCCGATGTTTCGAGGAAAATTGCACTTTGCGTATAACGTTTTTTTTTGGAAAACAGTCTTCTTTCGGGCCATTTTATTATGTTTTCGATCCTACAAAACCGTTCGACGAGCGTAGGAAAATCGTTTTTAAATCACAGTGGAATTCCTTTTTCGTCCGTAGCTTTTGTAAGAGTTGTAGTTCAAAAGATCTATAGAAAAATCCCTGTTATCTTTATGATAGGTGCATGAGACGAACACCTGCACTGATTGTTTGCATTTAAAGGCAAATTGTTTGGAATGCCCGAACCGACCGCAACAATTTATTTAGTTAGTTACCCGGGATTCGAATCGAGGACCTCTCATGATTAACGCAAAGCGTTCATTGAGCTAAGAAGACGGTCAGGAGTAGCAAACAATATTCTATATGCATACAATATTTATTAAAATGTACATTTACAGTACAGAGAACTATAGAAACAGGTTGAGGCGTTAACGCTAGTGTCAATTAAAGATAAAATATAACTATGCTATCGCGTAGTACTAATATTATGGATGATTTAAAGATGGATGATCTTTTAACAATCACGACTTAGCGTTGAGAAGCAATAACAATAAAATCTAAACACAACATATCTATGTGTTTTTTTTCGCCCATTATGACACATCGAGATTCCATATGGGTGTAAAATTAATAATAAGTTCTTAACGTTCTAGAATAAACATGGTTCAATAAAGAGGTTAGTCGTCCCAACCTATCAATGTCCCAATTTTAGGTCTCAAAAGAGCTGAGACCCACTATAGCTGCTCCAATTCAGGTAGGCGGGTTTAACGTGTTTTAAAAGGCACATGGGTGATAGTAACACTTCCTACTTCCAAACTCAGAATATTACGGAGAGAAAGGTCTCCAGAGACCCGAGACTTACCTAGGATCTTGTGTTCCAGCAGTCCAGTGTATGAAACACTTGAGCATCGATGCCGTTAGAGAAAGCCTTCGTACTTGCTATGTCGTCTAATACTTACCTACTGATCATGTGTATGGTTATTTTGAATTATACTTTCATTTCTGTTCTTAAAGAACTTGATGTAGGCTCTGCAGGACCCAGACAGTGTGCAGCACCATCTCTCGCTGTTGAGGGAGGCGTATTTACGGTAATAAGAGTAGTTGTTATACATCAAAGTTTTTCTACCGTTGCCTCTATCGATGAAGAGGAACCCTGAAAAAAGCAGATTTGAATGTATTATATGAAGAAAAAATTAACCCAAAGACAATAGAAAAGGTGTTAAGAAGTCTAATTATGTGTATTTGTATGTTTATTGTACACACTTTTAACGGTTTAAAACACGATTAACGCCGGGCAACCTTCCGTGACCACGTCTGCTGCAAAGCACCGAAGGGCCATGGGTATATAAAACCCGCGTGTAATACTAACACTGTTTTCCCTTAATATGTATTCATCAACAGGTAAAAATACCTTTTAAAAGCTTTCTTTTAGAAAAAAAAACGTAATGAATCTTACGTTTTAACGTTTGTTCTTATTAACGTCAAAATATTGGTATCGATAAAACAACAAATATTGCTCTTGCACCGTTTATTGCAAACATAAAAGTATCTTAGAAATCAGTGTTTGTTATAGATTACATTGTATCTATCAATTGAATAGATAATTTTTTATGTCTCTAATCTCTATTATTCTGCAGTAAGATAGCAAGAATCCAAATAAGTTTTTACGACTGTAGCAATGACAGTAAAGTTTGTAAAATTTGATTTTTCTTAAATGGGGGACAATATTAATAAGTTTTAGTTATATAGAAATTATTTTATATTTTCTTTATTTATTTTAAGTCTACATACACAGTTAGTGATGGTTTATTTTAGCACCATTAACAAATACCTTAATGAACTATTACTAAAGAACTATCGCACAAAATTTAACATAACTTAAAAAAATCATCTTGATAATGTTGTTTAGTGGTGACCTTGACAACAGCGAACTAGACTCACTGTTGTACCCACCATCATTTATATCTGTACGCTTTCGACTCTTATCATTTTATCCTTCTTTGAAGATTATATACATAGGAACCAATGTCATATTTAGGTTACCCCTTTCTGTGTTATTGAACAACATTTAAACTCTTCAAATAAAAAAATAGTGTCGTTCATCTTGACGACCATACTAAGAAAATATTCGGTAATTTAATGTTTATGTCATTCATTGTAATTGTCTATGATAATATTTAAAATATACACTAGTGCTGTATACCTTGGTGAGAAAATAAAAACAACATTGCTTATAGAATTGTACGGATAAAAATATACACCTTACGGCTGGGATCAAAGCGTCTTTAGAAGACGCTCCTTTCAACAAATAATTTTCTTTATTATATAAGAACTTCTTGTTCCGTTCCCTCATTCAGTATATATCTCTCTTCGTTTAGTATACCGTCCTATATTTTAAAGTAATATCCCTCAGAATCAACGTAGTACCTCGGCTGCTTATGATTGTGCTTTTCCACCGCTTGCAGAAGCTCTCCCGACTCAGATAAGATAATGTAAGACCAGCAGTTCCTTGATGCTGTACAAACCCATCGGCTCTTACACTTTCGCTTCCATGAAAACGTGTACCCATTATACATCATGTACCTCTTGCCCTTCGCCAACACGATCTCGTGAACTGGAATTAAAAATTGCAACAAAAATGAAACAAGTTTTGCAGATAAAGTCAAACATGTTTCAAAGAAATTATTAACTGATTTTAGAAACATCTTGGCCCTTGTGCTAACCGAACCCACGGCCTGTTATTTATTCTATACTTACATTGGTAACCTTATGGCACAAGATACCGAAATTTTTGTTTAGCTAAAATCCATTCATAAATGTACTATTTTTTTTACGATAGAAATTTAGATATATATATAGATAGAAATTAATTTGAAAGCATTTTCATCTGTGGTTCGTGACCTGGATGGAGTTTGATTCTCCTACCACCCATTTAATTTTCAGACGAATTTCAACCAGGTGTCAGAGTAAATGTAAATTGATTAACATATTAATGTAGCTAAATAAACTAAAGACAATGTTACAACCGAGCTTAGTACGATACCTTTCCGGATCAAGTTTTATGTATACTCTTTTTGAACAGGGATTTCATAAATAACCACATAATATAATATAATATTATATTTTGACGTATCCTTTAGCAGTCTGTTGATAGCGGGGAGGTGGATGGTTATGGACATCCACAAAATTTACTATGGTGTTATTAAAGACAATAAGAGATGCGCGACACTTATGTGTGATAGTGCATATGTAACGAATAGTACCCGATTTGGAAGTGGTTTTCTTTGTGAAAGTATAGCCGTTAACCATCAGGAATTTCTTGCCGGAAACCAGGGTGATTTCTGAAATGTACAATAAGTTTAGAAAATTATGCAAACTCGGAACGCGGTTCTGGCCAAATTTACAGTTGCAAATGATAACGACGATCGTCGCAAAGTCATATGTAGCGATGGTACATTCTTTTTGAACCTAGCTAGGCCCAATAAACAGTGTTGCCTAAGTTAGGGCTAGTCGGGCTGAAATTCATCGCTTAAGCCATGTTTTCTGAGCACAAGTTAAACCTTACATTGCAGCTAAAATACTACTTTTAAGTATTAGAAAAATATCAACGATAGGAGGTAGTTTGAATATTTAAATTAAAGATATCGTCTATTCTACAAGCCAACAAGTAAAATTCGTGTAGTAACACGTACATAGTATACCTCTGCCATGCCCCATGTACGCTTGGTCGTATTTTAAATAATTTTGATATGTTTAAGCAATATTTAATACGAATACTATGGAAATGTCTTATACAAAACCGTTTACTATATCATGTGGTACCCATACATAAGTAAAAAACAAAAATAAAATTAAAGATCTAACTTAGATTGAAAAAAAAAACACTAGCAGGATTTTAACCACTTTTACGATTGTACGGGTACCATTTACCAACTGGGTGCGGAAACCTAAGAAAGAAATACATTGACCCAGATCCAAGAATCCTTAGTTATTCTTGACAGTCTGCCAATAGTCAAGTAAAGTTTGTTATGCGCGCATCCAACCAACTTGTGTCTCAATCATCCTTCGTGGCAAATGCGTGTGTCTATTTTTAATACAGCTAATCGTATTATCGGGGTTGAGGTTCAAAGACACTTTGCAGCCCTCCTTCTTCGCTGCTGTGCAGTAGAAGTAGGACCTCTTGTCGGTGAGGACGTGGCGTCTCGTGTAAGTATAGTCGTTGTGCATCAATATTGTTTGACCAGTGGTTAGAGTGATGAATGTGCCTGGAAGTGATGATGATCATTACGGAGATGGTATACGAGTTTTATATGTGGGCCCAAAATCCATTTTTTTGAGCAGTTTCTGTATTACAAATACAAATTCTTTATTTAGCAAAAATATTGTGTACATTTCCTCATAGAGTGCACAGCCCCCACACTAGGATTCCCTGTGTCGTGGGCGGCTAGTCTCTTCCGGTGCATAAACAATTACCAATTAACATCTAAGTGACTACATGCTAAGTTTTTAAATAATTGTGAGTTGAGTTTTTGTTTACGCGAGTATTACATATTTAAATAAATCACTTTTAACGGTTTAAAATACAAAATCTATTAGTTAACCGTGTTAACAAGTCCTGTTTTAAACCGGTAAAAATATTTTATTTAAACCACTTTAATTACAAAATGCTAAATAAGAAATATGCTTTACGCTTGTTTTATATGACAACATATAAACACAAAAACAACGAACTTGGGTAAAACAACTTTAGACAACATTGTCTAAAGTTGTTTTACCCAAGTTCGATATACAAGGTACCAGCACACAATGTCCAATACGTAGCACTGGTTTTTTAGAACTACATTATTCTTTTTGTGCTGTATGATTAAACGAATTTTGTGCATTTTTTACTGATATATAAAGTAAAAAATAGATTTCTGTGTCTACATGTTTATTTGTATTTCAGTACATTAATTCAGAACAGCACTGTTGCAAAATAACAAAATACATAACACAATTCAACTCAGAATAAAAGTTTCAGATTTATGACGTGTTAGTGACAGTTAAAATTTTATTGCATAAGTTATAAACCACTGTTAATAGTCATTAAAATCTCAGTCATCCTTGACCCTCGACGATGGCTGCTCAAGGTACTTCGAATAAGATTAAATTTAAAGTCCTTACCATATCTAACGTTACACTAGATGTCGTTAAATACAGAATTTACTATTTTGACTCCCTGAACTCCACCCACCCCAGATTTTGAATCTTTGAAATTCTTCATTTGGCTGCCGAAAGGGATTTATTGAGAAGGACCAAAGGCAAGTGATTTAACGTCTAGGAAATGGGTACAATCTGATGTGCTACATGATAAAAACCTACTAGTATTAAGAAGTCATCTTCGAAAACATTTTGTATTATATTCTAAAATAAAATAATCGAATCAAAATACAGATTTCATTTCCTCACACCAAGTTCACCTAAGTCTACACATAAAACTTGCGTAGGTACAACAAAGTTAAAGCAAGATAAAGACACCTAAGGTTCGTACAAAACTAGATGATACAAGTCGTAAGTTTGCTTAAGTAATCAAGTTATGTAAAGATCTAATCTAAGCGAAGTCGAAAATAAGCGACGACGTTAATTCAAAATAAAACATTTTAACGGTTTAAAACGCAATACGCGATACGTGTCAGATGCTTTGTAACGGCAATTAATTTCCAATTAACTAATATACGTATATCGCGTTTTAAACCGTTAATGTGTTTTATTTAAATGTGCACTACTCGCGTAGACTACAAACAGTATTTACCATTAAGTCTATTTAGACCGTAGAGCAGTGGTGGGCTAACTTTTTTATGGCGGGCCACAAAGTTGAAGAAATTCTAGAGGAGGGCCAGAATTATAGAAAAAATGCATTTTGCGTTAAAGCTTTCCGACCATTTGTCTGTTTTATTCTTTAAGAGATCTTGTAATTTCTCTTTTAAATTCCAAACCCGTTCAAATGCATATCCACAACTTAACCACTTTACTTTCGTGTAGTAAAGGTCAGAATAATCTGCGTCGACTTCGGTGTCCGGTGTACTCCGAGATCAAATCGTATTATTTAGTTTTAAAACAACATTAAGTACATAGGTAATACCTATTGCAGCTTTACAAAGGACGTCCTAGTGAATTATACAATGTAAAAATACATCATCGTGATTAGGATTCTGGTTCCGAAAAATACCCGAGAATCCCGCGTTTTTTCCAACCATATTTGGGGCTCCATCTGTAGTTATATTGCATAATCTTGAAATAGGCGCATTTAAATTTTGAAGACCTTCGGAAAATTCGTTATAAATTATTTGCCCCGTCGTTCTTCCTTTTATTGATTGCAAACAAGCTAGTTCTTCAGTAATATTAAATTTGTCGTCAATGCCTCTGATGAGAATTAATAATTGAGCAGTGTCACTTCTATCCGTACTTTCATCCAACGTAACGGAAAAATATTTAAAGTTTTCTATACGCTGCCTTAATTGAGTCGACAAGTTCGTTGCAATGGCATCAATTCGCATTTTTACTGTTTTTCGCGATAAGCTGATAGATTTAAACTCATTCATTTTTTCTGGACATAAAATTTTACCCATACTCACCATACAATCTTTAACACATTCTCCTTCCGAGTATGGTTTATTGTTTTTAGCTATTTTATAAGCCACAACATATCCAGCCAGTGTAGAAGCCTTTTGAGCAGTGTTTTGCTATATAAACATATTCCGTTGAGCAGATATTGTTTTTTTTAAGTTTTCCGCGATTAACTTTTTTTCTGTGTCATTCATCAAAGCATATTTGGTATTTGAATGTTTCCTTTTAAAATGATGAGCAAGGTTAAAATCTTTAAATGCCGCCACTACTTCATTACAAATAAGACATATTGGCTACCGTTGTATTCCGTTAAAAAAAGTATTTCCAAGCCCACTTTTCTTTAAACTGACGACACTCGGAATCGACTTTTCGTTTTTTATACTCCATGTTCTTAAAAGGGGTGTTTATAAAAAAAAAAAAAATGAATGTAAAGTGTTACGGGAACAAGCAAGAACAAGAGACAAAATTAACGTAAAACGTGCTGCTCGGTCAGTGACGGCTGGCGAGTGGCGACTGAGTTCATTAGGCCCCGCCAGTTTTCTACTAAGACTTAGTAGAACTAGCCGCGTAGTTCATATTAAAAAGTAGATTCTACTTTTTCTTCTCGATCGTCAAATTGTAATTATAACGAGCCAAATTCTATCCCTGTCGATGGATCTTCGGCGGGCCGAAAAATACTTTCGCGGGCCGGAGTTAGCCCATCACTGCTCTAGAGTCTAAACTCTAGAATTCTAGATGGTAAGCAATATGTCATTTTTAATAATAAATTTCGGTGGCGCATGGTTGTGTTCTATATTGAGTTTTGAAATCGCGTTGTCCTCTGTTAGGTGAACGTGCGCCCTGCATCTCGTCGAGCCTATTTTAGAACAGGTGTAACGGAATCCTCCGTTTCGCAGCATGAATTGTTTATAAAATGTATACCCATTGTATAGAAGAATTATGACTCCATTAGGCTTTTTGCAGAAGCGTGCTAGAAATATATAAAATATTAAATAATCACAATCTACACAAAAGGTTCTGTAATGCACAACAGTATTAAAACTTTGGTGTACTCGAACGAGTAAACCACCGGGGATTCCCCCCTTTACCCCCGGGTACTGAACATTTTTTAAACCGTCCGCGAAGCACATTCGTTATTTGCCTTGCTATTAGTAGCAATATTTTTACATTTTGCTGACTAATATGTATTGTTAGATTATTGTATAAATTTTCCTAAACACTTTAATAACAATTACAGTTAAGTAAAAACCTTCATCGTTTCTTACTCTTTTATTTCTCTACACCACATTTATAAATCGGTACACAAAATATTGTAAATTTAGACAGTGAGATAACAAAACGTAAAACCATATTTAAATATGATCTATTCGAGAAACAACAAAGTTAAACGGGTAGTCGTGAAATATTTTCTATCTAAAATCAATTTTTAATTATATTTAAGTTGAAATCAGGTCTAAATCGTGTACAACACGTCGTTTTTTAAAATATATCTCGGCGGCTCATGATTGTGTTCACCAATCAGTTTGATTATCATGTTTTCCTTGTCTAAATGGACGACAGCCCTGCATCTGGTTGAAGGCAATTTTGAACACGAGTAGCGCCATCTTTCGTTTCGCATTTCTTGTTTTCTATTGAAAATGTATCCATCGTAGAGAAGCTGTGTGCACCCATTGGGCTTTCTACAGAAGTGTGCTAGAATTTCATAAAATTATTAATCTATAACATTCTATAAAGGTAGTTAGAAATAATGAGAATTATGTACTTAGTACCAAATATGAGGCCGCTAGAGGCAGAGTAGCCTAACCGCAATTTTACGACTTGAGTTATTTATATTTTCATAGTCTAAAAATGTTATCTACAAGAGCAGTGACCGAAAATTGTCAACATAATTCTTACCCAAATAATAGGACAAATTCATTTTATCCTAGGTTAATTGCGATTTTTTTTGCAATGAAAATCATGTTTTTAGTTATTAGCCTGAAATGTTCTCCATAGATAAAATAGAACAAGTACTGAGTAAAATTATTATCTATATTATATAGTTATCTATCTTACAAAAAAAATCTTCATTAAAAGTCCTTACTTTGACAGCCTTGTTTGTCTAAAGTATCAATGTATAGCGAATAACTAACAACAGGTTATGGGTGCGATCCTTGCGGGGTCTAATATGTTTCAGAATATTTCACCTTTCGTTTTTTCTGTCTTACTTTATCACCAAAAAGAGAATATTCTTTATCAAGTCTTATTTATTTAAAGATTAAGATCTAATACAATTGCATGCAAGTTGGATCAAATATTTCAATATACATAGAAGTACTGGTACGTATACACTTCACGTTTATTTGTTGCACCTACAGAGTTTTCTGTAAATCCTTAACAGTACAGAAGGAATAAACTATGCTTAAATTACATATGTTAAACCTAAACGGTTTCATAAACTTAAAAAATATTGAGGTTTAAAATATTCGTTGAAATAGGCGGGGCTCGATTCCATGTCATACAAGCCTTGTGTTATGCCAACTGAGCTACAATATCTCAGGTTTTCAAACTTTCCAAAATACTTTGGCAATTGAATGAATCTCATGTATAAAAATTATAAATATTCCATCATTTTTTTTTTACAAAGCTGTATATACAAGAACTTGGACAATAAAATAACATCTTTGAAAGTGTTTATTATAGTACAAATGTTGCCTGTTGATAAAGTTTGTTATAAAAAGTATTTTTTTAATATTCCGTATTGTTTATAGAAAGTGACTTGTAACATATTACATTAAAGGTACCATTTTTTTGCAAAAGTGCTCTAGACTATGTCTAGAAACTATTTTTTTTTTACAATTTTGATTGAAAACCCAAGCAGCTTTGCAAAATATTGGAAAACATTAACATTTTTCATATGTTGGCATGATATAAATTAAAAATCGACTGCAAGTTGAAAAAAAATTACGACTCGACTTAAGAAAATCATTTAAGATCATTAAATATATAATATATAATTTTAAATCGTTTTTTTATTTATTTATAATTTCATCCATAGTAATAGTAGTAATAATAAGGTAAAATGGGACGCCTAAAAAATATTTTTATTAAAAATTACAAACGTCATTTAAAAAGCAAAAAAGGACATAAGCATACATTCATTACAATTAAGTATTAATAAGTTTTACTACTAGCATTAGTTTGAGTTAGTAGCGAAAGAATTCACCGGTTTCCATTTTCCGCAATACAGGTGCCGGGTGATTATGTTTCGAGGACATGCCGATGACGCTATTGTCGTCGTTGTTGATGCGGAGAACTACTTTGCAGCCGCCACGACGGGAACTCGAACAATAATATTTCGTAGTATTATTGTGGAGCGTGGAAACCTTCGAGAACGTGTATCCTTTATAGAGGATCAACGTATTAGACCGTCCGACCATTTTTATAAATTGAACTGTAAAGAAAAGATTGCTATTGTAGTGTACTGAAGAAAATAGATTAACTATAAGAAAATATGCTCTTTTATTAATAACAAAATATACGTAGTACACAATGAAAGAAATAAAACAACAGAATTGTATGCAATTTATTATATAGTATAAACATGTATGTAAAAATGTCGGTTGCCTATAATTTTCTTATTTGTCAGAGGAACTAGTTTCTCAGATATAAGGTAATACATCCAGTCCTGTAACGTCACGTTAAATATTAGGAAAGAATGATTGTTAGAGGAACACTGAGACGTCACCAAGGAGGGGATAGAAGTAGTGGTGGCGTGCGGGTCTCATTTTGACGGAGTTTGGTTGTGCCGACAACTTGCCTAAGGGGTGACTCTGACTGAGTTTCAATAGTCAATCTGTCTTTCTTTCAAATAATTCACTTATTTTTTAGTTCAAAAAATATTTCTTTACTTAATTGATAATTATTTAATTAAAAAATCGAAAATAAATTGAAAAAACTTTCGACTCGGGCAGGACTTGAACCGGCATCGTCAGCGTTCCGTGCTCTACCAATTGAGCTACCGAGTCAATTTTATGAATGATTATTAAATTATAAAGTAATTATATGAAGGCATCATGTGCAATAACATGTAAAAAATAATAAAGTTTTCAAATAATTATTTAATTAAAAACATATACACTACAAATGCGTAGTAATAATGTATCTTCCAGATGTTATTAAATTATTATCACATTATATTATATTATACATTTTTTATAAACGTATATAGCCAACGGGAGTTTGTCTGTATTGTATCAACCGATACAGTGGTTATGAGAATCGCTGATTTTGACGATTGTATTCTCAGGGGATATTGTAATTGTGGCCTTACACGTCCTTTTTGAACAAACGTATCGGATAAAACCCATGCTAGTACAATATTTTTTTGAGAAAGAAAAGCCTCGATGCACCATTAACACTGTACCGTTCGTTAACTTCATGAATTGCGCTGGAAAAATATGTCCGTCATAATAATAGCAATATAATTCAATACTGTCTATAGTTTACGCGAGTAGTACACATTTAAATAAAACACTTTAACGGTTTAAAACGCAGTCTCCCATCTAACCACGGCTGCTGCAAAGCATCCGAAACGTCGGGCCGAAGGTAAAAATCATTTTCAAAGAAGTTTATCCAATATATCGCGTTTTAAACCGTTCAAGTGTTATTTAAAAATATAATTCAATCTTACTAATACCAAAGTCGTCTGTTCAACCATACACCTACACGATTGAACGGATGGCGAGTGACAAAGGCTTATTTTACTTTTGAAAAGTGTTATATTTTATCTCGAAATGTTTACTAAACAAATGAGCCAATCCCATATTGGAAATAGGGAAGACACTTACATAATTTTATCGTAGAAAATGTTGTTAGTTACTGTACATTAGTATATACCTATTAAAAACCGTTTTTTACCTCTTAAACTTTGTAAGTTAAGAAAAAAGATAAAGCCTGTACGTGCACATGTTTTTAATATAAACACTAAATTAAATACATATATTAACTTTGAAAAAACATTATGATCGAATTTGGAGCAAATTAGAACAATTTGCACTTGCATTTTTCAAATATCTTCTTTGAAGCCACGCGTCCAGAACTGAGAACGAGACTTCCTAATTTCGTAAGGACTACTTCCTCGGTACATGGGAACCATCCACATAATTTCCGAAGCAATGGAGGCTTTAAACAAATTACCGATTAAAAGCTATCAGTTAGCATATTTGACTAGTCTACTAAAAACTCTCTACTCGTACAACAAAAAGACCGAAAATAACGAGTCTTCAATTTAAAATTTGCTATCCTACTGGATCTATCTTTAAATAAAGTTTCACAATATTGATCGACAGATAGGCGTTGATTCTATCTTGGATTAGGAGTTGATTATAACATTTTCACATATTATGTAAATAGGTACTAAAAAACTTTTCGATACATCTGCAAATTATTTGTCTAGTCAATTTAAAACCAATTAAATGATTTCTTTTACGATTTTATTTAGAATTTATTATATATATCTAAAACTTTTAAAATAAAAGAGAAATATTTCACGAGAATTTTTTAATTTAAGAAAAATAGTTTGTTTTTTAACAATTTATCACTTAAAAAATGTACTGCATTAGCATATTATAAAAAAACCAGACGACGTAAAAGTGTAAGAAATACGTTCATGATTGTGCTCATCTTCCACTCTCACCAAGGAATCCTCACCTGACACACACAAAAACGCCTTACACCCATGGACCTGATACTTTGAACAATTGTACCTGACAGAGCCATCGCGCAGCAAACGTTTTTTCGAAAATGTATTACTATTGTAAAGGAGAAGTGTTTTTCCGGAAATTAATTTCACGAATTGCGCTGCAAACAAATAGAATTAATTGAAGTCTCCAGAACTAAAACATAAACTCATAATCCTTCAATCTAATATGAAGCGTGTAAGTATGGTTGCGAAACGTGGAAAGTTACAAGAAAAATAACCCAACGAGACCACAAAAAGCGTTCAACACGATGGCACGTTAGAGCCAACATCCGCTAAATGCGCAGATAACCAATCGCAGTTTTCAAAAACTTAGTCACTTCATGGTTGTGTTCATCATTCATTTTTTGGATTACGTTATCCGCCGTAACGTGGAGCCAGGCCATGCAATTTCTGCTCTTTCTGCAGGAACAGGAATACCTGAATCCACCGCGTCCAATACTACCGCTTCTGGAGAAGGTATATTCATTATATACGAGGAGGCGTTTTCCATTCGCTAGTTTTATAAAACGTGCTGAAAAAACAAAAAGACATTACCATTTTTTATGTATATATATTGGGGTATAACAAGGTTCTTAATACTACGTCTGTGATGTTATTAACCCAAAAATAATCCCTGTGCCACCTGGATGCGTGTTGGAAGATGACAGAATAAGTCGTCATGCCAATGTATCGCTTGTGGTAACAATCGGGACTGATAGATGAAGATGGTCATCACAAACTCAGTAAGACTTCTCACAAAGTTGGGACTAATGAAAATCTCTTATAATAACTCCAAATACAGAAGTAGGAAAGCATGCATAGGGTCCACTTAATGAACAACTCGACAGATGCGCTGTCTATCTACTTTGGCTTTGGATATTCAGAAATCCACAGACACACTTTTGTATCTTTGAATGGTGAATCTAGACCCGGATGACATTTCGATATTCTACCACCCATTACATATCCAGTTTTCCAGACCAAATCCAACATGATTAAAAAAAAATAGTATCCTCTAGACTAACGAGTAACGGTGTCGTCAAGGCATTATGAAGTCAATATATATAAGCATAATAAGTATACTGAAACGGAAGATTATTTTATTATTATTTTTTAAGCATTCAGGGACCAAATTCTATCACCAAAAGCCTTGATTAATGACCATAATGTCAAAAAAATCATAGGCTCTTGGATCCACCAAGAAATTATAGTAATTTGCAAAACCGTTACGTTAACAAAATCAGTATTTCACTATTCGTCAATTAGTTGTTGTACAACGGTAGTTGTTTTTTTTCTTAATGTTTAACTAACTGCGGATTTAGTTTTCCACCAAATACAAATATTTTTTAAACAGGTAAGAATTTTGTTGCTGAAGTTAGTAAAAATATTTCATTTAAACCTTTTGTCGACTACTACTCGTGAGGTTTACTTTTTCCATTACCCGCAACATTTAAAGCAAGAACATATTATATATTTAGATATTTATTTTATTGCATCAAAATTATATAACGCAATGTACATAAATCTCTTTAAATACAATAGATTTTTTGCGGAAACGTAACATAAATAAAAACGACTGTACAATTATTGTGTGCCTAAGGATTCTGATTACACCTAATTCTTGAGATCTATAAAATTGCACTCATCCTGCAATAAACATTACTTATATATTACATATATCTACATTCTACATACAATATTTACACAACTTATTTACACCCTGTATCTATACAAATTATCCTAAACAGACAACTAAACTAGAATTTAATAAGCTGACTAGATTCGTTATTATATCACATTTAAAACTTGGAATTAGAAATCGTCGATTGCATAGTTTGAGAAATAATGGTGCTTAGTGTAAGAGCAACTGTAGTCTAATCTAAAGCCACAGTTAACACTAACTTTGTGTGAAATTAAATGTGTTTTAGATCTGGCTGTCGTAATTGAGAAATGGTTCTTCGAAGTTTCGAAGACTGCTTAGTCGAGGAACGCTGTACACCAAATTATACCATCCTCATGTGAAACGTCTCAATAACGATGACTAAATGGTTCTAATGCCCAAGAAGTGTAGCAAAATGGTAGGGAAAGCCACATAATGCCCCAGATATGAGTTTACGAAATTTATTCATGCGCTTATCAAACAATCCAAATTAATAGTGATGTTTTTCTACTGTTCATTCAACTTGCAATAAGGCACCGATATATATTGATTTATTTACTGAGATGTACATTGTCCTACACCATTATTTTACTAATTATAACCACACCAAGTTGTAGACGACGCAATCGTTTTACTTCTAACTGTTTGAATCGATCACTAAGTAGGCTCGCCTACACTCTAAGCTTTCCTGACCATTTCACTAAGTGGTGGATGGGTGTGTTCATTATTGCTCCGTATGATTGTCAGATCATCCGCCAGATGGAGGAAGGCCCTGCACCTATGCCACCTGTTCTTCGTGCAGCCCCAGCGGAAGCCGTTACGCGTCCGGCTCTGCTTGTAGTAAGAAAAATTGTGGTAAATCAATCGTTCCTTGCCCCGAGATGTCATAAATATGTTTACTGCAACATTCAAAGGGATGAGTCTCTAAGTTACGTCTAAATCTTATTGTATATAATTTGAAATATACAGCTATATGTGCGTAAAAAAAATATTAACGCAACAATGAAGTACCGTTAGCGCTGTGACTTTTAAGCGCGGTTTAAGATGGATTCAACAACTTCTCCCATTTCAATTTATCTTAAAATATATTATTTTTGTGGGAAATGTCATATTAGGGGTTACCTAATTCATTATTTTTGCTTCTTCCTTGCTGCAACTATAAATATTTCGAGCAACAGTTACAAAAAATCTAGTTTTCTGCTTTTCGCTTCGTTAGAATGTTCATCTTCTAAAAATACCGTACATAAAAAGCATATAAACTTTAATTAATTTAAGGAAAAGTCGTGAACTTCTTCAAAAAACCAACTATGTTTTAAGTAGGTTAGTAAGTTAACAATCAATTAATGATGAAACTTTGCATAATAGCTAATTAGCGTCTAAAAAATCTTTACATACAAAACAAAACTTATTTTTTTTAGAATAACATACTTGTTTACAGATTTAGGAGTCACTTTTAACTGAAATGAGTAAAGAAATAAATAAAATCTTGAATTTTATTGAAATCTACTAAGTAACATTTTCAATACGAGTAACATTTGCACTTACATTTTTCGTATCTAATCATCGTTCCAGGTTCCTATTAGTATGAAGAGAAATAACGTATAGCCCTAAAAAGTTTACTTTAAATACTTGTAGTTTACGTGAGTAGCACATTTTCAAATAAAACACTTTAAAGGTTTTACACGCGATATATATCAGTTACTTAAAGATATTTGAAAATTATTTTAACTACGTTACGGATGCTTTGCAGCAGCCGTGGTCACGGGGAGACTGAAGATGGAAGGTGTCTCTGACGTCACAGTAAAAAGTGCTACGCTAGTGCCGCCTGTTCCCTCAAAGTTGGTTGGGAATGTTGTGTTTTTACCCGTAAAGTGTTAAAGTGTTAAAAAGGTTACTTTAAAATAAACTTAAAACTACAATAATCAAATCGGGACAGCTGTTGTACCGTCCTTCTTCGTCTGTAACAGTTTGTTCAAAGTCAATTAGGCACTTTGACGTAGATACCATTGATCTGTTTAAACGATGGCGGCATATGATTGTGTCTGGCTTCAGACTCGTAGTGTACGTGGAACTCTGAATCAACGTTCAGGTAGGAGTTGCACCTTTTTGACTTAGACTGTCCTATACACCTGTAGCGGTTGTGTCCAGATTTCGATATGGTCCCAATTGTGTTGTACGTGTAGCCGTTGTACAGTAAGTATTGCTTACCATTGCATAATGTTATCATTTTACCTGTTACAAAAGAAATATCTTTTAATGTAAATATACATTGAAAATCTATGTTTAACCTATTGGAGGCCATGCTGGGTCAAAATGGTCGGCACACCAGATCTTACTCAGCGGCAAGTCTGGTCGCGCCGCAAAATGCAACCACTTTTTTTATTTTTATTTTTGATGGCATAAGTACCTATTTTTTAAACTTCGAGAAAAAGAAAAGCCACAGGAATTCAAATGAAACATTCAATTTTTTGATTAAACTTTTAGAATTTATGCAAGAATCTAAACGACAACAGGATATTTAAGCGTTAAGTTTTTTATCAAAATCAAACGAATAAAGAAATAAAGTCAATACAACAAATGTGAAGAATGTTTTTAATTTAAACTTAAGAATTATAAATCACAAATCGTCATACAGACAACACTCAAACTCTAAAGAATAAATAAACTCATAATTGGCATTAGAACATTTTAGTGGGATTTATCAAAACATTGATGACATAAATGGGGATTTCCGGGACAAATAGTGCAATAGAAAGAAACCTTCTTTGTTTTGTTCTTGGCCCAATTCCTGCCGTGCAACTTGGCATTAGTTTTATAACAATCACGACAAAATTTTCTTGTTGTCGCTGCTGCACCTTCTTTTCTCTTAAGCTCATGTTTTTGTCTTCTGGGTCGCGGCATGGTCAAACCCGTATTTTCTTGACTACCCTCCATTAACTGCCTTGCCAACAGTCGCCTTAAATCGACGACAGAGATCGTTTTGCTTCTATTCTTATACAGTACTTTTGCTCTTTTACAAATGGCTGAAACGTAAACCGCACGATGTTTCATTGACCGAACATTATGCGAACATTATTACGCTGACCCGAATCGTGTCATAATTGCTCGGCACTTAAAAGAACCTAAAATAAAGCAAACAAAAAAAAAACAAATATCAATGTAAGAATGAATAAATAGAACAGATCATAAAAACCAATCACATTGACCACAAGAAAAAAGAAGCCAAAGATTGCCAGCCAAACGCGTATCTTGCTCTTGCATGTAAAGTGGCGGCGCGTACGCAGCTGACAAATGTGCGTTTACCTTAAAAATATTTCTACCAAAGTTTAACTACTATATTTTTATATATGGTTTTAGTCATTTTGTTGTAAATAAAAACTATTAATTAATTTATTATGTATTTCGTATCATAATATTATGTTGACTAAGACTATAGTTACGTCAGTTAAAATAAAGAGTTTATTTTCATGTTTAAAAAAATAGAATAAGAGAGCATCGAATTTATTTTAAGCTAATAAATCCTTATATTTATTAACATTAGTAGTTATATAATCATAATTAAGAATGCCAAAAGCCTATGATACTTAAAGAGAGAGATAATACTTATTTTGAAAACGTAAAAAAATATTAAATAATTTTTTGCGCACAATCTGAAAGCATGACGTAACAATACTGGGTTTTTAACGTCACATTTTTAAATATATTTCATTACGACTTTAAGTTAAAAGAGGATAATCGCCCTGATGTTTGTATTTCATTGTAACCGAGGTGTTAAAACTGTATTTGTAATATTCCTAGAGTATCTACCATGTATTTATAATTAACCAAGGTGTAAACCAATAAATTTATGGGTAAAACAAATACACATACATGATCATGCTGTGCTCTCACATGCTTAAGGTTGGACCTAACAGAATAAATAATATCTAATACAAATAAAACCACTATATATTTTACACATCCTATTTAAAATAAAATATTCGAAAGATGAGTTAACAAGTAAATTTAAGCCACAAACGGGTCTTGTATGTCAAAATCTTTAAAAGCACGTAAGGGCGGTCCGTCTACATATAAAATGTTTCCACTTTCGGCCGTTTAATAGCTGGCGGATTATGTGTATGGCAAATAATTGGAGCGTACACAACTTTCAGCTGATCGTCCAGATGTAAATACGCGGTGCACTTCGCCCTGCTGTGTCTCGTGCATCGCCACCTGGTCGCACCACGTTTCCTCAGCTCCTTCTGTTTGTAGAACGTGTATCCCTTGTAGTAGAATACTTGCTTTCCTCGCTTTCCACGTGCCAGTGTGAAAAACCGGCCTGTTGAAAAACATAACTTTAGTAGTGAAATTATAGTCATAATATGTTACTTTAGCTCAACTTTGGAGACGAGGTTCATTCGAAATGAAATATTAGTTTTAACATTTTATTACGAACTAAAATATCACAACAAATACCTTAATAAAACACGACTAGATTTTAAATCACAGCTAAGAATTTACATTGCACTCTTCGTTGGGGACTCTATTTACAATTGTTTCATTCGTGTAATCTAAATTTTAATATATTTACCGTCCTTCTGTTTTCTAAACCGAGTCGGGGTATGTTTGTGTATTTCCCCACCGTAGGCGACGACGCGATTATCATCCAGGGTTGTGTGCACGTACGCATTGCACGAGTTCCTGTTGCAGCACCAGCGGCTCAGTGGTGACGTCTTTAATTTGTGTCTAAAGTAGAAAGGATACCCGTTCACAATCAGCAGTTTTTTTCCATTGTGCAACTCGATTATCTGACTCTTTACAAAGTAGGGATCGTCCACGAATTCATTACCGCCCTGAGTGGCAGCTGCGACTGCCGATGTCACACAAGTCCTTGTCGACTTCGTGCTCAACCCAGTGCAAGCTTCAGTAGACTTTTTGGAAGGTGAAGGTTTCTTTGGTGTCACAGATAAACCCGACGTTACCGTAACTGGTTCATATATCGTTGTTGTAATAGTTCTAGTCGCGATATTATTTGTGTCCGAAGTTATTTGGGAAAGTTCAGGTGTAGCATTTGTTGTTTGAATATCGGACACTGTTTCTTTTGAGTCCAAAGTAACCGACTGCGTCGCTATTTCATTAACAGACACTGGAGGTTCATACAATTCTTGGACAGCTGGCATAGTTGATAACCCATTGTATGCATCAGGTATTGCTTGTGACGTGTTTGTTATAGCACTTAGCATCTCTGTGTCGTGGGGTGCAGTAACAACGTCAAATATTTCTGAAGCATTTTGGGGGGTTGAGATAGCGTTGAAGGTATCACTTGCGTGTTGTAATGGCCCATAATAATCATCGGAAACTTCTTGAGGTGCACGGACTAGGTTAAATATATCTGGGTTCTGATGCGTGTTATTCACCATGTTCAGTATCTCCGCGGCATCATGAGGTAGATTTAGGAGGTCTGCTTCTGGGCATGTATCGGTTATAACGTTGAATGAGTCGTGGATATTCGCAGATGTTTGTACGTACGTCCCAGTAATGTCATCCGTGGTATGGGTTACGTTTACGAAGTCTGGGATGGTGTCATTGGGGTGAGATAAAACGCTTATGATCTCGGGGACTCCATCAAGCGTCGTTCTGTAGACGATATTTAGTACTTCCGGTACAGTCTCAGAGTTAACAGAGACGAATTGGAAGCCTGAAAGTAATTTCATTGATGTAATCACTTTCGCAATAGGCTGTATTAGGCTTATAGACTGACAGAAAGCGTAAACCGTTAAGGAATTAAAAGCTTTACAGTTGAATTGCGTTACTTACGTTACTTTTTTGTACCAAGATGTCACTTGTTTACTCATGAAAAAGACAACGCTTTTTCATAAACACTCAATGTAAGCTTTGTGATTTAACTATCAATTCTTAAACAAGTATAGATATAATTTAGGTAGTAAGGTATAGGGATATCTACTTACTCTACGATATAGGTAGCTCTACTACAGCTATCTCTATAATTATGTTCAACCGAAACTGAACATTATATAAGCAATAAATACTGAAAGATATATAGTTTATTGTATATAACAAAATGTACTTATAAGCTGACATTATTCTAAGTGAATGTAAAAAATTACTTCGTAAAGACTTTCCTGTCGTTTTTAATTTACAGCAACCAGCGATCTTCTCTACAGAAAGTAACAAATGCTAGCCAAACTTCGCACACATTAAAACAAACTACATCCGACTTATTATAACTCTTTCACTAGACTTATAAATGAAACTCCTAAGTAAATACCAAAACGTTTATTGCAGAGTTTGAAAGAAGTTATACAGGTTAGTTTATCGAAGACAAAAGGAATGCCGATCATAATTATCAAAATCATATGATATGATCATTGGCAAAACATTCTATACATATAAAAGGTTTTTTTGTGCAAATGTCACAAAAAGTAGAGACTTTTTTGGTCTTATTCCGAGCCATTGCACGCCCATATATGGTAACATTCTTCTTGTAGCATAACACACACATTCGACGCACCTTTTGGCAAGGTCCTTTTATTTTCAGTAGCACATGTCTCTTTCTTACTGGCCGCTCTAAACGTGCTTCGGAAGTTGAAGTCTCTGCCAGATGGCTGTTAAACATTTCTTGTCTGCAATCTACAATAGGAATATGATTTTAGTGGCGGTCTTATGCGAAACTAAAGCATTTATTTGGTGACAATAATGGTTAAATGCAGGTTTTTAAAAAATATGTGAAGTTTTTTCTTAATGTATATGATCTTATGGTACCGTCTGGTCCAATAGAAACACTGTTACCTTTTTCTTTGTCTTCGACTGTACTCTATTTAATTTTATTGAAAGTGTTCTTTTTAATGTAGAATAAGGGAAATTCCCTTCACTCCTAGAGGCCAATAAAACTATTTTTGTCCGCTTCACTAATACATTATATATAAATGCAAGAAGTTGATGAAATTACTGAGCCCTTTCAGGCTGAAGCACTTAATACTGAAAATAAGATTATTGTAAAGAAAGACATGTAAGCAATTATCTTAAGTGTGCTTTGGCTAAGTAAACGAGTTGTACCTATATGATTAGTTTTAAAGGAATTTCATTTTTATTTCGGTCCATCATTTTTATACATTGTGGTGGTAGTTATTCAGTCAGTCTTTTATAAGACTCAGGGAGAATTCAAAATGTGTTACATTCATGATGAATCGTCATTCAAAAAAATGAGTTCAAAATGGTTAGATGATGAAAGCATATATAAGTATTTCAAAGTTTTTTTTTACATGCTTCTTACAGTAAATACATACAGTTTTGGCTTATTCACTAAAAATATAATTATTACACGTTTAATGGCTACGGCTTTTAACCCAGCTTTAGCTTTCGTCATTACGGGAGGTTCATGATTGTGACCCAGTCTAGCCTTGTGCATAATATTGAAATAATCAACGCGCAACCGAGCCGTACACTTATTTTTACCATTGTTCCTAGTACACGACCATGGAGACCAGAGATTTTCCTTTTGTCCTTATATAAAATGTATATTCTTCATATAATAGTTGTGTTTTTCCGTTTACCAATTCTAGGAGTTTACCTAGGATTGTCGACACTTTGTAATGGTCTTCATTACTACTAAAAATTAGTAATAAAACTTGTATTAATTCCTTTTAATAATCGGATTATTAACTGAGTAACTAAGCAAACATTACATCCACCTATTATTTTGTGTCTTTGTCCTTTGTAAGGCTTAAGAGGAAGAAACAACATTTCACTCGACTTAAGGTAAATGCTGTAAGGAAGTGATAGACAGACAGAAAAATGACTTAGAATATATTTAAGTATTCAAATTTAACATTAAAATAAAACACATTTAACGGTTAAAAACGACAGAGCGAACGACTCGATGTTTCATAAATTGTTTAGTGTTTTTTATTAAATCTGTACGCGTAAATTACAGGCAATACTTAAATTTATTGACTTTTTATTTGTTCTGTTATGGTGGTATTCAGAGGAATAAAATAATAGATTCAAATATAAAACTTTAACGGTTTAATACGCGATATATTTTAGTTAAACTTGTTTAAGAATTATTTAGCCGTGACCACGGCTGCTGCAAAGCATCCGAAACGTCGGGCCGTAGTTAAAAATAATTCTCAAACAAGTTTAACTAAAATATATCGCGTTTAAAACCGTTAAAGTGTTTTATTTAAATGTGTACTGCGTGCGTAAACTACAGTAGATTTATCAAGGAAAAGGTTTTATATACAAGTATTTTTAAGACGAGCCTTCACGTATGTCCCAGAGCTGGTCCTGTGGAGAAATGGTGGATCGTGGTTGTGTTCGTTTCCCGTTCTTCTGATACGCAAGCCTTCATCGGCGTAGAGGAACGCCTTGCATTTGGAGTAGCATGTACAGAGATACCGATTGAGCTTAGCATTCTTCCGCTGAACGTGGTAATACGTGTAGCCATTGAATAAAAGCTGCGACCTCCCGTTCAGCAGGATAATCATGCGCGCTGAAATCAGAACTCTATTGATCTAATAATATATAAAAAATATATCATTGTAAAGGGAGAAATTGGGGGGGCCCCGAAAAAAGAATTGTCACCCCTTATAGACAGAGAAAAAAAGCGATAATAAAAGTTAACAATATTTATTTAGTGTCTCGTATTCTGGCGAGGCAAAACTTGCGGAAGATCGCGGCGTTCGGATTGTAGATGTCATCTAATTGGTTTTTTATTATTAAAGCTGCTCGTGGGCCATGGTGTGAGTAAGCACGCTTATTGATGTTACATAAAACAAAACATATTGTATATTCTTAGTTCTTACCGGGTCAAATATTAGATCTTTAATAAAAATGGACATCTCTTAAAATATTTTATTTTAAAATTTCACTTAGGCGTTAAACATAAAAAAGATTAAATGCAATGACGTCACGACGAGATCCAAACGAGGTACAATATCTAACAAAATTATCACAAAAACGCACACAGTTCAAATATCACTAAATTATTCATAATCACAAACTTAATACTGGCAACTTGATATATCACACAGCGATGTACAATAGCGAAATAAGACCTCTTACAAACGGACGTTTTTGCCGTCAGCGGTATTTGCGCGATATAGCGTTTTAATTTCAGTGTACACACTAGTTTACTACGCGATAACTACAAGGCACTTTAGTTTGTTAACTTACAACGAGTTCTGATGAGTTAACTATCACGACTTACGAGTAAAAAACTTACGAAAAAGTCTACATAGATAAAAGGAAAACACATTATTAAAAACAATACCTAAAAATAGCAGCGATAAGTGTGAGATCAAATGTGTTTAAAATAAAGCCGAGTAGCTTTTCCCAGATCATAGAATTTGTGATAAAATCGATACAAGACTGAGTATTTCATTTCCAGGTGAATTACAGTAGCCTCAATAAGATGTAATGTGAGTAGAATTTGAGCTCGTGGTGTTAATACGCACTAGTGTTTTTTCCCTTGAACAACCCGTTTAATATTATTGATGTTAGCCTTCATCATTGTGATGCTTCTGTGAATATGTTGCAAAGGCTTCTGTTGTGTAGACACTTTTACTCTCTATAAACGTAGAAACCTAACAAGCGAATTTGTTTACAATAAGCTATCGTCAATGTGCGTTGTGCTTTATTTAAAAGCACTTATAGATAGCTACAAAAGCAATCGTCTCTACACATTAAACTTACAGTATAGTAAAATTAATACCAAGGTTACAGGAACAAAAAATTGGCAAGATAATCTCCATAAACGCTATCACAAAATTATTAAAATAATCGACGAGTGTTACAAAAGTACATAGTAACGTAGTCCATATACAGGTGGACCATATATTCGTAATATTGTCTCTGTTGATTCAATAAAAAAAGAGACAGGCAACGGACAAGTTGTATATGCAATACTATTATTATTTTGAGTAGGTATACAAGAACGTAGATAAGAAATTAAAATTTAAAAAACTGTAGGGTGGGCACGAACTATTAAGACCTCCTTATAAATAATACTTGAGAATTAAAGGCAATATATTTTGAGTATATGAAACTTTTGCTTGGGAAATAAAGTAGAGTTTAACTAACAATTCCTATTTATTAAAATATAAACTCCTATTGTCCCATAGCTAGGCACAGTCCTCCCTCTTATATAAGAAGGCTTTTACGACTACTAACACACAAAAAAATCAAAGAGGGCCCAGTAAATCCAAAAAGTTCGTACCCACCGTTCGACATATAAGAAACTAATAATTGTTGTATACGCTATGAGCGACCAAATAGTCGTGTAAAGGAGTTAAGGACATGGGATTAACAGGATCCGGTAAGCCGTTCTCTTTATTCATGTTACCGTTTTGTATAGGATAGAGTAGGGGGATCTTCGGCTCCTTCTTCATGCTGGGCGGGTGGCTGTGCGAGATATTGGCCTTCAGTACTTCAAGTTTATCAGTGATAATGAGATGGGCCTTGCATTTCCATTTGGAACCGTAGGCGGTGCAGCTCCAGCGGTGAGCATTACTCCTGGCCTTCAGATGTTTGTAGAACGTAAAGTTATTAAGGCGAAGGTTGATGCGTCCGTTTGGCCGAAGGTAGAATTCAACTGCCGACAAAAATAAAAAATCAATTCCTGGACCACAATTTATCTTCTATAGACCAGCAATAATATTAAGTAAAGGATTTAGTTGGGTATAATTAATCAGATGGAAAACTTCGTGAAGTAGTTTGCCATCAGATCAGATGAAAGCGAAGAACAAAAAATAATGGTAATAAAAATTTAATCCATGATTTAAAGCTATTGCAGGAAAAATATGATTAAATCAATTTTATTATAATCTTTATTGCTCTTATACTAGTACAGTAACCCTCCTGGAAGTCATCTGCGGAATTGTTGCTGGTCCTTAAGATCTGCAAAAAAAATATTGTTTTAAGTTTTTTTTGTCTTATTGGGGTTAAAAAGCTACTTTTAAATTCTCAACTAAATACGCTTCTGTTAAAAAACACGCTACAATGACATTGAATAGTGGAATAAAAAAAATCTTATGTCGTTCGTAAAATGACAACGAACTACAGTTGTCCCTAAATTACTACTTTTCCGGGTGCAGCACAACAACGAAAAAAAAATTTTTTAATTCATATAAGTTGAATAAAAATATATATATACAGATAAAAAAAAAAAAAAAAAAAAAAAATATATATTTTTTTTTTCCCAAAAGCCGTCGGATAGAAATTAATGATCCAGGTCTATATCGAGCCCTGCTGACTACTTTATGTACCTATTTGTTCTTTGTAAGGAATTGTGAGGAAATATGTACTCACATATTTCCGAAATTATTTTCTCTTTCAGATTTCCCATAAAATATTTCGACGGAGTGTGTGTGTGCTCCGTAAAACCACGCACAACAAACATCTCCATGGTAACGTGGAGGAATGCTCTGCAGGACCTGGAGCCCATCTGTGTGCAACTCCACCTGTATCCATCGCGGAGATGTTTGTGCTGATAGAACGTGTATCCGTTGAGTAGAAGTAGATGCTTGCCATTACGGCCCTTAACCAGAAGCACTGAAATTAATAAAACTATATAATTACTAAGTCTAGTATTTTTGCTGTAGATATCTGTAGGATTGATGACGTCACCTCATTTAAAGGAAATTTTAATTATTAAATTTTCAAGGAATTTTTCAATTGTGAATTCGTGTATACCGTTTTTTACTAATTATTATTAAATACGTTCCTTGGGGCAATAACTTTCCAATCCTTTTCATTGCTGTGGTTAGCACTTATACACCTATTTAAATAAAACACTTTAACGGTTTGAAACGCGATATATTAGTCATAAAACTTAAATTTTGGCGGCACAAGGTTTACAGACTCTGAAATAAGAGACTCTGTAAATTTAAGAACTTTTTTGGCACTGTCTATAGTTTAGCGCGGGTAGTACACATTTAAATAAAACACTTTAACGGTTTAAAACGCGATATATTAGTTAACCTTATTTGGAAATGATTTTTAAGTTTGGCCCGACGTTTCGTTTTGCTGCAGGCAGCAGCCGAAACGTCGATTTTTAACTTCCTGAAGTTAAAAATCATTTCCAAATAAGTTTAACTAATATATCGCGTTTTAAACCGTTAAAGTGTTTTATTTAAACTTTTTTGGCTTCGTGTAAATATATATGATTTTGAGCCTAATGGTGAATAACTTGTTTAGTTAAAAAATATATAGCAAAACTCAAAATACGGCTTATGCACCCGTACGGACGGAGTACGGAAGTCTTGTGGGTATTGCGATGTGTTATACAAATATCGACAAATTTAATAAACTTTTAATGAAATCAAAATAACGTAACTAGTTACAGGAGTTAATGTTTTTCAATAAAACAAGCATAGCATAATTGTTTTTGACACTGAACGCATACAGTTAGAATTTTTTTAACTCTATTGTTGGCTTCGCGGCTGGTAAAAAACGTTCGGAGTTTTCTATAACACCCGGCGCAATTCCTTTTCTTAACTCCTCTTTGCAAATAGTGTTTTTCATATCTTTCTCCGGGCTCTGAAAAGGTTTATCTATTATTTTAATACATCATAAAACATTTTTTTGGGCTCCGCTTTTGTGTTGATATCATGTCGACGGGTGCGTTACTTACGAATCCAAGGCAACATTAGCTAGCGCGGGGTGCGGTACGCCCCTGGTTTACATTGTGAAGAAATGTTATAATAATGATTTTCTGTGCGGTACTAGGTTAGCCAAACCTAGTATCAAGGTAGGTACACCATTGGATCCTATTTTAATAGCACGTCGTAGCCTCTTAGATTTATTTATTCATAATTTCCGAACCCAATTCAAAAATTATGCCTTTCGCACGTCAAGGAAGACTATATTATGAAATTTTTTAATCTTTTCACATGTTTGCATGCACATGAAGACACTATATAAATTAAAAATTGATTATAAATTGATAAAAATTATTATTTGGTTAGAACAACGGCAAGGAACCAAGCCCGAGCCCGGCCGTCTGCTCAAGTCGTAAATTTGTATCGTGCTGGATGTTATATCGCTTAGGTATTTTACCTTCCATCAAGTAAACCTCTTGGTTGTGTCATTAATTATCTTCAATATTTATTCAATTATTTTCAGCAATTTTAAATTTTGCAAATTTTTGGAGTCACTTTAAATTCTTACACAAAGAAGATTTGTTAGGTTCCCCTTTACATTTTTTCAACTCTTTTTGTGACAAGCATTTTTCTTAGTGTGGTCGCAATATCCGACATTAGAAAAATAAATATGTACCTACTCAAACGTGTTGAGACCCATCCCTTCTATACAACATTTTAAGAGTTCTGCCATGTATTACTCGCTGTTTCTGTGTTATTGAACTGAGCAAGGAGAAAATCGTGACTGCATCATACAATTGAAAACTATTAAATAGAGATAGAAACTAACTACTCTTTGTAAATACTAATAAGTAAGGTACTATATACCTGAATTTTCTTGTTTTTTCTCTCCAACGTTTTCTTGCTTTAAGCAATTCTTCGATGGTCATTTCTTTCGCCATCTTTATCAAACCCATTTTCTTTTTTCTTGCATAACTTTGTCTTTCTTTTTCTTTTAGCTCTTTACACCGAACGGGATCATTCTTTATTCTTTGATACCTTTCTCTCGCAGCTATACGTTTTCTCTCTAGACGTTCGGCGCGGGACATTTTTTTTCTTTTGCAATTACCTTAAATTGAAAAATATTAAGAAATATATACACAATTCTTCTTGTAGTTTAAAGTTCGAGTCTCTCGTAAAATTTAAATAAAACAATAGCAAAAACACGAATGCGTCTATACTTTGAGACATGTTAATGGATATTTTTTTTTCAGACACAGATAAAGTCGCCAGAGGATACATAAGCTTAAAAATATCCAAGTATTGTAGCAGAATACTTTATCATCCTTAATAACTTTCTTCTTTATTTTTCCCACTTCTCGACCAACCTTATAAAAATCTTTAATACTAATATAGGTTTACGTTTGTAATAGTTTAAAGGCAAGCCGTATTTTTAAAGGTTATAAGATTGTAACAATAATACTAGCTGATTCGTCATTTTCATTGAGAAATAGTTTTGGACGTGTCATCATGGCATCACGACTGGATGGCTTTAGGGGATGCTAAGCATTCTTCAACAAATACTTAGTCTTCAATGGAAAATGTTTAAAACACAAATTTTCATTAGACGTCAAAGAGCTGCGGGTAGGATTTATTGAAAAAATTTAATAAAGCAGATTTTGGACTACATATAATATAGATCCTGAAATGAATACAGAATTTAATTCTTCATATATACTAAAGTTCGTATCTAATGGTTGAAGAGAGAAAGTTGAACTCTTCTATTCATCCAATTAGAAGTAGTAAAGTATAAACACTACATATATAAATAAAAAGAAGATAGTTAAGCTAATAATGAGATCGAATCTGCTTATGAACATCAGAAATGTACAACCTTCACATTGCATCTAAAATATACACACAGTATGAAATGGGAATTGACGCTTAAAAGCATGTGATGCAAATAACATGTGTTGTTAGTTAGCTATATACCACAGACGTGACTCACGGCTAAAGGCATCGGAAACGTAGATTCGCAATCAACGAATATTTTACGCGTTTTAAACAGTTAAAAGTGGTTTATTTGAATACAGAATAAATACTTTGCATTGTATATTTTCCAACTTGAGCAAAGATTACATTAAATACTGATTTAAAATCATAGGGATCCAGTGATGACCTTTTATAGTGTAGATGATGCCACAGATGAAGGAGAGAAAAATAATTATCGATTATATGTGGAACAAACTACCTCGACTAAAAAGTGAAGTACTTCTTCCTCCTATTGTCGCCGTCTTAGCTTACATCCCCGTTGATATATAAAACAAATTTTGGACCTTTTAATAGACCCATTTACGTAAATTCATTTTTAGGATTTGTGGTTTTTACCAAATATTTTTTTTATTTAATATTCAATCCAGTATCTCAAACCAAAACCACGATTTCATGTACATTGGTGTCTGTTTACTAAAAATCTCAAGTAAGAGAGTATACACTAACACTTTAGACTCAAGACAGACTAGGCAGTATATTTCCGTTGGCCAGTACACTGTTTCTCTTGGGCCGCGGCGGGTTATGGTTGTGATCTTGGCAGCTTTTAACGAGCTCACCATCGTGGCTAAGCGTGAGGTAAGCGGAGCAGCCTTTGGAGAATTGGCTCGAACATTTCCACCGCTGACCGTACTTTACGGGGTAATGTTTCGCGAAGGTATAGTTATTCACCATTAACAAAGCTGTTCCGTTGCTATTAGCGATATAGTGAACTGAAAACGAGCATAGCTGGATTATAACCGTTGTCTATTACCATGTATAGCCTTACAAGCTGTGCCCACGACTTCGTCCTCGTGGAATAGTGACTTGGGGTAGAATTTTTAATTATTTTGGCTGTTTATTAATTTATGTAAGGACGCATTTAAGGCAGCCAATCTATGTTGTAAGCGCTACTTTGCCACAACACTCACACCTCACATCACTCCTACTCTAACTCCCACTCTCATTCCTACAATCACTCCCACTCCCATCGGTGTTCAAGCACATCTTGGGCATCACATTATCTATTTTGTAAACTACCTCTTCAGCTTACAAATTATAGATGTTATCAACGACATCGTCCGTGTCCCATCGTACTTGAGAATTATTCTTATATGGTATCATACAGATTTTTTTGCCCGTTTTCACAGCGCAAGTAACGGCAACCAATGGGATGAAGAATTTTTCCCGTTTTTTTCATATATCCTGTTCTTTCTTTCCTATTGGTAGCAGCCTGATGTTTAATAGCCTAAAGCCACCCTTGATAAATGGTGCAACCAAAATAAAAATGTCCTTATTTACGATCAATTCGAATCAGTATGAAATCTCAAATTAGCGCATTCAAACAAACAATCCATTCAGCTTTATAATATTAGTATAGATTACTGAAGCATGGGTGTAAGAAGGCAGTGTAAGGGGGGGACCCCCCCCAAAAAAAAAAAAAAAAAAAAAAAAAAAAAAAAAAAAACAATCAAAATATTACTAGCATTAATCACATTTTTACATATCAAATTTATTAATAGGGGAGAAAACAATACACCTGTTAGACTCTTTCAAGAACAAGTATTTTTTGAAAGAGTTAAATACCCTAAGCTCTCAGCGTCCCGCTTCACTCATCAGACTTTTGACGAAAGCAAATATGTTAGCGCTTATCGTAATGCTAGACAGTTAACAGCATAAAATATATACAATTAGCAATGGAGGCGGTCTTTTGAAACATTTAATAATTATAGAGAGAAAAAATGTGCTCAATCAATTATATTTATTACAGTCAAAATGCGCTAGACAACAATAATTACAAAGATACGTTCATAACATCTTCACATCGTCCCTTGTCAGCCTCTCAACGTTGTCCATAAAATTAATCATCCATTCAAGATGGATGATAAATAATTTATTGAACATTGCTAAGTTTTAATATCATTGTTAAACATTAAGAATCGATAAATTCATAAGCTTGTGTGACGTCACAAGAATTGACATCGCTCGCATGACGTCATAGAAACATGATACATAGTACATACTAACTAGACTCAAACTGCCATTTCCAGTTGATTAAACAATTTAACCCTATGTCTTCTATTTCGTATAACATATATGTACAAAAAGGTAATGTATAGATATAGCATAGTTAAGTACACATAATACTTTGAATAAAATTCTAGTAAGTATGTGATGTTCAAAACTGTTTAAGTATTTTAAAGTAAAGGTTTTAAATACAGTTAACGTGTTGTTTGACGTTTAAGTCCTAGATCCGAAAAGAATTTGGCACGTGCAGGAAGATATTATCACGTAAAGATTGACTAGCAAAATGTTACACAAAAACCTTAAATCAACAACTTCCATCATTTTTTAAATATTTGAGCGAAATCAAACACGTATCATATTTAGCATAACGTTGTCTATAAGATACCTATATATAAGATAATTGTGATAATTAATTTAATAACGATATTTTTAATGATCCAAATAATTTAAATAAATTTATAAAACATTCTCGCTGTCGTCTAAAACATAATATGCAAGATTTATATGGATGTAAGCACGGTGTGCTAGTTCGATTCTCGCATTGTAATTTTGTCTTAAAAGAGAATTAATTTATTAGCTATTAGTATTGGGCAAAATGTGGATATGTCCTAAGCTTAAACCTATAAAGCGATTGGAATGATACATTTGTCTTTTTAAATAGCATAAGTACATTTACTATTTACAAAACGATCCCCGAAAATACAGCCTCTTATAGTAAGGATTTTCTTTAAATGCTATTGACTTGTCTATTTAAACACGCGAGCTGAACGGTTGTATTTTTTGACAGACATTGAATGTTTTTGTGCACAATCGGTAATCAAATCAAATAACTCCTAGATTAAATAGCTTTTGTCAAGAAGTTATTATGATCTGACGGTAAAGTCATGTTTACAATATTTGTTGTGGTTTTTGAAATATATTTTTCTTAAGACATTTCATTTAGTACAAATCATATTTTCGGAGTCACTTCAATATACATATACATTAATAATAAGTACACGGAAATTTAAAATCTATACTGGTTCTTTCTTAACAGTTTCCACCGAAGTTATAACTGGTGATATCGCGAAATTCTGGCATCAGTCGTTAAAGTTGTATTTGGTGTAATTGTCTTCGTGGTTATGAAAGCCCTTGTGCTTGATATATCTACCCTCTATAGTGGTCTGAACGCAGCTATTACAGCCCAAGCGTTTTCTATCACGGCAAGTCCAGTTAATCGTATTCTGATAACGGTTATTAATCCAATACTTGTTCTCTTTGAAAATCAACACCATGCTCCCGGTGCGATGCGACGGCAGATAATAAATATCTGAATCTGAAACAAAAAGCAACTGTAATCCAAATTCTACGTTTCTTATACTTTGACAAATTTCTAAATCGTACAAGTGCTGCCATCTAGCGTCGAAAAGGTAATCTTGCAGCTAGCCAATAGATGGCGCTGTATAAAACTAGGTCGTTGCAATATTTATATTTGAATAAAATAATCAACATACGAGAATAATAATATGTATTCTAGAAAAAAAGGAAGTACACAAAATTAAAAATTTATCTATACTAGCAGGTCCCTTACATCTGTAAGATTTGTCACTGTATAAAACATAAGTACATAATAAAATTTCATCACAATATCTCTTCTTAATCAAAGTAAATATAATACATTAACTTAAACTATACATTCACAATGATTTATTTAATCGTCTAAAATCTTTTTCCCTAATATAACGTCCGTCTTGGCACTGTCGGAGTCTAGGAGGTTCGTGTATGTGACGACCTCTGAAAATTGAGATATAATCCCTCCCATCGTAGCCCCTATACGTTATAACATCAGCCCTGCACCCGTGCACGTCTCTCGATGAGCAGTACCACTGTTTCTTGCCATGTGCTTGATGATTTTTCATATAAAAGGTAAATCCGTTGAGTATTAACAGGCCTGCTCCTGTCCTTCCTGCTATGAACTGTGCCGGCACTGAGGGCAAAACCATAATGTCACCATAAGTGAAATTACCTTGGCAGAAACTAACTTGTGTAACTGTTATTTAATGTTTTTAGTTAC